CCAACACATACACAAACTCTTCCGCTCCCTCACTGGGCGGGCCCTAACAGACTGGGTGGGTGGGAAATCCCACGAAGAAAGTAGCTTACATGATGTTGCCCTGTTAAAAATGGCAGGGGCAGGCCTGGTTCTGACCCACCCACCCCCCGTGGCTGATGGACCTGATGATTAGGCCATCCCTGTAGGTCTGGCACAGCTGGGAAGGGGTGGCACCTGATATCCCACCCACCCACGGCTGCGTGGGAATAAGTACAGCCCCTTGAGACCAGGCCACAGCCAGCCACGGTCGTAGAGAGGAGCGTCTCCTTGGCCAAAAGGCAGCACAAATTTTTCAAATAGAAAAATAAGTAAATAATATGGTTAGGGAAGACTGAGCTCTAAAGAAAGCAATTAAGTGGGCTGCTCTGAGGTCTGCATTTTTCATTCTTTTTGAGAATGGAGCCAAAGCATGGACCAGCATTGGTTAATTTGATGGATGGGTGGATAATTCCACACTCCATTTCATTTCCTTGTGGTTTGTCAAACTCGTCTCCTCACCCTCCACCCACCCACCTCTGGCAGATTGGCAAGTGGGATTATTAAGGGTTTAACTATTGTGATTTCCCAAGGAGGTGACCTCTTGAGTGGTGCAAAAAGTTCACCCTACCTGGAATGAGGTAGAAGATGGTTAGCTGGGAAATTGCAATGACTGGGAAAGTGGCTCAGTCCCCATGGTAAAATGGATGCGGAAAACATCAGCCTACCATCAATGTGCCATTGTAACATGGATTTGCCACTGGAAAATGGTTGAGAGCTTTGCTCTCACTCCCATCCAGGATGGAAGCTTTTGGACACTATACTACCCCAGACAATGCATGGCTTATGTGTTGGGTGGCTCTGGGTGTCTCCCAACATATAGAAAAAGATAATAAAACATTAAACATTAAAAAAAAATCTTTCCTATACAGGGCTTCCATTGGATGTCTTCTAAAGGTTGTATGGTTACTTATGTCCTTGGCTCGGGGGTTGCATAACTCCATACCCTCCAACATTTCTCTGATGAAAATAGGAACATCCTAAGGAAAAGTGGGACGTTCTGGGATCAGATCAGAAACCAAGATGGCTTCTGTAAAACCAGGCTGTCCATGGAAAATAGGGACACTTGGGCAGTCTGAGGTTGTTTGGCTGAGACTATCTATTCAAGTGTGTGTGTGTGTGTGTGTGTGTGTGTGTGTCTGAGAGAGAGAGAGAGAGAGAGAATATAAGATGAGGGCTCCCCCTGCCTTTTTTTTTTAAAAAAAAATCTTTCTTAGCCACCACTTCTCTAGAATATAATCTTCAGACTCCATTGTTCACTTAGCAAAGGTGACATGGAGGGTTCTTTTTGCTCCTTCAAAAATCCTTCCCTACCTTCCCTTTCCTTTTAAGTTAACTTCCCCCACAAGCAAGCAAAAATAAATTAATTAATAAAGCTAACTAGCTAGCTAAGGGAACCATTTTCCTGTGTTTCAAAAAGATTGCTTTTGGTGAAGGCATTTAGCTGAGAGAGATGTGGACTGATAGCAGAGCAAGGCCTTTAAAAAGCACTGTTGGGATAACAAAGAAAGTGCAATCAGCTTGTCAATAGAAGCTGGATTCGGATTCAGCCAGGTGACAGAAATGGATAATAGACAAGTGCTCCGCAGTTGAAATCCCATGAAATATTTGGTTTAAAGTGCCCCCTAGTGGTTTCATTAATTTCCAGTTGTCTAATTGCAACATTACTGGAATTGCAATTTTTGCGCTGCTCTCTCTTGCTTAGCACAAAATGTCAAATTTATTTCAGAAGCAAAGGATTGCAGCTGTTCTACATTATGAGCTTTTCAGGTAACTCCCTCCCCTTTTGCCCATTTTCATCAGCAGTGGCAGTGAGAAGTATACAGAAAACTGTGTTATTTAAGTGCTGTCTCAGTAAAGGTTCCGTTCTATAAGTAGCTGAATTACTCAGCCATGCTTGCAGCTCTTCTTCTCCTTGCTTAATAAATTGTTATTTTGAGTTGCCTCTTCCTCCTTCCTATGCTTTACTGTAAAATGGTTCCTGTACCATAGGCACATTTATGTGGGTTGTTTTTAATCTGTTTTCATGGTATCTGTGTGTGACCATGTCAAGTCCTAGTGATAATCTCTGCTTGTCTTCTCTGGTGAATGTATTTTATATAAGTCATTTCCTTCAAAGTAGGCCATTTTAAAAAGGGGAATCGCCTTTGGGTCAATTTTAAGCGGATAACACGATCTAGGCAGACATTTCACATGAAGTATCCTAAGACTACAGTTGTGCATCCAGTTCTCTGAAGGGAGTTATTTGCTTGTTAAGTACATGATACTTAACAGAGTTATATGAAAAAGATAGGTCTCTGCCCCACGGAGTTTACACATCAAATCAGTGTCCAGTGTTTCCATTGCAGAAGAGGCAGCATCTTTTTCAAAGGACCACATCCTTTAAAAAGTATTTCATTTAAGCCAGAAACCCTTCCTGCTTACTAAGACTCTTAAGTAAGTCTTGCAGAATTCTTCATGACTTACTCACAAGCAAGTTAACATGAGACTGCAGCCTTGGATCCATTTAGACAGAGGCAAATTTAGGGGAGTGTGACTGGTTTGATCGCACTCAGCACAGGGGACATTGCAAGTATGATGTAGAATGGAGTGCAGGAGGCAGAGGTGTGGCGAATTTTGGCATTGCACAGGGGCTCTGCTGAAATTTGAGACCAGTTAGATCAACAGGCCTGAAGTGTTTAAACGCTGCCTGTATTTTCCAGGGCAGCCTGCTGTCTTTTTCTAGGCAGGAACATTTGGATCCTTAAGTAAGAACATAATCACTATAGAAACTGCAGCAGAAACTCTGATTTATACACAGTGCTGTTCTAGGAGGAAATGCTAGCTTAGGAATATACAAAAATAAAGCCCCTATTAAAAGAGGATAATATTTGAAAGGAAACACCCGTTATTTGGGGGCTTTTGATATGTCAGTTCCTCTTTCCTATGAAGGCAGCATACATACATACATACATACATACATACAATCTGCAACATCTGCATGAATCATTGTGGGCCATCATTCTGCTTCTGAAAGGGAACTTTCTTCTCCCCACTCCTTTTTTACTACCGCAGTCCACACATAAAAAAAAATATTTGTTCTGACTAAAATATTGATGTATTCTAGCCATTTTGAAGTTCAGTGGTGGGCAGATCCTTGTGTGCCCGTCGGCGGTTCGAATCCCCGCAACGGGGTGAGCTCCCGTTGCTCAGTCCCTGCTCCTGCCAACCTAGCAATTCGAAAGCACATCAAAGTGCAAGTAGATAAATAGGTACCACTCCAGCGGAAAGGTAAACAGTGTTTCCGTGTACTGCTCTGGTTCACCAGAAGCAGCTTAGTCATGCTGGCCACATGACCCGGAAGTTGTACGCCGGCTCCCTCGGCCAATAAAGCGAGATGAGCGCCGCAACCCCAGAGTCGGCCACGACTGGACCTAATGGTCAGGGGTCCCTTTATCTTTACCTTTAGGCCACCTTTTGACTCCTCCATTTCGAGATAAGCCCAGCAACTGTGAAGGACAAGGAGGTCTCAAGCACCCTAAGAGATAGCCAACACAGTTTAACCTAACTATTAACATGCACGTATTAAAATGGGGCAAACCTTGGTTACAGCTCCTGTTTGTTTGAAGAGTGCTGAACCACAAACCCAGGTTCAGACAACATGCCCTTTGTTTCTGGATGTAGGCATCCAGCTCATTCTTTTATTAATTGCCCCACACAGGTGAGCTATAGCAATGAAAACATTGTGGTGGGGCAGGAGAAGGGTGGATATACATGCCTCTGACCCATGAAGTGAATAACTGGCAGGGTAAATGTATGTACCGGTCCTAGTTCCTTGCAGAGTGATTATTTTTGTTTCAATCTCTTTGCTTTAGTTCTATTTGCCATATATTTTTGTGCTGACTTCAGATTAGTAATTTGATTGTCAGTGGACTGGGGCTTCTCACGGGCTTTTTCATTTCAAAAAGAACATTAACTTTAAACATTTTGAATAGCTTTCAAATCTCCCAGGAGCAGTATTGTTCTCGGCACAGAGGGTTCATTTACTTTGTTGTGGAGTTAAAACCTTCCTGTAACTGACAGTCCTAAGAAATTTCTGTGATCTTGCCAAGTTAGCCTGGTGGAACTACATTAAGCACTCCTGTCAATTGCCTTGTCTATAGATGTTCTCCTTTAACGGCCATTTTGCACAATATAAAATAGCAAGCTCAGGTTGGCTGAGTGTCAGATGTTCACTTGAAAAGAAGCCAGAGCCAATTCTGACTTCTCAATGAGCCTACCTATGTGGTCTGGGTGGGTGGGTGCATGTGCTTGTTGCATTCATACTTTAGATAGACTTAAAACTTAGATGTACACCTACAATAAAATCACAGGTGAGGTCTACCTTCAACATTCTTCGCAATCTTGGGGTACACACCTGTAACCAAATACTCCTGGCAGTCTCAATATAATTGCTTGACGCTCAAATGACAACAAACAATGTAAGTAGTTGATAGGCACAAACACCACCCAGAATACAGAGCAACATTTGATTTAACCGGAGAAATGCTTTATGCATTTGAGGCAAACTGAACAGCTGTCTGCATTCAAAGGAATTAATTGTATTAAATGTTCACATGGATTACGTGTGCTTTGAATATAGGGTGCATTTTGAAAAGGCTTCTTTGGTGCTTATACATTAAGTCTGGCAACCTAGTAATTGATTAATCAAATAGATGCATTAAATGAATGGACGGCATCCACGTAAATATGTCTGTTGCTAACTATCTTAGTTCATTTATACGAGAGTGGGCAAAAGCTACCACTTACCCTTGCAAGGAGAGACTGTATTTAGAATTTTATTTTCATTCCAACGTTACTTAGTCATTATTGAATCATAGAATTTTAAAGCTTGAAGGGACCATGAGGTTCATTCAATCCAACCCCCTGCAATGCAATAGTTTTTTTGCCAAATGTGGGGCTTGAACCCACAACCCTGAGATTAAGAGTCTTTTGCCCCACCGACTGAGCTACTGTTTTAGCTCAAGAGTTGCAGACCTTTCACCCTTGCTCAATCCTCCAGGGGCTGTATAACAGCAGTGGGTGTGGCTACCCCAAACTTATACAGTGGACGCTCGGGTTGCGAATGTGATCCGTGCGGGAGGCACGTTTGCAACCTGCAGTGCCATGTCTGCACGGGTTGCGATTCGGTGCTTCTGTGCATGCGCGAGCACTGAAACCCGGAAGTAACCTGTTCTGGTACTTCCGGGTCTGGCGCGGTGCACAACCCAAAAATGCGCAACCTGAAGCATCTGTAACCCGAGATATAACTGTACACCCGCAGACACATAGCCCTCCCTCATCTGATATATGTCATTTAGCTAAAGAGAGGGCTATGCCCCACCCTGCTCATGAAATGATTGATCTGATGACTGGGAAAGGGGTGATTTGCATCAGGGTGGTTGCTGGACTGAGAGGTTTACAGTTCTTCACCCACCCCAGTGCATAATTTTATTAACTTTTTATCATTCCTCCAGCAATCTTTCCCTCCTGTCCTGTTAATCAAAACTTAAAATCCCCAGTTGCTTTGGCATTTTCTCTTAGGGATCATTTTTGCTGTCTTTTTGGGCACCTTTTTCAGCACTGTGATATCTTTTTGAGATGGGGTGACCAGAATCTTGCGTGGTATTCATATGCACAATGCTCTGTATAATAATAGTTGAAAACCCAGAAGCTCAGGTCCGCAGCAAGTATTGAAAGCTGCAGTCTTGTGCTGGTGTGTATGTATATAGCTCTCAAATAAAAAGCTTTAATTCTCTGTTTGTTACCCGCAGAGCATAACTGCGGTTCAAATTCTGAAAAGGTTCAGCCATGGGTGTGATCTTCCCATACATCAGGTTCCTTTGGGAGAAACTCTATTCCACTTTCAGTAATCCACACGCAGAGACTGGCCCTGGATGTGGAAGAAGCAGGTCTCTTGTTGCTTTGCTGACATTTCTTTCGCTGAAATTCTTTGTAGGGCCAGAAAGCACATGACTAGCCCAAGTGAGAACACATGCACACACACACTCTTAAAAAATCCCTGTGTTTCACAATTTGTGTTGACATTATGGGGACACACAGTCACCGCTTTGTTCAGTATCTTGCATCATCTAGGAACATTAATGTGGAGGGACTGCTTAACAGCATGAGAACAGTGGGAGGGAAATACGTTTTTAAGAAGAGCGAGCAAAAGTTCAGGTCATCTGAAAAGGAACAAGGTAGAACTTTATAATGAGCATGGAAAAAGACATGATTAATGAAACCAAAGAATCAAAGAAAAAAAAGCACATAAAAGGAAAAATGGGGGGGGGATGTGATAATGGGGTGCTTAGTACTAAAAGAGAGCACCGGTGTAATGGGGATGTTAGGAACCTGATGGAATAGTGAGAATCAGTGGGACAACAGCTCTTTATGAAGATTAAATCTATAAAAAAGATGGGGAATAGTGTGTTGAGATGGGTCTTGCTATAAATATCAAGTAGAACATAAATTTTAGATACCAAAATTGGCTCTCTTTGCCAGCCATCTCTTAGCAACTTTCATGGAAGACTTAGAGGCCACACCAGTCAGGAGTCTAGACGAGAACTTGTTTGTATCTCTCCATCACAAAACAGCAATAGGATATCAGATACCACTAAGTACAGTGCTACCCAGTGATTAAATTATATAATGACACTATCCATGTTGCTAGCCAAAAACACAACTCAAATGTCTGGTAAAGTATTTGAATAGTAAACTGTGCCATGCAGATTATTCACAATGAAAGAATCCCTGCCAATGTGTTTGATTTGTGTGTAGATTACAAAATCCTTCATTTCACATATATTGGTTTACCTTGTTGCAGACTTGGAGCTTATGGGGGGTGGGTTGCACATGCAAATAAGTGTCTTAAATCACCCCATCTAGCCTATTGGTTGGAAGCGGCTTACAAGACACATCAAGAATACAATGGCATCAAGCAAACAATTAAGCAATCTGAGAGCACAAAACTTGAAATTTCCTTTTGGCTCAAGGGATTTTGGTTCCTGCACTGGAGTAGCAAAAGCTGCCGCCTTTGCTCAAGCTACAAAACTTGAAGGACTGCTCAAGTTATCTTGCCAGCTGGGGCCCGAATTCCTATAAGTACCTCTCCCTGGCAGTAAAAGTACATTAAATTAAATAGCCATCAATTTGCCGCTGCCCTTACATGATACTCCAAAATCAGCTGTCTAAGTTAGCTGCCTCAATCTGCCTAACGGTAGGGTTGGCCCCAACTGGGGAAGCATCCCTGTTTGTGGAGAGAGATAGTATTTATCAATGTATATTTCAAGAGAATACCCATAAAATGTACTTTCCCAGACTGTGTTCAGATTTTGCTAGGGGTTTTTAAGCAGAAGCTGGCAGGACATCTGTCAGGGATGCTTTAGTTGAGATTCCTCCATTGCAGGGGGTTGGACTAGATGACCCTCTGTGCCCCTTCCAACTCTGCAATTCTGTGATTCTATGTGCCCATGTGAAGATGGTAATGCTTAAACAGAAATGTGCATAAAGAGCTCATCACTCTCTTTTTATCATCTCATCCAGGGCATCCCACTGATTACAGTGATGCCTCGCAAGACGAAATTAATCTGTTCCACGAGTCTCTTCGTCTTGTGGTTTTTTCGTCTTGCGAAGCACGGCTATTAGCGGCTTAGCGGCTATTAGTGGCTTAGCAGCTATTAACGGCTTAGCGGCTTTAAGAAAAAGGAAACAAACTCGCAAGAACTCGCAAGATGTTTCGTCTTGCGAAGCAAGCCCATAGGGAAATTCGTCTTGCGGAATGACTCAAAAAACGGAAAACTCTTTCGTCTAGCGAGTTTTTTGTCTTGCGAGGCATTCGTCTTGCAGGGCACCACTGTATTATGTGACTATTCTCCTTACAGATTAAGATAGGGTGGTGATAGCCAAGACTGGCAAACATATGTTAGCTGCTATTATAATAAGGACCACAGTGCTTCTTTCTGAGTTTTTTAAAGCATACATAATTTTTGCTTTACTTTTGCAATTTGATCTGCTTAGCTATATCTATATGTGTTTGTGTTTTGCACACAGATTGCAATGGCTGGTGGCTAGAGCCAGGTGGCAAGATCCACAGGGGCAGAAGATCCCAATATAGGATCTTTATTCCACGTTTTCTCCTCCTTGTTCCCTGATGGTGATGGGGGCATTTTGTTGTTTGCCTCAGGTGCCAAAATATCTTGAGCCGGCCCTGTTGGTGGTTGATGTAAATAAACGTGCAATCCTCGAAAAATGCAGCTACCCATGGAAGTCTGCCAAGCCTCAACTGGCCAGCCCTCTTGCCCAAATGCTCACAGACACTGCTCAAATGTTTGTGTCCAAAGAACGAGGCAGAAATAGCTCAGTTCAGTGTTAAGCAAGGTGTGAAATCCTGTGGACATTGCTTTGGGGAAGTATCTCCTATAACTAGGGAATTTTTTAGACATACGTTCCCAGAAAAGAAGAATCATTAATCCTTAGTAAATAGTTTCCTGGTTCATGCCGTTCAGCTTTTGACTAAAACAAATGTTTAATAAGCCACGTTATGTAATGTCTCTTCCTTGGCTCAGTTCAAAGCCTAAAGCAGCCTTTTTCACTCTTGGGTCCTCAGATGTTGCTAGACTACAACTCTCATCATCCCTAGCCAGCAAGTGATCAGGGATAATGAGAGTTGTAGTCCAACAATATTTGGGGACCCAAGGCTGGCCTACGGTAATGAATAAATCAGATTAGATTTATAACAAGCAAGTTACCCTTGCCTTAACTGTGTTTATGTGCTCCAAAGAACGCATGAGGGTGCAAAGTTCGTATGGGGTGCGTGTGCAGTTGTCCCCTCCACAATATCTCCATGCACACGGACACACCAATGCCCCTTTCACTCTCTGCCCACTACACAAATGTGTGAAGGGAAATCCTAAGGACGTCCAGCTGATTTTGGTAGAATTCACCTTGAGGCCTTGGGAAAATGAATGGAACATTGCAGAGGGTTGGACTAGATGACCCCTGTGGTCCCTTCCAACTGCACAATTCTGTTCCTTAAAAAAGAAAAGTATGCTGGTGCCCGGAGTCCCTTCTGTAATAAGCCCTTCTGCTTAACTTGTAGCTTCTAAATTAAAAATCAGATTAATTCTGGCCCCAAACATTTGATTTTGATTTTCATGTATTGTGAGTGGGGGTTAAACTATTGTGGTCAGTTTACTAGCACACTGAGCTTCAGTCTGTCTCGGGATAAAAGAACAGGGCATACGTCACAAGAAGCACCTTCAGGTGTGCAGGAGGGGTGGATACGCTTTTTGCCTTGAGGACTGAATCCACTTAGGGTCACAAACCAGTGAACCACCAAACATACACAGGCACAGAGCCTCTCCCCCCCCCCACCAGCTGATCCATGAAGATCAACAGAAGAGGGGAGTTATGTACCTTTCCCCACTCCTCAGACAATCTATTCTGATGGAGAAGGAACAATTCACATCCTAGTCAAGACATGGGACTGCATTTCTCTTCCCTCTGCCGTGCTGTGTCTGCTTTAAGGCTCTGATTGGTTAAACACCTCACTGGCCCATTTCACACATAACACTAAGCCATAGTTTAGGAAACCAAGGTTTAACATAATGCATGAACCCACCCCAACAGTTTAACTGTGGTTTCAGCTCACTCATTAACCAAGATTTGGACTTGTTTTCTAAACCTTGGTTTAGCATTTTGTAGAAATCCGTATTTTATCACTGCAAATGAAAATAGGTGGGTGGGGGGAATCAAAGTGCTCTGAATAATCAGCTGTTTCACTGGTGCTTTTAACTGTTTTCTGACATGATAAACCCAAGCTTCAAGTGATCATTTGTCAGGCACCTCAGCTTTAACTATGGTTTATTAACTGTGATTAACTTCAACCATGGTTTAGTGTTACGTTGGAACCAGACCATTCAGAATAAGCACTGCTCTGAAACTACCAGACGCTGTAGGTTAACCTTCCTCAACCAGGCACCCTACAAATGTTTTGGGGGGCAGCTCCCATCAGCCTCAGCTTGGATAGCCAATTGTTGGGGATGGTGGGAGAAATATTCCAAAACACCTGGAAGACCGCAGATTGGAGAAGTCTGCCCTAGACACATTTTCAGAGCAACTCCTGCCTGTCTGTCCCAATGGCATTAGTCTGCCACCCAGATTGTGTAACTCTGGATTTATTGTCTCTGAGATGGGTTCTGCTTCTGTGCCAATAAAAAAAAGCCAACATTCCACTGCATTGAGAAATCTTCAGGTAAATTCACATTTGTTTCCTCGTGCTTTTGCGTCTGTGGCTGTCAGGAGATTTTTGCAATGCTCGTTGATTTTGAAAGATCAAACTGTTCTTAAACCAAAAACGTTACCAGAAGGACCTCCTTTGAGCAATCAGTTTGCTCAGCCCCCACATTGCTCAATCAGCAGGTTATTTTAAATATAAAATGACCGCTGTGTGATGGAAACATTATTCTCAGTGAACCTCCATCCAGAGCATCAGATATCTCAGAGTAAGTTGGGAATTGTAATCTTATGGTATTTTTGTTTTTCTGCTGTTTTGATCAGGAATTGTAGGTTTCTAATAAGCATCCTAACTGAAATTTCCTTTCAGTAAGGAATTGCTCAGTTTTATGAATGAGGTAGAGTGCATGATTTATGTAGTATCTATTTTATTTAGTGCCCTGTGAAACGGCACCTATTATTTTTAGTTTGACTGGTCCTACATACACTAATAGATTGAAGACGCCTTGCAAACCATGGTTTGGGTACGTACTATGCATTCAAACCAGGCTGTGCAACTATGGTTTGAAGACAGGTTGCAAACCATAATATGTTCAAGTGTTATAGATGCACTGAGCAAACCGTGGTTATGTAACTTTTCTTACCTCTCCAAACTCTCCTTCTAAGGAGCCAAGCTGGTCTTCCTGATGTATCCTTATACACAACCTTAGAGAGTGGGGGAGGCTCAGCCTGATAAGTTAACCCCCTATTTTCATAATGTATCTGGTTAAACCAATTTTAAGGCAGCAAACGATAATTATTGCTAACCCTGGTTAAGTATTATGTCTGCACTGTCATTGTTTCTGCCATGTTGGACAGATTAATACAAATAATCACAATGTGAATAGTTTTCCAGGTTTGGCTTGTACATTTTGAATTAGAAATTTGCATGCTTTGCAGAGTCATCCTTTTTGTACACTGCCTGGAAGTAAGTCCATTGTGTTCAGTGGGGTTTCCTCCAAGTAAGTGTGCAGAGGATTGCATTTTTCGTGTTGTTGACATCTCTTGATTGTTTTGATGTTGGGCAGTCTTCCAATATTTAACCTTACAAGCTGTCAGCTGTCAAATATTAATTACCCTTGGATGTGATCTATTGAATGCAGTAAGATACTATTTAATGCTGTTGAATGTTCTTAAAAATAGTGCCTGCTACAAAGGGAACATTGGCAAATACTATACACCAGTGGTATGTTCTACAGCAACAAGGTAGTACTGTAGTGAACAAACGTGAAAGACCTAGGTTCAAATCTCCACTCACTCATGAAATACATGATATTAAGTCCAGCTGCTTATTCTCAGGCCAATTTACACATCTCTGGATTGTTGTGAAGATAAAATGGCATAAAACAAATCCCAGGCACATCATTCTGATGGAAGGTCTGGATTGCAAAAGTGGTAAAGATGGATTTGATACACTTGTGGTGGTGGTGTTTTTAAATCACAATCATTATTTTATTATTACCACCTGCAGCAGCAACATCCCATACTTTTAAAAAGAGCACACAGAGAGAGATATAAAAATATGACAAAACAGCAATGTTTTGAACACTGAGATACTAAAAAGCAGAAAAGGCCTTGGAGCACATAGAGCACAACTACACAAAATTCAAGCACTATTTAATCCCATTGGTTTCAAAGGAGGGGTAAGTTTGTGCTTCACTTGCTTCTGTTGTGATCAGTGAGGATTTAATAGTGCTTAGCTTTGGATTGATTGTGCTTGAATTATGTGAACACTAAAAGTTAGACTCTAAAGTTGACTATTAGCCCTAGTCAGCACAGCTAAGCACCCAGGCCTGGCTAAAAGCATTTGTACTCATCTCTATTAATCACTGTTATATTATTTATACACTGCCTGTGTAACTGGGTTGCCCCAGCCACTCTGGGCAGCTCGCAACAAAATATTAAAAGCACAATAATATATCAACCATTAAAAATTTCCCTTCAGATGTCTTCTAAAAGTCAAATAGTTGTTTATCTGATGGGAAGGGCGTTCCACAGGGCGGGCACCACTACCGAGAAGCCCCTCTGCCTGGTTGCCTGTAACCTCACTTCTTGCAGTAAGGGAATCGCCAGAAGGGCCTCAGAAGTGGACCTCAGTGTCCAGGCTGGACGTTGGAGGTGGAGATGTTCCTTCAGGTCTACACTATAGTGAAGCAGCAAGTGTTTTGCAACAGGTTTGGAGAATGAATGGACGTTTAGAAACCCTTTAAAACAAAACAAAAAATACTATTTGTGGAGCAGCATAATACTCTCTAGCTGTAGCTGCAGACCAAATTCAAGGTCAAGAACACAGGACAATAATCAAATGGAAACTTGGTAGGCTGCTACTGCCACCTTACGTCATCAGGGACACCAGCTCACACTCTCACTGTCTGTCTGTCTGTCTTTCTCTCTCTCTCTTTTTATATATTTCAGACAGTCTGAAAGATGCGTCTGTTTCTAGCATTCAGTGTTCTTCTTCTGGGAACATCTTTGACCAGCTCACATCCAACCCCAGACGAAGATTTGAACAAAAGTACGTTCGTATAATAAGCACGTGGATCAGACATAGCTCAGGGGTACAACACAGGCTTTTGATGCAAAAACTTTGGTTCTTGACATCTCCAATCAAAAAGGGATCTTAGGCAGTAGAGATGGCAAAGACTTCTGCCTGAGATCTAGTTCTCAAAAGCTGCTGGTGGGGTGGTTAACCTGTGTTTGGACTGTACCATCTCAGAAACAGTAGAATGGGACTCAGGTGTTGATCTACTATTAAAAAAATGAACAAATCACAGCACACAGAAGCCAACAAATCAAGGCTGGGCCTTGCCTTATAGCTTTCTGTGTGCAAGGAATGTTTCTTTTTGGATAAGCACTCGGATGTGTGGGACCTTACCTAAAGTGGGACAATCCAGAAATAAGGTTAACTAGCACTTACTGTTCATAAGAGTTAGACCAGAGCCACTGTCAGTTAACATAGCTAATACACGAAATGGGGCAATTGTCTGGTTTTGCGTAAGCCAGATCCATATATTCTTTAGACATATGTTGAACTTAGGGGATCCAATTGAAGAATGAAAAGTGTATATTCAGAGTTTTTAAAGTAAATGCCATACCCAAAGAGAATAGGTATAATGCATGCATAATAGCTAATGGGATTTCTTCAGATGGATAGAAATCCTTTGAAAGAAAAGATAGCAAGCCCAAAGAATATTAAATGTTCCTGGATATTTGTCTTGGAGAGTTAAGTCCCAGTGAAAGTGATACTGTTTTTCCTTTCAGGAGTACACGTTTTGGAAGAAACTATGAACCATTTGAAAATAAAATTGGACGCACTAGACAATGCTTTCTATACAGTCCATAAAGGTAAGACAGCTGGAAGTATGTTATTTCCCTCAAACCATTCCCAGAATCCTAGATTCTTTTCAATGTGGATTTCCATTAAGTGGTCCACTTTAGAATTACACTTAGTATGTTATGTTTGCTGCCAGCTTTTTAAGATATTTTTTTTTTAAGTATTTAGGATTTGGGAGTTATCACAATATTGAAATGTTGATAAAATAATTCCTGGTCTTGGCTAGTGATTTTCACACTTTGATGAGGAAACAAGTGTCCCAAGGTACAATGTCTATGCTGCGGAAACATTGTGTCCAGACGTCCCTATTTTCCAGGACAGTCCCAGATTTACAGAAGCCATTCAGCTTTCTGATTAGATTCCAGAATGTTCCGCTTTTCCTTAGAATGTCCCTATTTCATTGGAGAAATGTTGGGAGGTATGTGTGTCTTGCCAGAGATTCTGGGTTATGCTCTCAGGTTTGAATGGGTCAGAGACTGTCAACATAGTGCCCCCCAGGTGTTGATAGACTAGGGCTCCCATCAGCCCCAGCCAGCGTAGCCAATGGTCAGGAATTATGGGAGAAATTTAATAACTAAAAATAAACAGCATCTGAAGGAGACACCAATGGCAATCCCTAGACTGTGGCTCAATGCATAGCTCTTTACAGACTAAGAATGTCCTCCCCCAGGTACCTAAAGCTCTCCTGCAGCTACAGATTGAGTGCTTAACCAATGCTTCCTCAGCAATCTTGCCTGCCATTACTGAGTTCCTGTTCATTTCCAACGTAACACAGGATTCCGTGTTTACAAATTGCTGAAAATAGACTCATAGCATATTAGAACATTGCTAGTTTTAATTTTTGAGTTTGACCAAACGGTGGGAGGCAGTGGAAGACAGGAGTGCCTGGCGTGCTCTGGTCCATGGGGTCACAAAGAGTCGACATGACTAAACGACTAAACAACAACAACAGTTTTAATTTTTAACCTCCTACTCTTTAAATAAGGTGCATTGCCCTTTGCTTTTCCATTGCTGTCCTCCACATCTGATCTCAGATCGTAAGCTCCTTGGGTCTTTCACTTAAGTTGCTCCATAGTGCATCGTGAATATTGGGGTCTATATCAACCAACTTGTAGTAGCGGAGCATTTGAAATTATTGGAATGATTGTCTCCTGTATTTCCAGCTCGCAGTTTTGGAAGTGGCAGTGAAAGGTTATACACCACAAATCTTGGTGAAGGGGACTTCGAAACGCTCAGTGCCACCTGTCTCGCTGCTGGCGGTCATGTTCCTTCTCCGAAGAAGGAGGCTGAGAACAACGCTTTGCAGAGTGTGTTGAAGAGGCATGAGAAATCGGCCTATGTTACAGGCCACAATTTTGACGCATACACAAACTGGGCATTTGGGGAACCAAGCAACTCTGATGGAAGTAAGAACTGTACAAAAGCTGCCAAAGATGGAAAGTGGCACTCTACATCATGCGAAGAGAAGCTCCTCACTGTTTGTGAATTTTCCTTTATCCCGTAAATTCAGAATCAGTGTGGTGTTAATTGGAAAGAGTGGTGGACAAGGAGGACCTAGGTTCAAAGTCTCACCCTCTGGGTGACTCTCAGCCTAGCCTACCTTGCTGCGTTGTGAGGATAACATTGGGAAGCCCCCATGTATACTTCCTTGAGCTTCTTGGAGGAAGGGTGGGAAGTAAATGATTGTGATAAATAAATAAAAGGCACTGCTTGAGCTTCTCTGGTACGCTTGATATGTGTTTTGTCGGTCATGTATGAAGCTTATGCCTAGGAAAGATAAACCTACTCCATATTACCCACCCCAGTTTCTGTTAAGCCAGGCCAGCAAGATGAACCTACCTACCTAAGTCACACATTCTGAAACCATACATGAACTAAAATGCAAACATCTTTTGAAACTCACACTTTCTCTTCCCGGTCAAAACCAGACTTCCTTAGCGTATATACTTAACAGCAGCATTCATGTTGCATCAGTTAGTCGTTTTTCCCAGAGTCATCATGCTTCAAAGTGTCATCAACCACCCATTTGTTCATTTTATATTTACCAACCACTCCTCCAAGAAAACACAATCAAAGCAGGTACAATTAAAATATATAAAGGCAACCAACTCATACTATTCAGTAGGCACATTTGCATCTTATTCTGAACATTGTCTCCAAAGGCTGTGTGTGTTGTATACAATAATTTCTTAAAGAGTGTCAAGCATGCCATTCAGGGGTGCCAACTTGGATAAAATATGGGGGGGGCAGGTAAGGCCCGCCCCACATAACTGATTACATGACACAGCGCACACATTCCATTTGAATAGCAATGCATATCAACTTTTTTGGGGGGGGTCTGGCCCACTCAAATATTTTATGGGGGAGTGAAGGGACCTCAGCCCCTAGGAGTTGGCTCCTATGATGCCATTTTTTGAACTGCATATCAGCTTTGGAAAACAGCCGTACCTTGGTTGCAAAACGCCTTGGAACTCGTACGTTTCGAATCCTGAACAATCGAAAACCGGAAGCGAGTGTTTTCGAAAGCTGAACATCTGGCGCAGCTTCTGATTGGCTGCAGGTTGTTCCTGCAGCCAATCAGAAGCCGCGTCTTGGTTTTGAACAGTTCCGGAAGTCGAACGGACTTCCCGAATGCATTCTGTTCGAGAACCAAGGTACAAATGTTATTTATTTCAGCACGAAGACTTCCAACAAACCAAAAGAAAACCCCAAAACACTGCTCTCCTTTCAGTTTTGTGACATGTTTGAAGGAGATATAAGCAATACGCTGTTTGCTATTTTATTACCCTTATTTGAAGTGGTATCTCCCATGGAGAAAACCTTACGGCGTGTGAAAAATCACCTACAACCATTTTCTGAATCAGAGTACAACATATCAAGAAACACATCCTATTTCCAATTAAGATCTTTGAATAAGAGATAGTGACAGAATCCAGTAAAATGAAAAGGGAAAAAAAGTCATCCCCAGGGAATGCGTAAGTTTGTTTTCTTACACTCTCCCATATACATTATTAAAGTTTTCAATCCATTGCCTCTGTGACTGCCAGGAGGCTCTTTGTTTGCTTGTCAGCTCAAGCAAGTATTGAACGAGTCTTGATTTATTCATAGCAAAAATAAAGATTTACAAAACACTCCGTTTTACTGTCAAATTGCAATGTTCAGCAAATAGCTGGCAAGCACAGCTCAAGACTCCATGGGACAATGAAAAATATTTTAAAGACACCATCATTTCTTTGGGGTAATGATTTGAAGGAGCAGAAGTGAAGGGGTTTAGGAATGTGATTTAGCATTTGTTAGGGTTTCAACCAGGGCTTTGTTTTTCTTCAGCTGGCACTTCCCAGGTGGGCGCCATTGCCATTCTAAGAGAATGAGAGAGGTGTTCATGGTGAGTTCCGTGAAAAATAGCACTGGTTTCAACCAAAACAAAAATCAGGTCTGGGGTGGATTGAAGTGTCTTGTGGTTCATTCTGGCATTGGGAAGAGGTTTCTGAGAAGGCATGCGGCTAACCCCACTTGCTAAATGCTGCTGCATGTACCAGTCACACCTCCGGATGATGTGCAAGCGGCATCAGGTTGACGGGGACCTGTGCATGTGCAGCCCCTTCCTTCCATGGCGATTGGAAGACTGGTCAATAATAATAATAATAAATTAAAAATTATTTATTTATACCCCGCCCATCTTGACATCCTACAGAGAGAGCTGTACATGCACACACTATTACAGTGGTACCTTGGGTTACAGACACTTCAGGTTACAGACGCTTCAGGTTACAGACTCCGCTAACCCAGAAATAGTACCTTGGGTTAAGAACTTTGCTTCAGGTTAAGAACAGAAATTGTGTGGCAGCGGCACAGCGGCAGTAGGAGGCCCCAATAGCTAAAGTGGTACCTCAGGTTAAGAACAGTTTCAGGTTAAGAACGGAGCTCCAGAACGAATTAAGTTCTTAACCTGAGGTACCACTGTAATTTGCTATTTGCTTACTTACTGGATTTCTTACCCATCCTTATCATCATAGCATTTTCTCTCCCCCCCTTTTGTTTTTGTTTTGTTTTTTAGGAGTCTGGGCCCCCTCAATGTTCAGAGGGCATTCAGTTCCGCCCCGGCTCCTCGCAATGTTGCATGCGCAACATCGGAACATCATGTGACATTGCACATGCGATATCAGGATGTTGAGCGGGGCCCCCTCAGTCACCCTAAGCAGCTGTCACCTCTGCTTACTGTAATGACTCAGGGTGGGTTACAACAATCAAATAGGTCACAACCATAAAACCAGAAAAGTGTAAAAAAATAAAATAAAAACAGTAGAAAATAGCTGCAATGCAGTTGGAAGAGGAAAATCTTCATGCAGTATATATCCATGTAGGAAGGTCCCCTTCAGTGTTACAGAAAGTGTTCATTGGCAGAGGGAGGGAGGGCTACTTGACCGCCACCCGCGTTACCTAATTGTACACATCTACAGAGGACGCGGGTGGCGCTGTAGTCTAAACCACAGAGTCCACGGCTTGCTGATCAGAAGGTCAGTGGTTCGAAACCCCATGACGGGGTGAGCTCCCATTGCTCGGTCCCAGCTCCTGCCAACCTAGCAGTTCAAAAGCACACCAAAAAGTACAGGTAGATAAATAGGTACCACTCTGGCGGGAAGGTAAACGGCATTTCCGTGCGCTGCTGTGGTTCACCAGAAGCAGCTTAGTCATGCTGGCCACATGACCCGGAAGCTGTACACCGGCTCCCTCGGCCAATAAAGCAAGATGAGCGCTGCAACCTCAGCGTCGCCCACGACTGGACCTAATGGTCAGGGATCCCTTTACCTTTACACATCTACAGACACACACTGCTCTGTTCCTGCTGCTGGGTGGCCTGACTATGTTACCCTTATACCACTCATGTTATGAAGGTGCTGTCAATTGAACCCGAGATCAAAGAAACAGAATAGACCCTCCTTTCTCTCACACACACTTTTTGCATTTGGGAAGCTCCCCCATAATGGTACAATGGGATCTCCAGTTTGGTTGGGGTTCTCTGATTTAATTCACATGCAGGTAAATTGAGCCGTGCTTTTCTCCTAACACTAAATCTCGCAAAGGTATTAATTTCCTCAGAGAAGAACTGCTGTGTTCTCTCAGGAACATTGTGTCACTGCCAGCTGTAGAGAGGCAGACTGTGCCTCCACCAATAGCAAAGGTTGGTATGTGGGGGGGAGGGAAATGCTCCCCCTACGAAGGTCTGTGTTAGGATTTATTTATTTTTAATTTGTCATTTCTCCTGCCTACGCATTGAGACAATCATAACATGCTTTATATAAGACATTGCATGCGTTTAAGGCACTTTGGGCAGATCCTATGTAGTTGAGGGCAGGCTGAGATGAATGAAGATTGTCAGGAAGGCAAAGGCAATCTGCTGCATGGCAGGGTCATCTCCGAATAGCAAGCAAGGTGGATCCCAGTGGGGTTTTTTAAATACAAGGAGGCTTCCTTGGCTGGTCTCCCTACAGTTTCTCCTTTAGGTAGACCCGGGTGATAACCAGGGCCAGCCTATTACTATGAAGCGTGCAGAAACTGCCTTAGGGGGCAGATATTGCCAGCAGGGTGTGAGCAATGACCTGCAGCCTCCCAGTCATGCCCCCCTATTATATAGGGCAGAGTTCTGTGTCCAACGTTGCCAGTCCTCCACCCCCTAAACTAGACTGCTGCCCTCAAGTACCATGAAGAATTCCCCCATTGCCAGCATTGGAAGAAGAAAAAAAAACCAACTGACATTCCAGTTGGTTTCTGGGCGAGGCTATTTTGTTCTTTGCCTCGGGTAGCACAACATCTTAGGCTGGCCCTGCTGAAGGCACACTGGCTGGATCCACCTGACATCCTGTCACGGGTTCAAGACACATTATGGGTTCACAAGCTTTTGGCTTGGAATCAACTTGATCCCCTCCCCCTCTTTCCTTTTCCCTTTCTCCTTCTGTGATGGAACTCCTATTTGGGGACTTCCCTGGCTTTTTTCTGGCCCACGTAGGACCAGTCTGGATAGTTGGCCTTGGTGAAGATTTGACGTTTTCATCCCCAAAAAGTTTTTGATTTGAGTTTCTACTGAAATGAGGCTACATTTTAATGTTGTATTTTAATCTTGTTTTTAAGTTGTATTTTAATCAATTGTTTTTATACCTGGTGTTAGCTGCCCTGAGCACGGTCTTGGCTGCGGAGGGTGGGGTATAAATAAAATAATAATAATAATAATAATAATAATAATAATAATAATAATGTACAAGTGGGAAATCTTATTGAGTCAGAATTTGTACCAGAAGTACAAGGTAAGAAGGGAGGGGGGGGAGGGAGGAAGAAATGTTAGCTGCATCCTCCCCCACTCATTTGTGCTTGCCTGAAAGTACCCACCATAACAGTCCAGGGAACTATGGGAAATTTAAAATGGTGGCTCACATGCCTGGCCTCCCAACATGCCATACTCTCACCGACAGTGAGTTCTGCTTTTGTATGGAGGTCTTAGCAGCTGCCTGTGGATGCCGACAGCTGGCGCCAGTGCTGGCAAGGCCCTTCCTCATACTACGACCGGACTTCCCCCACCCTGCAAAGCTATTAATATCAGTGCGGGAAGAGGAGATTGAAAATTTCTAGACAAATAACAAGGATAATCCTTACTGCACAGCAGTTGTTTTGAACTGGTGAAGCCCATTAAACTCTGTTGACACAGTGTTGGGGAAAGACTCAAGTAAACAAGGAAGGCATGAAACCATGTAATTATAAAATACTTATCTCCTTATTTCCTTACTTCCATTGCCTGCCCCCCTGCTCAGATGCACACACCACTTGCCATTCTTCATCATATTATATCTATAATAGCTGTCTAATTCTGCAACTGGATCAGGAGGGGCGGAATGCTTGTGCCTATATAACAACGCCCTCCCTGGCTTTGCCCACATGGATTTATTTGCAGAAACGATTCCTTTATCTCGGAGAGTTCCTCCAGTTTCAGACTGTTTTCCTTTGAACTTGTTCCATATGCCAAGAACGACTTTTAAATTAAAACATCATCACAGCAGGTCATTGTCAGCCAGAGATATAAGACATGTGGAAGACAAAGAGTACCTTATTGGCAAAAGTGGTATTAGTGGTAAAACCATTTCCCGGATTACTGGTAGGTTTAATAGTTATGTGAGCTCATAATGCACCTCATAATGGAATGTCATTCATCCCTTTTAGATGCTGGCCCTACTCAAACCTTACCTGAGATTTTTCCTGACTAGGGCTCAAATGAACCAAACCTTACTTGCCCACAAAAGTTCAGACTAGCCTGCTTGCCTAGACATAACATGCAACTGAAATTTATGCCTCAACAGCTCAACATGGAGAAGAGGAAAGAATTGGACAAGAGACCTTTAGTGCATCTCCCCTTTGGAATTCCCTCCCAGGATGTATTAGACTAGTGCTGTTCCTGTTGGGAGATTTAGGATAGAAAAAAGAAAGTACTTCTACCTACAGTGCATAGTCAAACTATGGAATATGCTCCCCCAAGCAGCAGTGACAGCCACAAACTTGGATGGCTTCAAAAGACAAATTTATGGAGGGGAAGGTTATCAATAGTGACTAGCTATAATAGTCATGGCTCTGCCTCCATCGTTGCTGGAAACCAGGGGAGGGGAGATTGCTGTCATGTTCATCTTCTGCTTCCTGGCTTCCCACAGGCATCTGGTTGGCCACTGTGGGAACAGGATGCTGGACTAAATGGGCCATTGGCAATGCAATGTCCATTCTCTCTTACACACACACAAATTCTCATTCAGTATGCTGGCATTGCTTTCTAAAGTGTTTGCAATATTTTGTTGGAAGCTGTCCAGAGTAGCTGGGGCCCTTTGGTGCTACTGAATCAAACCAAAGGCCCCATCTAGCAGTCTGTTCCCACAGTGGCCAATCCGATAGCTCCAGGAAGCGCTCAATCAGGACATGAATTCACTTTTATTTCATGTAGTCATAGAACTGTAGAGTTGGAAGGGACACTGAGGGTCATCTTGTCCAGCCCCCTGTAATATAGAAATATGCAACTGTCCCATATGGGGACTGAACCTGCGACCATGGCCTTATCAGCACCATGCTCTAACCAACTGAGCTATCCAAGCTCAACCACTCAGCCCCATCCCATTCATGATTCCCAGCAACTGCTATGCAGAGAGGCATACTAGTAGCCATTGATAACCTTCATGACTATTTCTAACCCCCTTTTAAAGCTATCCATGTTAGGGGCCATCACCACATCTCGTGGTAGCAAATGCCATGATTTAAGTATGGAATCGCAGGAAGGAAATTACAAGGTGGTCCTGGGGCTCTGAGAAGCACTATTGTGACTGTTGAAATGAGCAGTTAAGGAGGTTCCATTTATTTGCTGAAACGTTTTCACAAGAGACAGAAATGTGCTGAAAAAGTACTATACAGAGTACTAAGCTATGGATTTTGCAAACAATGCATAAGCACATGCCAGGTACTTAATATACTGCTGTTTCAGAAAGCACCATTTTAACCACTGATTTTTAAAGCTGGAGACTCAGAGCTCAGGGAGAGGAGGGGTCAGAAAGCTTATGGAAATGGATCAGCTTTAGAATGCCTGGTGAAATACTGTTGTTGAAGAAAATCTTTGTGTGAAAAAACCGTGTGTGTGTCTCTCTTTCAAAGGGGCGTTGGCAGGATTACCCATGGGTGATTATAACATATTTGGAGTTCCTTAAGCACTCCCAAAAGTACATGATGTTGCACAACAATTTGGTAAGGTGGAGCTGGTTATTCAGCTATGCCATGCTTTTTACGGGGAGGAGTTGGGAGTGAGCCAAAATCTTGCACAACTGGATGCGAGAAAAACAGCTTTTTAAAAAGTCGTTCATGGCAATCGCATGTTACATAAAGTGCCAATTTGCATGTCTGAATGAGGTATCATAGATCAAACACCACAGAAAAGGTCACTCTTTCATGTGCATAATGGCGAGGAGGAGTCATAGCACAAGGGTGATGTAGATGCTATTCACAGATAAGTATGGTAGCTACCCCTGGTACCATACATAGTTAGAAATGCTTTCCCCAAGATGTCCCCAAAAGTTGTTGGATCACACATTCCACCATCCTTGACTATTAGCTGAGTTGGCTGGGGATGATGGGAATTGTAATCTGAGAACATTTGGGGACCCAAGATTGGGGAAGGTGAGTTAGACAATTTCTAGTACGGTGGTACCTCAGGTTACAGACAATTCAGGTTACAGACTCCGCTAACCCAGAAATAGTACCTCAGGTTAAGAACTTTGCTTCAGGATGAGAACAGAAATCGTGCAGCAGCGACACGGCGGCAGTGGGAGGCCCCATTAGCTAAAGTGCTACCTCAGGTTAAGAACAGTTTCAGGTTAAGAACGGACCTCCAGAACAAATTAAGTTCTTAACCAGAGGTACCACTGTAGTAGAGCTGGAGTAAACTCTGCTTGAGACCTGGATCAGCTATTGCCATTGAGAGTAGACAGTACAGCATAAAACAGGTGGATGGTCAGGTTTAGAATAAGGCCACTTTACATCTTAGAGCACTTATTGATGGGCAGGCTAACATGTGGCCTGACTCCAATGAGCAACGTTGTGTATGAGACCATCTATGATGGTCCATTCACATGAGGAGAGCACTATTGCATTCAAGCCTCATTTCTGGGCCTCCCATGAGCATCTGGGGTTGCCAAACTAGATAGCCACATGGTCTAAGATGGGTAGTCAACGTGGTGCCCTCTAGGTGCTTTAGACTACAACACCCATCATACCTGGCTATTGGCCATGCTGATTGAGGTTGATGGGAGCTGCAGTCTATAACATCTGCAGGCTACCTATGCTCTGAGAGCATGAGGATATAAAAAACCTGCTGTATCAGACCAACATCCTCTCTAGCCTAGCATCCTGCTTCCCAAAGGAGCCAGCCAACCAGACTCTAGGAGCAGGACATGACACTTGTTCTTTTCTGATGCTGCAGTCATCAAAGCTTGAACATGCTTGAACCAGTTCCAAGTTTTCATATCACTGGGCAATGCCTCAAATGCAATGCTTTTCCATGGAGTCTGTTCACATACTCAGCTACGAGTCAACCACTCAACCATCACTTACCCTATCATTCTTTGGGCAAAAGATTCCTGCATTGCAGTGGGTTGGACCAGATGACCCTCGTGGTCCCTTCCAACTCTACAATTCTATGGTTTTTTGGTTCCAGTGGGGTCATTAGCCACATCTGGGGAAACCCTGACCATTGAGTCCTGTTACTGGCAAGACGTGCTGCTCAATGTTCTGCATAGTAAAAATGTTCTAGCATATCATTCATGCATATTTGAGCCCCCAGCCCTTTTGCTCCAAAAGACAAATTCCTTACATTTTGCAAGCCATGGGAAATCCCATCCTTTGTTCTGTGCATGTCTTATCAGCTACACAACGTTGAAAGAGGCCAACAGCTCCCGAAGTGTTATAAATTGACTATAAGTTTCCTGTGAGGTCACATGATTGAGAAACCAAAGCCTGTGTTACTTAACTCGTAGCCTATAAAAGGAAGGCTGAACTCCTAACGGATGATTCCTGTCCGGGCCTTTGTAGAGCACTAGAAACGTCAAAGTGAGTGAGTAGATTTTTAATTTGTCCTTCCTTAATGATGGCTATGCGATTGAAATACATGCGATATTGAAGACTGCCGCCAGTTCCTTGTTCAAATTGGTCAGATTGCATTGTGCTCCATGGATTTGATTAATTTCAACCAGAGCTAGATCTGCCGCCTTAACTCTCTCTTCATTGATAATCCATCCTTTGATTATTAAGTGCTTTTCGTATCAGCCTTTCACATCTGCCTGCGCTTATCTAATAATTAGCTCCAGATTTAACGACGAGTTGATTTTGTGTCCAACAGCAATGTAATTTGTTAGTATCTTGATCCATTTTGCTTAACACCCTGATTTAAACGCAGTTGGCAAATTGTCCTTTTGAATGTATTGTTCGGAAGGAGGCATTCCATTGCAAAGGAAGAAGGCGTTTCTATTCCTTTTATAATTATGCAGGGGAAATGGTATTTTGGCCAAGTACAGCTTGCCCTACCCAGGTGATAAAATTTCCACTGGCTGAGATACCCTCTTAGTTAGAGCTGGGAACTGACTGCTTTGCATATAGTCACCTGGTGTCAGCATCCTCTTCATAACCTTCTGGCTTCATGTTTTCGATCAACTCAATTTAGCCCAGATATGCTGCTGAAGCATAATAGGGGAAGGGCCATAGATCAGTGGTGCAGCCCATGCTTTGTATGGGAAAGTCCCAGGTTCAGTTGTGGGCATCTCCAGCTACAGAGGTCAACGTCTATTGAATCAGATCAGTCCATCTAGCAACTTTCCAGGATTTAAGATGCTGGAGATTGAACCTGGAACTGGAGACGATTCCCCCACACGGTGTGCAGGGCCAGGAAGGCACCTTCCTACCTCCTTCCCAAAGCCTAGTAAACGCTTGCTTCAGGAAGGAGGTGTGAGGGCCCTGACAGGGTCCTAGAGTCCTCCCTCCTCCTTTCCAAAACCTAGTTAGTGCCTGCTAACCCTATGCAGTACAGAGGTACCTATGCAGTACAGAAGTAAGACAAATTCAATGGAATAGTCCAATATACAGTCGTACCTTGGTTGTCGAACGGAATCTGTTCCGGAAGTCTGTTCGACTTCCGAAAACATTCGGTAACCAAGGTGCGGCTTCCGATTGGCTGCAGGAAGCTTCTGCAGCTAATCATAAGCCACGGAAGCCGCGTCGGACGTTCGGCTTCCAAAGAATGTTCACAAATCGGAACACTCAGTTCCAGGTTTTGGGCGTTTGGGAGCCAAAACGTTCGACTCGCAAGGCGTTTGGGATCCAAGGTACGACTGTACTATCTTTCTGCATGTATTACAAAGATTACTACATGCATATTTTTAATACAGTTACATGCATTCCTTTATGGATCTCTTTATGTGCTTGCTACTTTAGGAAACACGGAATGTATATGCAAATAACAATTGGTATTTAACCAAGTTTTACTCAGAGCACACCTGCTGAAATTAGGGAACATGACTAATTTAGTTCCACTACTTAGTCTCCAAGTAAAACTTGGTTGAATAGCACATAATACATGTGTAATATGATACGCATGCATTTAATATGTGTGAGTCTTATTTGTATTTTTAGCAGAACCAGTAAAAATAAATAAATAGCCCACTTCTCATCAAGATCAAGGAGTGATGTAGGAGGGGTGTTTTTTGGGGGGGGGGCATGCAGATAAGCTTGACACTGTGATTTGCAGAAAATCTCATCCCTAGTAGAGTGCAGAATTTTATTCTTTCCTAAATAGGATCTAGTATGACACTCTTGATATATGCCTTATGTGGAGAGGTGTGTCTGGAACTTTCACTATACAGTTTTGTTGAATGCTAAATACACATCTCTATGCCCTGCCCTTTGACACCTGAGATATGTGGTTTCAGGATACCCACACCCCATACCTGAGATTGTAACTTGCTTTAACTGACCTAACCCCTCCCCAACAACTTACAAACCAATATGGCTAACCTGACACAACAACAAAAAAGCCCGCACACTAACATGCAAATAAACCACACTGCAACCAACCGAACATAGCCAACCAAACCTTAGACCCTCCAGTCTCTCACAATGCCAATAAAAACAAATAACTATATAAATAAAGGACCTACTCATGAAACGCTGACACAAAAACCGTGCAGAAACACTATGCAAAAGAATGAAAAGCTCCTCACCCCACAGCCCTCTCTCTTCCCTCTATTTTCCCCCAAAGTCTCATACTGAATGTAAACAAACTATGAAAAAAGAATCTATGAATTGAAAGCGGAGACACTATATGTACTTTTCCTTGTTTGTTTTGTATCACAAAATATTTATTTGTTTATTTTTTTTTAAAAAAACTTTATAATACTGAATTTAAAGCACACCCTGGGACCTGCTGGCAAAGGGTTGGTTATATTATTATTATTATTATTATTATTATTAGCAATAATAATAGTAATAATATAGGTGCTAGCTATTATAGGCATGAGGCCTCTTTTGGGTGCTCTTGGGCTCCAACTTGCATCAGCCCAACTCAGCATGGCCAATGGGTTCTCCTACCTTGCATAAAAACTTTCTTGTTGTGCGTAACTGTTCAAGAGATGAGGAAACAAAAGAAAATTAAAAGAGTGTTGGAAATGGTGCATAATCCCCTGCTTCAATCTATTAAACAACACTTTACCCACAATATTTTAAATCCTTGTTCATATAGCCGGCCTTCATTTCATTGCAGTGCATTATAATCGGTACGGTTGGGTTTGGGTTAATTATTTTCTCCTATCTCTACCTCTTTAATTTTAATTTTTTTTCCCCCAGGTCAAACCACTGAACAATGCTGGTGCTTCTAACACTCTCTGTGTTGATTTCGCAATTTTCACCAGCATCGTTCCAGGGCTCACCGCAAGTTATACAGAACTTGGATCGGAATGCCTGCTCACTGGTTGTATGTGGACCAGCTGAGAAAGGGTTACCAGGGATAAATGGGAGAGATGGAGTCCAAGGACCAAAAGGGGACAAGGGAGAGCAAGGTATGGAAAAGGTGACTTCCTAAGAGTTCCCATTCTTTGAGAATCAGCTTTTGATTCACACACCGGAGAGAAAAAAGACAGGAAATCATGCAGTCCCACATAATTTAAGCAAAAGTGGCTTTTGATGCAACTTCATGATGACCCCCAATTACATTGCCTTGTGATAAATATCACTGAGTTTTCAATGTTAAGACAACCTCTTCTCTGACCATAACTTAGCCTTATCCAATGCCTAAACCACCACCTGAGGGTAAAAGCCTTAGTCTTGTTTGGAGGAGAGGTTGTAAGCCTCTTGCTGCCCTTCCGAGGGAAAGGGGTATCCTGTTAAAAGCATCCTGGAGGAGATGCTTCTATCCAGATTCCCAGGTGGGGGCTAGAGCCATAGTGCCCTTCAAGGTGGAGATCCTGGCGTAGATATACCTATCTGATGTAAGTCATAGGACCTCCTTGCCTCAGGGTAGACCCCATGGAGAAGATACTTCCAGCAGGCGGGTTGGTTGTGATAGGATATACCCAATGCCTATGACAAACCTCTTATATCTGCAACCAATAAAGCTGTGCTCTTATTCAACTCAAAAGAATGTGTCTTGACTGGTTTTTCTCCACTGATTAGGGGCAGCAGAGGCATGGCGCCTGGACATGCAAACAGCGTAAAAATTCTACCAAGACAACATAAAAGCAAAGTAGCATGACATCAATATAAAAATGAATCTTAAGTTTTCAAATTGATACTAATAAAGACTGTGTAGGTCCATCAACAGTGAGGGCTAGAAGTGCAAGACCGCATGATGTTCTGCATTTCTCCTCCTCTCACTGGATTAAGAGGGACATGATGCCAAACAGAGAAGGAAAAGGCAGAAGAGGAGAAAGCAAATATAGGGAGGGGATGGGAATGTCATCTGGTGGATGTATGGCAACAGCCACAGCCACCTTGAATGTAGCTGCCTTGGCTAACTTTAGGATTGCCATACATCCAGAATTTCCCAGACATACCTGGAATACTGTAGTCGGAAGCAGTGTCTGGGTGGAAATCGGCTAAATGTCAAGGAAGACATATGGCAACCGATGTCAGCAGTGTCATTTTTGCAACTACAGTGGTACCTCGGGTTACAGACGCTTCAGGTTACAGACTCCGCTAATCCAGAAATAGTATCTTGGGTTAAGAACTTTGCTTCAGGGTGAGAACAGAAATTGGGTGGCGGCGATGGCAGCAGGAGGCCCCATTAGCTAAAGTGGTACCTCAGGTTAAGAACAGTTTCAGGTTAAGAACGGACCTCCAGAATGAATTAAGTTCTTAACCCAAGGTACCACTGTATGGCCAAAAAAGCTCAACAACTTCTCCATCCAGATTTTCACTTTTTGAAATATGGCAACCTTAGATAACTTAGCAATGATGATGACCCAAGACTGGAATCTATGCATTGCTTCTTGTGTTAGCATCTTTAAACTGAAACTGGCATGAGAGCGTTTCATTTAACTGATTTGCCAGTAATTTATCATCCTTGTGTTCATCACAAGTGCCTCTTGTTCACCCACTTAGTAAACCACTTCCCCCCTCTTTTTAAAGATTTTAATATGATATTATAACAATATATAGCCAAAAACATTAAGCTGTATATCAAACATGTTTGCTTCCCATGCAGAAAGAAAGAAAGAAAGAAAGAAAGAAAGAAAGAAAGAAAGAAAGAAAGATATATGAAGGGGGAAAGGGACAACATAACAAAGACCCTATAGTATCGTGCATAAGTTAAAAGGGGAAATATCATTTCCACTGTCATTCCAGAAAAGTAAATACAAGGCCCACCTCTCAATAAACTTCTCCCTTGGGTTATTATGTATTGCATTCCTCACATATGTAAGCTTTATCATTAAGATAACCCCACTTTTCATTCTTCCACTTAATGCCAGGGTTGGCAGGACCAAGAGGAATTCTTGGTCCTCCTGGAAAAATGGGACCAGCTGGACCACAAGGAGAAAAGGGGACCCAAGGAGAGCAAGGACCCAAAGGAGATGCTGGATCAATGGGTAAGGAGTGTTGTTGACTAAATGGAATTGTATTGCATCGAATTCAACAAAAGCTAGATATTATTAGAAGAAATCAAACTTCTTTTTAAATATTCTTGTCCACATCTGTCTCTAAGTCTTGTTAGAGGGCCATCCTGCCGATTGGTGGCATCAAACATTTTCCCTGGATGAGAGTACAAACCCACCAAGGTGCTCTTCCCTTGCTCCCAGTACAGAACTGGCCCAAGACATTTTGCTACCTGAGATGAAAGACAAGAGGGTGCCCATACCCCAGTCCATGTACAGAACCTCACCAGACTTCCAGTTGAAACATTTCAACACTAGTGTTAGGACAGCGTCCTCCACCACTCTGAAGGCATACCAGATTGGGACAATGGCATGCACATTTCTATGGTTCCCAGTTCTAAGGCCCAGGAGCTCCTGATGCACTACAACTCATCACAAGAGACCTTCCCCCTTTGGTGTATATCTCTGCCTGCTCAAAAAACCTCTTTCTTTTGAGTAGGACCGCGTGGAATCCGAGGTTTGCAGGGTCCTCCAGGAAGCGTTGGCCCCTCTGGAGCACAAGGCAACAATGGCCCACAAGGTGAAAAAGGCATCAAGGGAGAAACAGGTAATCCTAAGTGATAAATAGTTGGATTTCTGCTAGAGGGTTCAATATACCACAGTGGCCAGGATCCAAAGGAGCATACAACTACTTCTGCACACCCAGTGGGGTTGGGGGCTTCTGCTTCTCAAACAGCCATTTGTGATATCCCTGGAGTCCTACCATCCAGCAAAAGAAGTAAAAAGACCTAAATGTCAGTCCAAGTCCTTAAGCATGCCTAAGTAGCTTTTTTGGATCCCAGTCACAGATTTTAAAAGAATACACTGAAAATGTTCACATCCACCCTGTTGTCCAGATTCTTAGTATGGTACAGTTTCCAAGTTATAAATGCTATGTGAATGGAGAAAGCAACCATAAAATGCCCATACCTCTGATGTTTCCCTCTATATATACAGTGGTACCTCGGGTTACATACGCTTCAGGTTACAGACTCCGCTAACCCAGAAATATTACCTCGGGTTAAGAACTTTGCTTCAGGATGAGAACAGAAATCGTGTGGCAGCGGCAGCTGGAGACCCCATTAGCTAAAGTGGTGCTTCAGGTTAAGAACAGTTTCAGGTTAAGAACAGACCTCCAGAACAAATTAAGTTCTTAACCCGAGGTACCACTGTACATCCATCGTGGATGCCAATGAAAGAACAAGCAAATACATCATAGGCTTACAGCTCTCAAGCTTGACTCCCATTGTTAGGCAATTGGCTGAGGTCACAAAAAGATTGTGATCTGTGACAGCCAGCTTCTGAAGTCATGTTCTGGCAACATGCAAGTTATAAAATGTAGTGATAAAGGCCACTTCATCAAATGCATCTGGCACTAGTCCAGAAAAGCTTGTGCTATGATATATTTGCTAGTTTCTAAGGCAGGGGTAGTCAACATGGGAGGTTGTTGGAACCCATCAGCCCCATTCAGCAAAACCAATGGCAAGGATGGTGTAAGTTGTAGCTCACCTTGGGAGGGAACCATATTGCCTCCCCCTGCTCTGCAGTACCATAGCCTCATCATTGTTTGTTTTGGTATAAGAGACTAACAGGACTACCCCCTAGACGTAAAATTGTGACTATCATATCCTCGGTATAAACCAAAGTTAGTATATAAACACTGGAGCTATCATTTCTGTGAGAATGTCCAACCTAAGATGTAGGCCGCCTCTTCCCATATGAGCTGAGCCAGACAGTGCAATCATCATCTGAGGCCTTCTTCATGTGCCTCCTCTACAAGAAGCCCAGAGGACAACATGAGACCAGGCTCCCTGTTTGTGGAATGCCCTCCCCAGAGAGGCCCGCCTGGCACCTTTGTTACATATCTTAGGCAAAAGCATTCCTCTTCTCCCATCCTTTGGCTAATTAAACCATCTATGACATGCATAGGCAAACTCAGCTCTCCAGATGTTTTGGACTACAACTCCCATCATCCCTGCCCACTGGTCCTGTTAGCTAAGGATGATGGGAGTTGTAGTCCCAAAACATCTGGAGGGCCGAGTTTGCCTGTGTCTAGTCTATGACCTTTTAAACTGGACAGGTGGGCTGGTATTTTGTTACCATTGTGTGTATTTTTGTGCTTTTATATTGTAAACTTCCCTGTGATCTTTGGATGAAGGGCAGCATAGGAACAACAACAACAACAGACAGACAAACTAGGGCTGAGCTGAAACTATTTACCTACTTTTGCATTTGTGATAATTACAAAGTACCTTCCATTTTTTTTGATTCTCCCCTCCCCATTCAATATTTCTGTAGGTTCAAAAGGAGCTACTGGTGCCCAAGGTCCCAAAGGTGACACAGGTGTGGCTGGGCCCAAAGGCGACAGAGGCCCAGTGGGCGAAAAGGGAGCAAAAGGAGATGTGGGAGAAAGAGGTAAGTGGTGTGGGCGAAAAGGTGCATCTGAACAAACATTTTGATGGCATGAGAAAGGTTCCGAAGAGACAACAGAAATAACTTCTTGATGTAGTGCATAGTTAGTTTGAGGGATTTTTAGCTGGCCACTAACTTAGATGACTTTTTTTAAAAAAAAAAGTATAAAACTGGCACTCCCCAGATTCAGCTCTGAATTTGAGGAGGACCTCAGCATAGTGCCCTGGGATGAATGCCCTCCTACCTGCAATGAAAAAACTATCATTTTAAATTCCCCACAATACCCCTAATAAAGCAGCACTCCAGGGCATACTGAGCATTGAAAATGTCTGTACTCACTCCCCCCGCCCCCCCCCCCGGGACTGCTGTTTTAATACTCTGCGAGGCTCCAGAGCTTTCCATGTCCCTGTAGGAAATTTAAAATGGTAACTCGCCTTACCAGTGCCCAAGGGCACTGCCCCAGGGGAGCCAAGGTGTAATGCCAAGCCCTTGCTCATCTTCTGCTCAATGTCAACCTCTGATACTCCTTTCCAGTTAACGAAAAGAAAAGATTTGTGATTTGTTCACACTGCTCCTGCATACAACCTTTTAAACCAATTGGCTATGGCTGTTTATCAGATGTTAACATGCATAGGAAAACAGAAGCCACCTACCAACTAATTTGCTAGGGTGTAGTTGTTTTTTTAAAAAAATCCTGTATCAATAAGTTTTTAATGTTAGACATCTTATTATGTTTTCATATGTGCTGGAAGCTGATCCGAGTGACTGTGGAACCCCAGCCAGATGGGCAGGGTATAAATAATAAAAATTATTATTATTATTATTATTATTATTATTATTCTCTCCATAGGATTACAAGGAGCGACCGGTACCCAAGGGCCAGTGGGGAAACCAGGATCTCCTGGATCCAAAGGAGATAAAGGATCTGTAGGTGACAAAGGGACCAAGGGTGACAGCGGTCTCTCAGGTAAGGAGGGTAGCCTTTCGTTGTTGATGTTAAAAGTGATGCATTAAAAGTGTTAGAGCAAAATTTGTCTTTTAAGTTGCTGTGCCCTTTTTAGTTGGTGCAATCCATGTGAATTTTGTAACTCTGATTATTGAGGGAAAGTTTAAGTGAGCAATCAGGGTGGAGCTAACTTTTTTTTTAAAATCACACAACTCGATTGAGAGTGTATTTAATTCCAGACCATTCTGGGGGGTGGGGTGGGAATATTTATTCTAGTTTGGGCCTTAACAGGAAGGTCTGAAAGGGGGATCAAGCGATGGATACATGTATCTGTATAAACAAAGGCTTCTTTCAAAAAAGGGCAAACGTTTACCGTTGATGGACATTAATACCACTGAACCATTAATGGTATAATTAATTCATACCATTAATACACACATGCATACACCAACACACAAGCAAAACAGACCTAGTAAGAGATCACCACCCAATATTCACTAATGTACAAATTCATTTCCAGTTGATTCTACACTGAGATTATGTATTTAATATAGCATAATATTATTCCATAGAATTAATGAATGATGAATTAATTAATTATGGCAGCAATTGATTGACTGTGACAACAACATGTTTATTGTGTTGTGCCATTTGTATTGTCTGGCAATTTTTACAGTTCCTGGGTGGGTGGAAGTTGGAGAGAGAGGTGGCATTTGGTTTAACAAAACGTTTCACATCCACACTGTGTGCAATATATTGTTTACCGCATATTACTACAGTACTGAATCTTGCAGATGATGATCATTTTATTATTTCTCAGAGGTCAACCTTATGAAAAAACAAGTCAGTGACCTAGAGGGGCAGCTAAGAGCCTTGCAAGCCAGTTTCTCCAAATATCAAAAAGGTAAATGTTGCATGTAACAGAAACATTGTGAACCGTCTTTTGCAATCTTCCTTGGTCCGTTTGGCCCCTTAACAGAGAACCAGTACCAACATACAGGTCTATGGGCACATTATATGTGATAGCACAGGGATGTTCATTGTAACCCTTAGATTCCAGCACATGCATGCATCATCCCCCTGTTGTAGCATTAGAGAACCAGCAACAACATTGTCTTTGCAAGATTATGACTGCAGCACAAGCTCAGTAAGCACTGGAATAAATTGTGTAGGTTATCCCTAGACTTTTGCAGCGTTATCCAAACCCACTTTTTAAAGATCCGTTTTCCTTTCCTGCAAAATAATTGCAACATTTTGAAAATTCAGTGAAGAAAATGTTCTTTTGAATGTGCTGTAGCCTGGCCAGAGCCAGGTGCACCATCAATTTTCAATTGTCACCTTTGTGGCCACAGCTAAGGTTGTATGAGGGTTCTCTTGATTCTACATAAAGGTAAAGGTAAAGGGACCCCTGACCATTAGGTCCAGTCGTGGCTGACTCTGGGGTTGTGGCGCTCATCTCGCTTTATTGGCCGAGGGAGCCAGCGCACAGCTTCCGGTCATGTGGCCAGCATGACTAAGCCGCTTCTGGCGAACCAGAGCAGCGAACGGAAATGCCGTTTACCTTCCCGCCGGAGTGGTACCTATTTATCTACTTGCACTTTGACGTGCTTTCGAACTGCTAGGTTGGCAGGAGCAGGGACCGAGCAACGGGAGCTCACCCCGTCGCAGGGATTCGAACCGCCGACCTTCTGATCAGCAAGCTGTAGTCTCTGTGGTTTCTACATAGGATGGCATTAATCATCTTGTTGCATTATCCAAATCCAAGATTTCTATGGGTTACAAATAGCAGAGGTTGCCATCCATTTATTGGCTTCGCAAAACACAGTGGCTGACTATCAACCTGACGCCCACTCCCTTTGTTTGTTTTAGTTGCAGCATTCCCGGGAGGGCGAATTGTCGGTAACAAAGTATTCGTAACCAGCGGCTACGAAGGCACCTTTGATGACCTGAAGCAAAAGTGTCTGCAAGCCGGGGGCCAGCTGGCCGCCCCCAAAAATGCTGTGGAGAACACAGCCGTCCAACAGATAGTTGTTCAGCATAACAAGTCGGTCTTTCTTGGGGTAACTGATATCCAGACGGAGGGGAAATTTAGGTACCTGAATGGCGATGCCATCGTTTACTCCAACTGGCTACAGGGAGAACCCAATAACGAAAAGGGCAGGGAGAACTGTGTAGAGGTTTATGTGAATGGAAAGTGGAACGACCGGGCCTGCGGGGAAAAGAGGCTAATACTCTGTGAATTTTAGGCCATCTGTTCCAAAAAAGAAAAAGCTCGACCCAGCCACAAGCTTCAATACTGTGTTTGCTTTTTATCTGTAGACATTAATCATTATTTTTTCAATCCTTTTTTGTTTTAGTCTATTGACATATGTGCACACATAACATAGCCATTGGGCCAGGGCAGACCTGACAGGTTTTATAAGGGCTGCTGCTGCTGCTGCTCCTCAGCAGAGAGGGCTTCTTTTAAATTGCTTTTAATTATTTTTTTTTAAAAAAATCCTTTTTGATTTTTTTTTAGTGTTTCAACTGTTTTTAACTGAGTTGTAAGGGCATTTTGTGGGATTTGCCTGGGAGGAGAGGAGCGGGAAAGGAAGCTCCTTCATGCAGGACCTTTCTTCTTGCTTGTGTTACTGTATAAAGTACTATGTAGATTGATGGGTTTATATCAATAAATCATGATCCATTTTCCGCTGAAGACGCACATTCAGAATGAAATGTAAGGTCTTGTAAATCTGAAGTTGAAAATGGTTTGTGGGTGTTTTGTTTTTTCCTAAGTGGGGTGCATTGCTTTTGATGCGGGTGGGGGGATTTTTACATGCACAGGATATTTTTATATTTATATTTTCAAAACTGTTTATTAAAAGAGATTTTCTTGGAGCAAACAGAAGTATTTTCATCATATGAGTAAGCATTCCTAGGAGCATTTATCTGAGGTAGAGATGGATTAGAAAGTACTGAATCATTTAATTAACGAGGGCTGGCCAGAACCTGCTTTCCATTGTTCTGCCTCATGGTCTACCACTTGTGCAAATCAGATCCTCATTGACATTCACACCCAAATATGGAAACTGACCAGCTATGCCATTGCTTCCAATAGGATGTACACCAGAATGCAGGGTGCTGCCTTTCTATTCCATTGTGTGATGCACATTTGGGCAAACACTGGAAAGACATACACATATTAAATAGCACAATGGTTCATCATTTCCCCAAAAACTTGCACAACATTCTCTGCATCCAGATAGATTTCACTTTCTGACTTGCCTGCACTATAATTCATGCTGATTATATTTCTGCTGATGAAAAATAAACTGGGTGGAATTGGACATAACAAGGATTTGTGCTAATGGTTCATACTCAGCCAAACGACAATGGCCGGGGTTGGAAATTTTGGGTAGTAGTGTACCAAGTTTTGCTTAGTTAATAGAGGATATCATCTTACCTCCCCGCAAACAAATCAGGATGAATGCTCAATATGTAGGTAATTTGGAAATGACCTCAGTTGAGAAAGTATTTTGCAACTATAGGCTGTAATATTAGGGCATCGTTAGTAAGTTATACATGTATGAGTGCAAGGCGAAAGCTGTACAGCCTTGAGCACAGTAAATCAAACATCTCTCACTGTGTTTCTAGAGGGTGTTTTAAGATAAGCTAACTTGCCCTTCTCCAAAACAAATATTGACTAGAAATGTAGTTCAAATACTGAACAAAATTTATTCTGCTTTAGCAATCTGGCCAATATGACATCTTTTTTTTTACGATTTATTCACCTTTCCTAAAGTGGTGGTGGTGGTGGTGGTGGTGGTGGTTCCTTCTTAACAAAATAAATTACACTACCTGTGTGCTTTCTGGCAGCTTGTACTGTTTTCTATGCAAAAGAGCATTTTTAGTTGGGGAGCATCATGTGCTATTCCCCCTTCACGTGGACTGAAATGGTAGAGTCAAGCAAAAGTTGCATCAAGTGATTTTCTTGAAATTTGCTTTCAATTCTTAAACCTCCTTCACTAGGGCTGCCATCAAAACTTTGACCTGCTTGGTGACCAGTTGTGTCAGATTCTGTGGTCTGGAGCAAATATGGATCAAGTAATTTCAACAAAGCCAATGAATTCCCCCACCCACCCAAAGCCTACCCTCCATACACAAGAGGTGGGTGGAAGATGGCTTGGCATAAGTGCGAGAGACAACAGCCATCATCTGGCAGCACGGGGATGAGCCAAGCAGTGGAAAATCTGCCATGCCAGGTGGAAGCCACCAGAGAAGGTTCTAGATCAAGTCCCTGGGATGACCGTTAGGTCACTTGTCCACCTCAAGGCAAGAGCGGGGGGCCTCACTTCCTGAGGCACTCCAGCATAAGCACTCAGGGCAAAATGAAGACCTGTGGCAGGGAACAACATGGATGGTGCTGTGGGTGGGGATGAAAATACATGGCCAAGCTTCAGATGAGTCCTCTGAAGCCCCATTCCCATAGTGCATTTTAAAAAGGTGCTTGGGGGTTCACTGATGTGAGAAAGGCACTCATCACTCTCAGAGGCAATATTTACTGGCACACTACTAAAATAATAGCTGATCCTGTGAATGTAATCAAAAGAACTATATGCAACAATGGTTGAGGAACAGCAGGTCGTGAACCATGCTGGCTACCAATACAGTAGTACCTCGGGTTACATAAGCTTCAGGTTACAGACTCCGCTAACCCAGAAATAGTACCTCGGGTTAAGAACTTTGCTTCAGGATGAGAACAAAAATCGTGCTCCAGCAATGCGGCGGCGGCAGCAGGAGGCCCATTAGCAAAAGTGGTGCTTCGGAACGAATTAAGTACTTAACCTGAGGTACCACTGTATGTGATCCAGCCCACCTCCACACTTGCTGCCTCTGTTCCGCTCATCTATGAACTTGTCCCTTTTTCAATGCTGAGGTGGGCCCCGCCCCAAAGTCTATACTAGGCTACACTACACTACTGTAATCATCTTATTGATTTATGGAATGATATGTGAATTGTATGTGTGTTTTTTAACAAAACGCCACTGCAAAATGTATTCTCAAAGGTCAACAACTTGGGAGAGGGACGACCCAAAACCCACCGTATCTTACATTGTGGAAGCTCCAGACTGTTTGTTCTCTGGGGTGGGTGGGGACTTGAGCTTTGCTCCATGGAATTTCAACACAGTGGGTGGAAGAAGAAAAAAGAGAGAATATTCTCACTTGAGAGATAAACACAGAGGACGCCGGGGTGCTTCCAATATTGAAACAAATTTGGATTTGAAGAAGGTAAGTGTGATCCTGAAAACAGGAACCTTTTCTGTGCCTGTACACGAGAGAGAGAGAGAGAGAGAGAGAGAGAGAGAGAGCGCATTCTTCATTTTAAAAGAACTCCCATGTAATTTTGCTTCGGCCAGATTCCAGCCACAAAGAGATTGCCAGTAAACAAAGCACATGGAGGAAGTAGATATCTATGCCACATGAAAATACAATCTCTCTGTGTGTGTGTGCATACATAAATAAATAAATAAATAGATAAATAAGATATATTTGCAAGGGTTTTAGTCTTGATTGTTTAACCTGCTCCGCTGTGAATTGTTTTTAGCAGCCTTAATCTGCTTGAAAATTCTAGTGCTACTATATATTTGTGTTTTCCTTGTTGTTCCACATCCTTGTCTCCATATGGATGAAAGGCAGGATTTTAAATACTTTACATAAAATATTATTTGCATGTGTACTGGGGCTGCAACATTTACACTGCAACCCTACTCAGAATTCAGCCTCATTCATTTCAATTGGATTTATTCCCAAGTAACTGGTATAGGAGTACAGCCTTAGTTGGTTAATTGGTTAGATTAAAATATTTTTCAAGACCTTTTAAACGTCAAGGATGATTAATACAAGCACTTATAAAAATTGTGACCACTAAACCTATCCTGAGAAAACTCTCACACAGGAGGGATGCCTCTTCTAAAAATAATAATAAATTCATTTGAAGATGGGTTTTCTATGACTTGCCTAGAAGAAATCTTGCAGTGTCCTTCCTGGCAGCTATTGCGCCATCTTCCCTCTGTTAACAGAACCTATAACATCTTCTTAATACGGTTTTGAACCAATGCGCTCCCTCATCGTTTATATATCTTGTTATTTTCATTTTCTAATTTTATTTTCAGAGAAGGTTGAGGTTTTTCTGACCACAATTAGTTTCCTAATCCCACCTCAAAATCCCCCAATTGTCATCTTCCCTATGACATTTTAAAGCCAATTTTGTATATAAGCACATTAGGTTTATAAGTACAGGTTCAGACCACAGCACCTTCAGTTATAGGTATCGGGGTAACCTCTAGGACAGCCCTTCTCAACTTTGGGTCGGTCCCTAGATGTTGTTGGACTACAACTCCCATCATTCCTAGTTGGCATGGCCAGTGGTCAGAGAGGATGGGAGTTACACTTCCAGAACACCTGGCAACCAGGTTTGAGAAGGGCTGCTTTAGAATCTCAGCAAGCAGAGCAAGGGGGTTTCTGTCTTAAACTGTTTCAGACTGCTGCAAATCAGAATGTAGGTAGGTGAAACACTATTCACAAATGTGAATGGCTTCCTAAACCAAATAATTTCAGGGAAGGTTTCGGATCACAAGCTGGTTAGGGGGGCTTTAGCCTTTTAGAGTCCCCATCCCCGCTATGGTCCCCATCCAAATCAGAGGTTTGTGCTTGCTGTTTGCACTAGAAAAGCTCCTGTTCGCACCAATATAGGCTTTCCTTTCAATACAAATGACAGCTGTGAGAGGATCCAAACTGGTAACGTATTTGGGGGCAAAGGGTTAAAGCCCCAGTTAGGCTCCCCCCCTTGAGATTTGCTGTTATCGTGCATGGTTATATAGTTCAGATGCATTTGTGATGTAAATGTTATTTTGGAATATTACTTATTTCTTATAATAAGTTTTGCTTAATTTCCCCCCCCCCCACACAATGGATTATAAAACATGTATTTTAGCATAAAATGCAACTACAAATCCATATGTTGAGGTGAAGGAAGTATTTAAAAATGTTTTGTGTGTGTTTGCAGATCTCTTTTTTAGAAAGTCACATCTTAAAGTAGAAATGGGATGGAACAGATTTATGAATGAACACATGCAGAATTGGCCATCCCTAGTTGAAACTTTCCATGTTGTGCATCATGTGTGCAAAACTTACAGGGAGGCTATGCCATGTTGAGCATTCAGTGTACAAAACCTCCTGTTGGTGCTATTGATACACGTTTCCTGAGCTTTTATTCAAATAGGCTCAGTTACTACTCTTTATGTGCATTTGCTAATCGACTCAAATGTACCTGAAATTATATCTTACATATAAGATTTTTTTCCATTCAAAACTAACAAAATCATTATTTCACACAACTGTTCTACTGGAATCACTTTAGAACTGTTCTCTGTAAAAACGGCAATAGATCATGCTGAAAAGGCTATACATGCATTCTTCTAACATCAACTTTCTAGGCATGGGATTCCTTTGGATTTTTGGCTTCCTTATCTTGCCGGCGGCATTCTCACAAAGCACAGTCCCCACTGCAGGCAAGGACAACACGTGCCCTTTCATTCTTGGAATGCCTGGGAGCAATGGATTGCCGGGTCCAACAGGAGAGAAGGGTGATCAAGGTACAGTTACAAAGACTTGTCAGGGATGGGCTTAGTGCAGGTATGTCCAAAGTCTATTTTAAGGGCCTAAACCTGGTTTAATCTGGCCCCTGTGGCAGTTTATTTCCTGGGGTAAAATCCTAAAAAAAACTCAACAACGTCAATCCTTAAAAAATGACTGTTGTGTACTAAGGACCTTGGTCAGCAATGGCTGCTCATCGCCTTCTTGGGGGCGACGTTTGTGGCCCCTTGCACTCCAGCCTCTTTACCTCACACACTGACCAGCCGTTGCAGGGAATTCCCTATGCCCTGGGGATGGGGGCAGGTACCCATTGAAGACCGTGGCAGCCCAGCCAGCGGCTGCGTCGCCAGGGCAGAAACTTGCTGGCTATCCGGACATTGGCCCGTGCCCTGCCCAACCAGGCAGCACTGCTTTAAAAGGCCCATTGCCTGGTGGAGCTCTACAGCGCTGTCGGCCATTTTAAATTCCAGATCATTGCCTGCCTGCGTTTGTACTCTCCCACTTCACCTTAGAATGGGAGCAAGAGGGGAGGGACCACAACTGGGAAACCATCTGAGGAGGGAGCGAAGTGACCAGCATTGGGATGCTACCACTGTGTGTGTGTCTCCAAACTGGACCACTGTCATTTCTGCCGCCCCTGACACTATCCTAATTGTCACTATTGGGGGATACCCCTCTTGGCTTTGGTTTGGTATCTAGGGGGCCAATGGTAGCCCTGATGGGATGGGATACGGCTGCCGATTCTTACAATAAGGCAATCTGAGGTGAGCTTCGTGGCTCAGTGTAAAAGAAGCCACTAGCCATTAGTCAGAACTTTCCAAAACAAGTATTTCTGTATTTGATGCCGAAGTATGAGCGCATCACCACCAGAATTGGGCCGGCCGCTCAAGGTTTGATCGGCATCTAAAAGTTTGTCCATGCAACGGATGTTCTTGTAGAACTTGACCATGGATTCGTATTTCTTACTTCCTGTTATTCCTCGTGTTTCTTGCTGTTCATTTAATCCTTTGATTTCCAGGACCCCAAGGAATTCAGGGACCTCCAGGAAAAGCTGGGCCTCAAGGCGATAAAGGAGATCGGGGTCTAGTAGGTGAAAGAGGACCAAAGGGAGACCATGGAGCAAGAGGTAGGAGCCTATTCATAGATTAAAGTAAAGGTAAAGGTACCCCTGCCCGTACGGGCCAGCCGTGTCCGACTCTAGGGTTGTGCGCCCATCTCACTTAAGAGGCCGGGGGCCAGCGCTGTCCGGAGACACTTCTGGGTCACGTGGCCAGCGTGACGAAGCTACTCTGGCGAGCCAGCACCAGCGCAGCACACGGAAACGCCATTTACCTTCCCGCTATAAAGCGGTACCTATTTATCTACTTGCACTTAGGGGTGCCTTCGAACTGCTAGGTGGGCAGGAGCTGGGACCGAAAGACGGGAGCTCACCCCACCGCGGGGATTCGAACCGCCGACCATACGATCGGCAAGTCCTAGGCACTGAGGTTTTACCCACAGCGCCACCCACGTCCCTATTCATAGATTAGCTACCTGCTAATCTGCCATCTTTCTTCTCTGGTGGACAAGTCATTCTGGGCACTGAAGAGACAACCACTGAATGCAACCTGCTTTCATGTAAGAGTATTTGCGAAGTACAAGACATCATCTCAATGGCTTCACTTTCCTTCACCAGGTTAGTAGTAAAGTTACAGCCACCTGAAATCAAGATATAATTTCACCTAAAGCAAACAAACATTGCCTTTTCTGTGGCTGTATCTGCACTGTGAGGGAGTACGTTTATTCTGACAAATAATTACAGAGAAAGATCTCACCTTGTGGCGACATTTCCTTGTGACAACTGATGAGAAAATCCATCACTTCTAAACTAACTGCACATTTATTTTGGTTCTATCTCTATTATACCACAAGAGGGCGCATTTAAACCAACTAGTAACAAATGACCAAAGAACAAAAACAACCCAAAAGGGGAAATGCCACTTCCTGGTGACTCTTCAAAAAACCTGACTCTGGAAAATCTGATCTGATAAACTTATAATAGAATTGTAGAGTTGGAAGGGTCCCACGGGTCATCTAGTCCAACCCCCTGCAATACAGTGGTACCTCGGGTTAAGTACTTAATTCGTTCCGGAGGTCCGTTCTTAACCTGAAACTGTTCTTATCCTGAAGCACCACTTTAGCTAATGGGGCCTCCTGCTGTCGCGCCACTGGAGCATGATTTCTGTTCACATCCTGAAGCAAAGTTCTTAACCTGAAGCACTATTTCTGGGTTAGCAGAGTCTGTAACCTGAAGCGTATGTAACCTGAAGCATATGTAACCTGAAGCATATGTAACCCGAGGTACCACTGTGCAGGGATCCTACCCACAGCAATCCCTGAGTGGGCTCGAACCACCAACCTTCCCAGTGAACAGCCAGACGCACTGACCCATTGCACTACAGAAAGCATCCGTCACTGAAAGAAGATGGTTGTCAGTACAAAGACCTAGGTAGACCAGGGTTATCTGGTTGTTTCAGTTTCAAAAAAATCTAAGTGTACACATTTTGTAAACCTATAAAAGGAGCATTCCCATGGTCAGGGGCTCCAAGACTTGCCCACACTGTATTTCCCCAGCTATCACCAAGAAATGCCCACAATAGGCTTTATGCCAGTCAGTTTGGAATAACGGTTGGCTTTTTTGCTCATTATATAACAATAATGTCAGTAGTTTAAGACTCCCCTCTCTATAGGTACTCAGTTGCTGATGCAGTTCGTCCTACACCTATTAGGAAGTCTGCCTAAATGCCTCCATCTATGTCATTCCTATAATAGCATACCTGGTGGATATAGTACAGGCATAGGCAAACTCGGCCCTCCAGTTGTTTTGGGACTACAATTCCCATCCATGACCACTGGTCCTATTAGCTAGGGATGATGGGAGTTGTAGTCCCAAAACATCTGGAGGGCCGAGTTTGCCTATGCCTGATATAGTATCATGTTTCCATCATGATCTGCTAAGAGTGCTGTTAGAGAAACCACACTGGCAAAATCCTTTACCTGCGCCACAATCAGGGTGAGAACAATCACATCTCAAACAAGATATGTGGGTCCAAGTTCCTAATAGGTGGTGGTGGTGATTTGCAGCATTTGCACAGAGCAACCGGGATTGCATTTGCATAGTCCTTTTAAAAACAAACAAACACAAACAAACAAACAGGAATCTATTTATTGAGCTGACTTAAGTCTGATAATACTTACCCATTTTGCTTTAATTTTGATCTACTGTATCTCCAATTTGTGTTTTTGGAAAAGTTTACTAAAGAAATAGAATAAAGAGAAACCAGAATCCTGCTGAGAACAAACTATTTAGTGGAGAAAAATAAATGGAGGTGGCCTCAATCACCAGCTCTGGGACAGCTGATTGATAGGATTCCAGTTTTGGTTAGTGTGTGGTTTTTGGAGATGTTAATCAGGTAGGCTTGCATGAAAATGTGAAGCAAACAATTTCTTCTCCTGCCCAGCTGAATCTAGGCAAAAATAGTTTCGTTAGACAACTGGGGTCATCGACTTGTTTTTAAATCAGCAGCTTTGACTTCTGAACTGCATTACTTGCTGGGTTTATTAAAGTACTTTTTCAAAAACTGAGAAGCAGAGGCGGAGAATCCAGAGGTTTTTGACGTTGCACTTGTGGCTTATCACAGAGGTGGTTCCTCTCGTCATGCTTTTCTCAGTATATGCTTTGCATCTCAATATTAAGAATTTTGTCTTTATTGTTACATCATTTAGAACTTCAGCAACTGGAATCTGAAGTGGCCCATTTGAAAGAACAAGTGGAGGCTCTGAGAAACGCTATGCTCAGGAACCAAAATGGTGAGAAAATGGAGTGGACTGGCGAGAATGTGGATATCAGATATCATTTTCTGTGAAATGCATGAAGTTATCTATCAAGTGTCCTGCAGAGGGACCTACATGTTGATTTTAATATGATGCAGCCTAAATCCAGCTGCTCTGGCTCTTGGAGTTAAAGCTCTGAGAGATAATTTATAAAATCAACAGATTGTAAGCTTCCTCAGGACTGTACCACTTCAAGTGGCAAGGGCAGGGTTGCCTGTCTGAAGGTTCCCCAACCAAAAGGGCAAAACAATCTCCTTCTGTATAGATTAGTTTGTTAGGAAGGAAGCTCAGCTGATCCTACTCAGTGCCGGATTTAAGTATAAGCTAAACAAGCTATAGCTTAGGACCCCACTCTCTTGGGGGTCCCCCAAAAAATTAAAGGGGGAAAAACTGGATGTACATTTTGAAAATGTAAGATAAACTTCTTAATTGTATTTCAGTTCAACAATTACTTTGATAAAATACATATTTTGTTATGTGCAAATGGCTTTAGATACCTATTAGGTCCATAAATTACACTTTTAGTGTATTTTTGGTCTTCGTTGGGAGCCGCCCAGAGTGGCTGGGGAATATAATAATAATAATAATAATAATAATAATAATAATATAACATATAACATATATTCAACACAAAAAAGTGAAAATTTGTTGTTGATAAAGGACAGCTAGACATATAAAGGGTCCCATTACCTTCAATAGCTTAGGGCCTCATCAAACCTAAATCCGGCCCTGCTACTGACTGTATCTAAAACAGCCCTGAAGGTGGGTTTGGGCTGTCTGTCATGCCACAACAAACACACAGCTGCTAACAAATTCTTCACTGCGGTGTTACTTTACTTTATTTGAAAGTTGAACTGCCAACTGAGGGAGGGCCCCTACTGTCTAAAATGGTAACTGTGTTGGCTTTACATTGCTAATAAGGTCGTTAGTTCTGATTTGCTATCATTGAGTTAAACCTGATTCTGACTTTGGACGTGGGGATTAGACATGGGAAGAACTGCTAAGCTTCTTATGACCAAAGCATTAATTGTATGATTTATGACAAACCTGATTCCCATTCATATTTGTACATAATTATATAGTTAAAGTCCCAGCAGGTTTAGCAGCTGTTCTAACAACAGTGGTTTACATTTCCCAAGGGCATTTCAAACCAGCAGAGAGACAGTGCACTCTGATAAGTCCCCACACTAAAGATTACTCAAATATCAATGTGAACTCGTAAGGTTCAAACTAAAAGACACTACCCAAACTTCATCTTAATAAACTAAGCATCAGCATGAATCAACAAAAGTGGCAGAGAGTACTGTGTCACCCATTAGCTAGCTAAAATGTAAGCTCAAAATACATTTTCCATCAAGTTCTGTGATTCTTTCAACTTGTAAGATGCAAGTTGGTGTGGAAGAAAGATGTGTTTAATCCTTTTCCAGTAAAGGGATCAGACCATACCTTCTTATTGCTTCTCATTGCAGAAGACCCCAAGTGCAATCCCTGCTATATCCTCTTAAAAGGATCAGGGATCATAGCATCTTTTGCTCAACCTAGAGCTTCCGTTTGTACAACCTTCCCAGACTGCCTTGCACTATTAGAATAACTAATCAAGTACCATTCAATGAAGCCAAAACTTAATGCAGCTGTAACTGATTCTCTATTCCTCTAGCTCATTTATTCCCAAATGGCCGAAGTGTTGGTGAGAAGCTATTCAAAACCGACGGCTCCCAAGGCAGCTTTGAGGCAGCCAAAGCGACCTGCTTCCAGGCCGGTGGTCAGCTTGCCTCTCCGAGGTATTCTGCTGAGAACGCAGCCATCCAGCAAATAGTTGCTCGTCACAACAAGGCAGCTTATCTGGGGATGAACGACTTGCAGTCAGAAGGCACGTTTGCCCACCTGAACGGCAATGAAGTCAATTACACCAACTGGGCAAGCGAAGAGCCAAACAATGCTGGCGGGAAGGAGGACTGCATTGAAATATTTCAGGATGGCAAGTGGAATGACAAGTCCTGCACAGAAAGACGGTTAATAGTGTGCGAGTTTTAATCTTGGCTGCCAACTTCTGCCCAGTTGCAAGATATGCAAGATCTCCAATCGTATTTGGGAATATCCAATGCGAACCCTGTTAGAGAATAGGGACTATCCACTGGCCCCCAGTTCCTGTACAAAGCAAGAAACCATCTCCTCCACTCTGTCTGTATTTTGACATAGTCCTCTTTTTACGCAACTCAGGCATCCATTTCAAGAGACACAACACACAATAGCCTGTTTGCTCATTACGGTACCATCTTGCTCACTCTGAAGCCACACAACGCAATAGCAAACCCATGCATTCCCACTTGCTCATTCCACCTGCGATTTCCACTTGTTTATTCCAGTATTTATGGAATAATAACCTGATTTATGACATCTGAACACCGGGAGTGACTTAACCTGCAGAATCAGTTGGGAAATCTTTCTGTCCCTCCTCCATTTTTGGCATTGATTTCCACCATTTCCTGGCCTTTCACTTTCTGAAATCTCAGATACTTCACCAACTACCCCCCTCCCCCCCCTTATTGTTCCAGTTGTTATGGAACAACATTTTTCTTTTGCATTTCCCCCAGGGATATTTCAAACGTGCACTTATGCAGGTGTGTACAATACAGCGTCCTACATGCACAGAGCCGCGCACCTCTGCTTCTTCTCATTTTATTTTTGTTACTTTAAATATGTGGCACAAATAGCCACACAGGCAGTAGCAGAAAACCTGACACTGGGGGAGCTGGTGTGACTGTGTTCACTGTTACAGAAATCCTTCCCCGACCTTCAAAGGCTACATACCTTTCAACATTATTCCAGTGAAAATAGGGAAGTCCTAAGGAGAAGCAGGACATTCTGGGATCAAATCAGAAACCGGGACAGCTTCTGTAAATCTGGGACTGTCCCCGGAAAATAGGGGCACTTGAGACTACCAGTTGACAAAAATGCATCTATACATCCTCACAAATGGGTCTCACAATATTGCAAAAACTGCTGAGCAGGTACCACCCATTTTGCCTTCTCCCTAATGGTCTCGTTTTCTACTTGTATGGATTTTTAAAAAGAAAGGATGGAGGATTTTTTTTTAAATGACCCCATGAAGTGGTAACTATTTTACTACTTCAGACGCAGGGAAAGGATGTTTGCCAACTTCGTGCTCAAATTCTACCAAAATTGAGTGGTTGCAGAATAAAACTTGCAAACTAAGGACTCAGCTAGATTGGTAAAAAGTGTTTTATATGCGTTTTATATGTGATATAACACTGTAACACCAGATGGCGCTGTGGAGTCCCATCTTTTCCAACCGGATTTCCCTGTATGAGTTAACAAAAGAGTGTGCAAGATTAAAATAAAAGATATACAGAAATACCTTTGGTTTGCTTGATTTAGTTCTGAATCCAACTTTCCCTCAAGTGAAATTTGTCTTTTTAGTAGCAGCCAAAGCCATATTATGTTGCAACACTGTTGCGTAATGCTGTGCTTTAAAAACGAGGGGGGAAAATATTTGCTTTGACAAATAGCAACTTCAATGATATATTGGCAGTTTCCCCAGATAGTTCTTGCTTCATCTGGACTTTTCTTCACCTGAGAGCCATTGCTACATATTTTGTACATGCGGGGTAGGGTCATGAGATGCAATTCCCACACGAAGGTAGAGAGTGGGTGGATCCAACAGGCCGTAAACCACTTTTAAGTGATATGGGGCTGGGAGGTACTATAATCAGATTTTGCTAGGTCATACTTGGAGTGGATCTGCAGAAGGTAAGCTAGTAATTTTTTCTTCACTGTTGTATAAATCGTGACTTTTCACAAACTAACCTGCAATGTTAATACCCTGTTAATCTGCTGTGTTGCTGCTGTGCCAAAATCTTAATCACTTTTGGCAGAGTTAAAAGAGGGATCGCAGGGAAAGAAGAGGTTCGTATTTCAAGGTTGGCCGTATTCCCTGGTGAATGAATAGTGGGGCCTTGAGCCATGCCATAGACTTTGAGCCCAGGGCATGGCCTGGGGGAACATGATGCAGCTAAGCAAGTCTGAGTTTGAGCAACACCAGTTTCGGAGACTACCTAGGAACCCCATGTACTACAACAGCTTACCTTTCCTGGTGCAGAACAAGCCAATCTTTAAGATCTTCCAAAGAGACCCTAGTGGTCATTTCATGACCAGCAAACAGTTATCACATGGTGACAAAAGGGTCTTCTCAGTGGTAGTACCCACCACTGGGATGTCCTTCCTCAAGTCATTTGTGATTGCATGTCTGACTGCACTCAACCTTCCCTTGTCTCTGTATTCTAAAACTCAAGAGGACAATATAAACTTCCTCCCATGGCTCCCAGTACTTCCGCTGTGTCAATCAGTTGGTGAGGACCAGGTCCAAGATAGATTGTATTATGGGGTGGGCAGTATCTGCCAACTATTGGCTAATAGTTATTTATTTTGCTATCTGGTGGTGTGAGTGGTCACTTACTAATTTTCTTAAACAGTTAAATACATACGGGACACTTCTTTTCATATAGATACGCTGCTATTTATACAGACTGATATATCATGTTATCTAAGTTTGAACTTGCCGAAACTACCAATACCCCCAAGGATTAAATCTGACATGTTTTCATTTTATTTCACTCCTATAAAATCCAGCTTGACCAAGCTTATTACCCCTACTCCTGAGTTATGCACCCAAACAGGCAACAAAATAAGCTACAGCAGGATTTTGAAACTTGACACTGGAAGTCTGCATCAATACCTGGCATGGGTATAAAGGAATAACAAGGAACAAAGCAATCATGTTTCAAGAAATAAATAACTCTGCTGGATGGATGAGAGTGAGGGTGGGAAAATGAAGTTGAGCATCTTGGCTTCAGCTCTGCAAACGCATTATACATATAGAGAGCAAACAAGTCAGGATTAACACTGACTGATTTGGGTCAATTGGCAATCGGTTCTTAGAAAAGCCGCTTCCTTACAACCCAGCATGACCAAGAAGCCAAAATCAGTGTCAGGAGTGGCATTCAGCAGGGTGAAGGAAGCAGCCTTAATTTGGGGTGGGTCGGTGAGGGTAGGGGGAGAGCAGTGGAAAAATGGGACTGGTGTCTGAATGGTGCAATAAGATCTGTAACCGTGCTGGCCCTTGGGATGGGCTCCACTTTAGGCAATGGTATGACTTGGGCCAGTGATCAGCATGAAGCCATTCATATGAAAAGGTGGCACTACACCAGGCATAGGTAAACTCGGCCCTCCAGATGTTTTGGGACTACAATTCCCATCATCCCTGACCACTAGTCCTGTTAGCTAGGAATGATGGGAGTTGTAGTCCCAAAACATCTGGAGGGCAGAGTTTGCCTTATGCCTGCACTACACTATGTAGATAGGAACAAACCTGGCACTGAACATCTGGGGTCAACAAAGGCAGTGAGCATGTTTAACCCCAACCCCAATGGAGTCTATGGATGCATTTGATGGGGAACCAGTGGCCATCCAAATGTTGTTGAGCTCCCAACTCTCATCATCCCCGAGTATTGGCCATGCTGGCTGGGAGTTGAAGTCCAACAACATCTGGATGGCCTCAGGTCTCCCATCCCTGCCATAGCGAAGAATAAATTGTCACATGGGGGGACACTGCTGTTATGAGAATAAGTCCTGAAGAGACCAACTTGGCTGTGAGTCCTGGAAGATCTATTCCCTGCCTTGTAGGCATTTTCCACCTGGCCTGGGAAGGTGCAGTTCGGACTGACTCCAGCTGCAGAAGCTGAGGCTGCTGAACCGATTCTTGGGCTGGGTACTGTTTTTGTTGGGGTGTGGGTTGTTGCTGCTAATTTGTTTGTATCTTTCTTTTAGATCTTGTGATTTATGTGGAAATGGTTTAGTTTGGCTGTGTGCTTTTTAACTTTATTTATTGTCTAGGACTACTGTTGTTATGTTGCAGATTTATGATTTTTTTTATGTTGTAATCTGCCTTGAGCATGGTTTGAACTGTGGAAATGTGGCATACAATATGGAAGGTGGATGCCTGACACATTTGAGTCTGAATGGTCCAGGCCTGACAGACCCCACAGCAGGGTGCATTGTGACTTTGTACAGGGACAGACAAGGTCCCTGGGGATGCCACAGTGTGTAAACCCTCCCTTCACCCCCACCTCAACTAGCATGATGGGAGCCATTTTGCTACTACAGTGGTACCTCGGGTTACATACTCTTCAGGTTACATACGCTTCAGGTTACAGACTCCGCTAACCCAGAAATAGTGCTTCAGCTTAGGAACTTTGCTTCAGGATGAGAACAGAAATCATGCTCCAGCGGCGCGGCGGCAGCAGGAGGCCCCATTAGCTAAAGTGGTGCTTCAGGATAAGAACAGTTTCAGGTTAAGAACGGACCTCCGGAACGAATTAAGTACTTAACCCGAGGTACCACTGTAATAGTATAAACCAGTGTTTCCAAACTTGGGTCTCCAGCTGTTTTTTAGACTACAACTCCCATCATCCCTACCTAGCAAGAATAGTGGTCAGGGATGATGGGAATTGTAGCCCAAAAACAGCAGGAGATCCAAAAAAATTTTTTTGGGGGGGGAAATGCTGATATAAACTGGGACATAGCGGGGGGGAGGGGGCTGTGTGCCTGTTCTCCCCTACACAGTTTGAGACTTCACCTGTTCAAATGAAAGCCTGGAGATAGCTCAGGCTTCCTCAGACTCGGCCCTACAGATGTTTTGAGACTACAATTCCAATCATCCCTGACCACTGGTCCTGCTAGCTAAGGATCATAGGAGTTGTAGGCCAAAAACATCTGAAGGGCTGAGTTTAAGGAAGCCTGAGGTAGCTAAATTCACACATAAATAGGCCCAGCAGTTGGTATTAGCCGTGTCATGCCGTAATTGAAGCCATATAACCTCTGGTTGCTATATCCTGAGGACTAACAACAGGGCATTGCTATTATACAAGCCCCCATTGGTAAACACTCGGCAAAATCTGGCTTGCCACCCTAGATGGATTTCCCATAAGGGTCACACACCTCCTGTTCTCATGTACATAAATACTTTATCTGAATCAACTAAGCTGCTGGCGTTGGCAGATGTCAGAACTCTTGATTTCCCAGAATATACTCCAACCCACTTCACAGTGGCCTTTAAAAAACTAATTTCCTTATTTACAGGAACAGGGTGAGCAGTTTAACACACATATATCATCAGATTAGCCGACCTTTCCCACATGGATAAATGTCACGTCAAACATTGGGCAATAAAGAGACTAGAGTGACCTGCCTAATAATCCCATCAGTTAAGGTCTCAAATTCAAACCTATCAAGATTTCTGCTTGACTCTGTCACCATGATTGTAACATAGGTAGAGTTGTCCTCATAGGTATCCATTTCTTTTACTCTTGTGCAGTGATAAAATAATCAAAAACGGTGTTTCTCAAATCCCCCCCCATATACTAAAGGGGCAGTCAGTCACCCGTAGGGTGTCCTGAACCCCTGGCCTACCTGGTGGCAAGTCACTGTGCCACGTCCAAAGCTCAAAGTCGAAGGGTCAATCCAAACAAGTGAAGTCCAAAGTCTGAAGGTCAGGAAATGAGGTTCAGTGTCCATCCAAGTAGCCAAGTCTAAAGTCCAGCAATCATGGTACAGTCCAGAGTCAAACCCAAATCACAGTCCTGTAGAAATCCAGGAGCATCCAAGTCAAGGACCCTCAACATAGGCAGTTGAGCAGACACAGCACCTCAGTTCTGCTTACCTTTGGTGCCTTGCATACTGATTGCAGCACCTGGACTTGATGAGCAATATGACCCTCACCTGTTCTAAGCCTACTCCAGCAGAGGAATCACAAACATTCTCCCAGAGCTAGCGAGCCCCACCTGGCCAGCTTGGGAACTGGGCTGTGGGCCCTTGCCTGCCTCAGCCTCCTAGAGCACATCTCCCACTGTTCCCAATGTCTCAGAGCTCATTGAGTTCATGGAGACAGGGGCCCCTCTGGCTCTGGTGACGGGTCCTCCTGCTTTGGTTCCTGTGCACTGACCCCCACCCTGTAAGGCCTTACACCAACCTCTCCATCCCCATCCCCTGCTTGCCCCAATGTGTCCCAGTCCCAGCTACACCCCTCAGCAGGAGCCCCTTCCTCCTCCCTGTTGTCCTGCCAGTTCATGGCATCTGTCCACAGGTAGTTGGACTCCAGCTCTCATCATCCCCAAACAGCATAGCCAATGATCAGGGAGCATGGGAACTGAAGTCCAGCAACTCCTGGAGGGTCACAGGTCAATTGCCCTCGCCTATGGTGAACATCTAGCAAACTTTCGATTTTGTGGGGGAAACCACTCCAAACCGTTTCCAGGAATGAAACTGATGATTAACTGGTTTTGCAACTGCTGACCTAGTTTGTTATACACATACATCTCCACCTCTGTAATGAATCTGTTGCAATGGAAAGAGCAAGCAGATTTCTACTTCTTGCTAGCAGGGATCAGCGAGTGCTTCCTGCTAACGGGCATTGGCTGCATACACACTGGACTTTTCAAGCACATGAGTTCACCCAAACAATCCTGGAAATTTTAGTTCACCTTCAAAGAGCTACAGTTCCCAGCACCCCTTAATAAACTACAGTTCCCATGCGTCTTTGGGGCAAGTTATGTGCTTTAGATACATGGTGTGTACCCGGCCATTGAATGGCTTGCTAGTATGTCAATACTGTGTGGGAGCCTACACAGAGAGAGCAGGCTCAACCACTGCAGTCTTCCAGCAGTGGAGGAAGACCAGTGGCCCACTTTCTCCTGCACACATTTGACACTAATTGCCTGAAGAGGACTAATGTCTCCTGAGCATTGTAGGTCATGCTAGGACCTGCTGCCACATTTCTGCTACTCCCCCCCCCGCGCAAAAAAAACCCCTCATGCTCACTCTGATTTGGGGTGGGGCAGTGGGAGTAAATAGCAATGTGCTCTTTGCATGAATTGAAACCTATACCACGGGTGAAGTCAGGTTTACCCTTCTCTTGCTATTTATTATTTTTAAAAAACCATTCATACAAGCAATAAAGCACTGGATAACATGCCATCTAGTTTGACCCTAACTGTGGCAAATAAGCCTGAGAAATCTGAAGATCCTAATCTATGTTTTAAGTATTTGCCTTGCAGAACTTGAAACCTGTGACCACCGCTGTAAGATCTTGTTTCCACTTTAGCTTAGGATAACAATGGCCCAGTTATGAGGTGGCAAAATCTGAGTCAGACCAAACCAAACTAGACTGCAAGTGGGTGATAGAATTTGCCCCTGAGAAAAAAAGATTCCTATACACAAATTCCTGGTGTGTGAGAGAAGACTACTGAGGACCTTTTTTGGCTGTGTGTGTGGAACTCTCTGTAGGGAAGAGGATTCAGTCATGTAAAGGTAAAGGGACCCCTGACCATTAGGTCCAGTCGTGAACGACTCTGGGGTTGCGGCGCTCATCTCGCTTTATGTAAGCTCAGATGTACTATCTGGCATGGCCCCAGGCAGAGATGTCGCCTTCAACTAACTATACAAATACTGTTGTGCTTTGCCTTAGATCTCATCATTGAGAAATGCAACGCCATGTCCTCTGCATTCTTGTGCTGGGAGCGTCATCGGTGAGAATGTCAGATCAGGAGCAATGCAACTGTGAAGAGAAAGTGCCAGCCTGCACGGTTATTCCTGGAAGCAATGGATTGCCAGGCATCCCTGGGAGCAATGGACTGCCAGGAAGAGATGGGAAGGAAGGTCCTCAAGGTGAAAAAGGAGAGCAAGGTATGGCATAAGGAATTTCCAAGAGCTATCCAATGGTAGTCATAAAATCATAGAACTGTAAAGTTGGTAAGAACCTTGAGGGCTATATATTCAACTCCCTGCAATGCAAAGATCTCAACTAAAGCCATTTATGACCCTAGGGAGGAGGTGGGGTTGCGGGCTTCCCGCCCCCAACTCCCGCACGGAGGCTGGCTCTCAGCCTCACGCGTACAGGGGGCTGGCTCAGGGGGTGTGGCTTGCCGCTCTTAAGGCGGTAATCTTAATGACACATTACCATCCAATGAAGGAGAGACCACATCCTCCCTCGGGATTCCATTCTACTGTTGAACAACTCTTACTGTCAGAAAGTTCTTCCTGATGTTTAGCCGGAATCTCCTTTCTTGTAACTTGAAGCCATTGGTTTGAGTCCTACCCTCCAGAGCAGGAGAAAACAAGCTTGCTCCATCTTCCATGTGACCTCCCCTTAGATATTTGAAGATGGCTACCATATCTCCTCCCATTCCTCTTTCCCAGGCTGAACATACCCATCCCCCTCAATTGTTCCTTATAAGGCTTGGTTTCCAGACCCTTGGTTGCTTTCTCAGTATTAGGAGGAAATCATAGCTCAGTGACAAAGCACATACCTGGCATGGAAAAGGCCCCATGTTCCACCTGTGGCTTCTCCACGCAAAAGGGATCTCAAATAACACGACTAGAAAAGACTGCTGGTCCCTCTCCTCCAAAGAGGTGGAACATAGAGCACACTTGGGCAACAATGAAGACCCCCAGTTTGCCACAGAATGTCCTTTCAAATAACTATTTGTTGGTGTAGTCATATGTTTAACTATAACCCAAGAATGCCCATGCATTATGTTGCTCATTTGTTCATCTTTTTCTGTTTATCCATTGGATTAAATGACAGGTTTACGAGGAATGCAGGGACCCCCAGGAAAAGCAGGGCCTCCTGGCCTTAAAGGGGAAAGTGGTCAGAAAGGTGACTGTGGAGGAAAAGGTAAGGGATGTGGACAACTGCAGACACACACAAGCCAAGAGATTTTACTGAAATTTGTCTGGTTCCATACACAAGGCTAATAAGAATCTAAACTTTGTGGTTCCATACGAAAAGTAAAACATTCCAAACGATGGGAGAGGATATGTCTTTATTGAAATATAAGTGTATTAAAGTCTAGAGTTGCTTTAGATATCTGTCTTAATTAAAATGGCCAATTGATTACAGCTGCAAAATCAGTCTGGTTAAACTGAGGCTTTGTACTCCCATGATTCTTTAGAACTGCTACTTCAATCAACAACAGAAATGTTTCATTTATTGATTCAAGCAGATTCTAGTTGATGGAAGCAAACAGTCTCATATAAAGTCCCATGTGACACTACCAATTCATACACATACACATGAGCTGGGATAGCTCAGCCTGTAGAACATGAGACTCTTAAATCAGAGGGTTGTGGGGCTGAGTCCCACCTTGGACATAAGATTCCTGCATTGCAGGGGGTTGGACTAGATGACTCTTGTGCTCTCTTCAACTTTACGGTTCTATGATTCGATGAGCAAGGAAGTATGGTGCCATTTTTCTCAGCCTGCTATGATTCTGGCCTCAACATCACTATGGTTAGGTAAGGGAGGTGGGTGGAGTCTCTGAACCAGACCTGACCTGATTTGTTATAGTTTGAAAATAGTTTCCTTGTTCCTTGATGGATGGTTCATTGTGTACACTATCAACTTTATGCATCTGATGAGGTGAGCTCTTCTGAACCACAAAAATGCATGCGACATTACATTTGCTAGTCTTTAAGTTCTGCCAAGACATTGCTGATTTTGCTGCAAAGACTAACACTCTTCTGGAATTAAGACAATGAGAAACTGAATGGGGCAGGGAGAAGGTCAATGGTGGATTTGAGATTTGTCACTTCTGAAGCAGATTCTTCCTTTGTAATCTTTTATACTTTAACACAAACAGAACAAGAACAATACTGTCCTTTTGCCTTTTAGAACTTGAGCTGCTCAAAACTCAAATCAGTGATTTACAAGGAGAGCTGAAGGCTTTGCAGCTGACTGCAAGCAAAACCCAGAAAGGTAAACTAGTTGTTTGTGTACCTTGATGAAAGATGTACGGGTTGCCATTAATATCATCCTCTGACATTACACAGTCTTTAATGCAACCAAACCACTCATTTGAGCAACTAAATGTACAGCAATTGCTGTATGGATCAGGCCCAGGTCCTAAATTTGGGCTATTAATGACGAAAGCACATTTGAAATAATTAATTTTGATTGTATTGTCTGTTAGCCATTCTAGGTTACATTTTCTCAAACAGCACAAGAGTAGGAGGGAAACTATTTGTGACTAATGGAGATGAGGGTGATTATGAGACTTCAAAAGCGACGTGTAACCATTTTGGTGGCCAGGTTGCTTCTCCAAGGAATGAAAATGAAAACAACGCTGCACTGAAACTCTCTGCAAAAACGGGAAGAAAAGTATTTTTTGGAATGAATGACCAGGAGACAGAAGGCATCTTCAAGCATCTTAATGGTGAAACAATGGAATATTCAAACTGGGCACCAAAAGAACCCAATGGGGTGGAAGAGGACTGCATAGAATTGTATCCAGATGGCAAATGGAATGACATCTCATGCAATGTGGCTCGGTTAATAATGTGCGAATTTTGATCTGACTGTCTTTATGGGTGTTTATAGATATATTAAAGCAGAATTCAAAAATCTGTTTATTTTTTATTTTTATTTTTGCTTTTAATTTTTTATTGAATTTACTTGATAACATAACATTATTATATATGGTCTTTTGAAAAAACAAAAATTACAAAACAATGTCAGTTCAAAATATAATACAATTCACCATACACTCCTACATTTATACACCTAAGATTTCCCACCCCACCCCCCAATGCCTTTACCTTTTCTATTTTCCTGTTGTACAAAACTTGACATTAAACTAATTATACTATCTTATAATTTCTTACTAATTTTTAGAACCTTTTCATTCATATATACAGAAATCATTCAAAAATCTGTTTAATTGACCGAATCACCTAGAGAACTTCAGGCACATTGTGTACCAAATTCCAAAGAGTAATAGGATTGCTGATAGTATAGAAGCCAAGAAGCTAATAATACAGTCGTACCTTGGATCCCAAACGCCTTGTGACTCAAACATTTTCGCTCCCGAACGCTGCAAGTGTTCCAGTTTGCGAACGTTCTTTGGAACCCAAACATCTGACGCAGCTTTCGATTGGCTGCAGGAGCTTCCTGCAGCCAATCAGAAGCCGCTCCTTGGTTGTCAAACATTTTCGGAAGTCGAAGAGACTTCCAGAATGGATTCCGTTTGACAACCAAGGTACGACCGTATATTGGACTGTTCCATTGAATTTGTAGGTTCGCTACATTTGGAATAATACGCTGTTCCATTACTGTTTCTATACTTTCCATACTATATTTTATCTTGAAGTTACTGTTTTAGAGTGATAATGATACAACATTTACCTATGTGTTTAGCTAATGACATGCGGGCATATTTGACCATTATTGAAACAGTTTTTACTGCCCCGGTTCATTATCATTACATGCCTCTCCACCACCTGACACACATCTTGCTCCTTATCTATTCATAGAACTGCAGAATGGGAGGGGCCACAAGGGTCATCCAGTCCAGCCCCTTGCAATGCAGCCCCCAAAGGGGGGCTCAAACTCAAGACCCTGAGAGTAAGAGTCTTGTGTCCTACTGACTGAGCTATCCCAGCTCCGTTGCTTTTACAACAATCTTGAGCAGCCACTCTCTTGATATGATTTGGGACCATCCTTTTTCACTCAAAAGAAGCAAACTGTTCCGTTTTGAGCAATTTTGTTGGGTGGTTCTTGGTAGAGGTCTAGGCTTCAGCAAACAGAGCAAAACTTGGGGAGCTGGGACAAGGTCTAGGCTGAGGTAAGGCAACAGTTGCAAGATTATATGGCACTGCTTCACCCAGGGATCAGGTTAAAGGGTGCACAAAGACAGAGTGTCAAATGTTGCTTCAGCAGCAACAATCCTCTAACTGAGGTTTGAGCAGGACTTACCTTCTGTGAAAGACGCGGGTGGCGCTGTGGGTTAAACCACAGAGCCTAGGACTTGCCGATCAGAAGGTCGGCGGTTTGAATCCCCCCGACGGGGTGAGCTCCCGTTGCTTGGTCCCTGCTCCTGCCAACCTAGCAGTGCATCAAAGTGCAAGTAGATAAATAGGTACCTCTCTGGCAGGAAGGTAAACAGTGTTTCCGTGCACTGCTCTGGTTCTCCAGAAGCGGCTTAGTCATGCTGGCCACATGACCCGGAAGCTGTACGCCGGCTCCCTCGGCCAATAAAGCAAGATGAGCGTCGCAACCCCAGAGTCGTCTACGACTGGACCTAATGATCAGGGGTCCCTTTACCTTTACCTTCTGTGAGAGGATCCAAAAGAAAGCCACCCATTGAAGCCTGCACTTTCGCAATGCCGTTCTCTGGCCATGTAATGTGTGCAAAAATGGATATACTAAGGTAAAGCAGCCATAGAAATGCTTGTCAGTGGAAAATAACATACAAATGTGCATTATATTAGGCACCAGCCCAGCCCTCACCACTGATGCTGTCTGCTAGGCACGGGACATGGAGTGTTCACGGGGCTGCACTGCGCTGCTTGCCTGCCCACACAGCTGGAGCCTGGCCGGCCAAGACAACCCTTGGTGGATGCATCACCTAACACTGGCCGAGCAGCCATTCAGCGAGGAGGCCAAGGTTGTGGTGGCAAGGCCAGGCTGGGCTCCAGGGCCCAGAGACCCCTGGTGGCAGGCAAGGCAGAATGGGGATCTCTGCATTGGTCATCTGCTTCACATGCCTCAGAATCATGCACCCAGGGCTACGCTCCCCCCATGTCCCCCAGGCTACAGCCCTGACTGGGATTCTGGTGTTTGTAGGGAACACATTTAAACCCACATCTCAAGGAAATTAATTTGCAAATATCAACCAAACCATCAGATCATATACATACACTTAATCTGAGGGGTTGTTACTTTATGACAAACACAATGATCCAACTTAAGCATAATGCATAGCAATATCAGTATTTTCCCTTTTCATCCTCATGTGGCCTGTAAGACACCTGAGCATGATTATGAACCATTGATAGGAATATCATTTACGTTGAAGAAGAAGCAACTAGGAAGAAGCAACAAGCAACTTTTTCTTTCTTGTTTCCCTTTGGAGCAGAAAGTTGCAACCACTGAAGAACATCAGTCTTTTCAGTTAGCAGGTGTAAAAGAAAATTCATGTAACTCCCAGGAAAAGTGTCAGAGGACCATGAGCAGGACATGTTCGGCTCTTCTATTTCCTAAAAACAAAATGATAGAAACAGTTTTCCTTTTAAGATATGGGAAAGGGGCATTAATGAGGAACCAATAAGCATAGAAAAATCCACAGAAATAAAAAAATTACCCCCCCCCAATAGTTTGGCACATAGAACGGTACAATATCACAGGGTATAAATAATGATAAACAATTCTCCAGCCAGAATGTAGCCATGGATAAGATTATCAATTTACAAAATCAAATAATGGTTAAAGAAAGGAATACTGTATTAAGATCAGGATAAGGCATGGCAGTTGGTTCTGGAAGGAAACACACCTGTATAAAGGCACCTTGTTTGTTACTTTTACAAGAGCTATTCATATACAAATCAGGGTGAAGGGGGAAAATAAGGAAAAGAATATCCACTAAAGTCCCATGGAGTTCACTTTCGGAGGTGGGTGTTCAATAATAAACTAATACAGTGGTACCTTGGGTTACAGACCCTTCAGGTTACAGGCGCTTCAGGTTACAGACTCCACTAACTCAGAAATAGCACCTCGGGTTAAGAACTTTGCTTCAGGATGAGAACATAAATCGTGCAGCAGCAACAGCAGGAGGCCCCATTAGCTAAAATAATACCTCAGGTTAAGAACAGTTTCAGGTTGAGAATAGACCTCCAGAACGAATTAAGTTCTTAACCCAAGGTACCACTGTACAGCAAACAATGGTTACAGCAGGGAAACCTCCCAACACAGACACGAAGAGAACAGCATTTCTTATTGATCGCAAAATAATAATAATATTCTGGGCGCTCAACCCTCTTTCTGCTCTTTCAACTTTTCAGCTTAACAGCTTATAAATGATTTTTAAGAGAACATATATGCCCTTAGCCAGCATTGGGAAAAGAGATTTTCCAGCTTTTATCGGATCACAATGAATTTAAACCTTTTGTAAATTTTCAGAATTGCTACATGCAGAATACTTTCCCATTAATTTTTGGAATTTTGACTCTCAGAAGGCATTTTGCGGTATTTTCAGAATTCCAACCCTCAGATCATTTTTGGTTTTTTTTTTAGCATTTTCAGATTAATTGAAACATGTTTTCAGCATTTTTCAGAATTCCAGCTGTCATACCTTTTTTGGATTTTTTATCCCTGGAACAAGTGTTCAGGAATTTTTGGAACTCTGAACCTTGGAACAATTCCCCCCCACACACACACAGACACTTTTTGGAATTCCAACCCTCAGAAAGCATTTTGAAGGATTTTCAGATTTCAAGTCTTGAACATCCTGGCATTGTCCCTCATTTGGAGTTTTGTGTTCCATGGTAGGTATTGAGAAATATTAGAGAGAGCTACAAGCATGAGGTGTATGAAAAGGAGCCAAAGACTTGAGTAAGTTTAAACAAGAGAATAGATTAACAGTGTACATATTGTGCATATTCACATATTTTAGATGATATTAGAAAGGGGAGGGGGTACAATTGTTCACTTTATACAATAAAGCTCTTAGAGATCTTGAATTTTTTGTTTCAAAAAGTGCAAAATGTTAGGAAACAGTAAGCATGGCATAAAATAATCAAAACATTCCAAAGATCACATTGGGAGAGAGGAAATACATGTGAACTGTGCATCCTCATTACAAACTTTTGAAAGAATGTTATCTACAAAAGCCAAGCATATAGTATTGATTATGACAACATACTTATAAAATTAGCACAACCTTTAAACTTTAGAAAGAGTCAGTCTAAACAAAGAAAATCTGGAATATCAAGATGTTTGGTCTAACATACCTGTCCAAAAAGTACAGTAAACAGAAGGTAGTCTAGGTTCTTTGGACGAGGAATTAATGAAAGAAATGGAGACCAGTTATCATAAAAACCATATTTGGTTATGTCACCTCTGACTACTATAGCACTGTTGTGTTAGTTTGCCTACAACTGCAAATGCTATCCAAATGCTATCATACCAGTTTTACACAGTTAACAATCTCTTCTCCATAAGAATGTGATCAGTATCTGGGCCGCTCCTAGGAAATGGATTTTAATTAGTCACTTAAATAAAATATATTTATTTGCTCCTCAAAATAATGATAACAAGGTCAAGCCTGGGTCTTTAACCACTGTAAAATTCAGAATTTTAGAAATCACACGGAATACATCATCTCAATACTTGCTTACTGCCTGACACTCCCACTATAAGTGACTACAGTGGTGCCTCGCAAGACGAAAAGAATCCGTTCCGCGAGTCTCTTAGTCTTGCGGGTTTTTTCGTCTTGCGAAGCAAACCCATTAGTGGTTTAGCGGATTAGCGATACAGTATTAGCGGCTTAGCGGGCTTAGCGGATCAGCTGATAAGCGGCTTAGCGATCAGCTGTTAAGCGGCTTAACGGATCAGCTGATAAGCGGCTTAGCGATCAGCTGGTAAGCGGCTTGGCGGATCAGCTGATAAGCGGCTTAGTGGCTTAACGGATCAGCTGTTAAGCGGCTTAGCCGATCAGCTGATAAGCGGCTTAGCGATCAGATGTTAAGCGGCTTAGCGGCTTAGCGGCTCAGCTGATAGCGGCTTAGTGGCTTAACGGATCAGCTGTTAAGCGGCTTAGCGGATCAGCTGATAAGCAGCTTAGTGATCAGCTGTTAAGCGGCTTAGTGGATCAGCTGATAAGCGGCTTAGCGGCTTGGGAAAAAGGGGAGAAAAAGGGGAAAAAACCCGCAGGAACTCGCAAGACATTTTCGTCTTGCGAAGCAAGCCCATAGGAAATTCGTTTTGCGAAGCACCTCCAAAATGGAAAACCCTTTCGTCTAGCGGGTTTTCCGTCTTGCGAGGCATTCGTCTTGCGGGGCACCACTGTATAAGTCCCATTAGTGGAGCACCCCCAAGACAGAAAACCAAGCCACAAATATTATGTGCTTGCTACCACCAGTGGATTGATTTAAGTAATTGCTCCTTAACAAGTACTGTAAATTGTTCCGTAATGAGTTAACAATTTGTTTTGAATTGTTTACTTTGAAGTGGCAAGCTCCATTGTTCTCTGCATGTATTTTACCACCACTGGACAATACTTCCTTTGTGTTTCGCTTTCTTGGATTAACAGCGTCTATAGCAGGAACCCGGAAACCATGCTCTTGAGAAGTCCCACTTGAAAGCAACAGACCTGCTTTGATAGTTTGACGATCATGAAGCAAAATATTTATGGTTAAAATGCTTTGCATAAGAAACATGAGCTCTTGTTACATAACCCTTGGTCTATAAATGGAATCCTGAATGCCTCCTAAATTAGTCTTGCTAAGACTTTTGTGGAACAAAACGGAAATTACAAAGGGACTGGACTTTTGATATGAACTCCAAACATGGACCAAACAAAGAATCCTAACAGGTATAAATGATTGTATATTATTCTTTCAGTGTGCTAAAATCAACAGGGACTTATTGGACCAAAATACTCTAAATGCATTTGATTATTGTATAGATTAGCAAAATGCTTGTGATTATAACGGGAGTGAAGGGAAGGTGGAAACAGGTACCATATATTGCAGGGCCCCCAGGAGGCTGTGCTATATTTCTTGGTACTCTTTCTGTACAAGGAGGGTCCTACTGTGCTCAGTGGAACTTAGTCCCATGCAAGCATGCATAGGAGTTGCAGCCAGGCCCCAGATAGGGCAGCATTTCACCATCACTTCAGCAATTCCCCGAGATGCAGAAGTTAGGCTTTTTTGCATAGGAAGGAATCACACCCATTCACTTGGATTGGAGAAAGTATACACCTGTATTCTGTAGGGTGGCCAGATGCAACAGATGACAGGGCTTCCTCACCTTTGTGTTGCTGATGTTGTTGTTTAGTCATTTAGTTGTGTCCGACTCTTCGTGACCCCATGGACCAGAGCACGCCAGGCACTCCTGTCTTCCACTGCCTCCCGCAGTTTGGTCAAACTCATGCTGGTAGCTTCAAGAACACTATCCAACCATCTCGTCCTCTGTTGTCCCCTTCTCCTTGTGCCCACCATCTTTCCCAACATCAGGGTCTTTTCCAGGGAGTCTTCTCTGAGGTGGCCAAAGTATTGGAGTCTCAGCTTCACAATCTGTCCTTCCAGTGAGCACTCAGGGCTGATTTCCTTCAGAATGGAGAGGTTTGATCTTCTTGCAGTCCATGGGACTCTCAAGAGTCTCCTTCAGCACCATAATTCAAAAGCATCAATTCTTTGGCGACCAGCCTTCTTTATGGTCCAGCTGTCACTTCCATACATCACTACTGGGAAAACCATAGCTTTAACTATACGGACCTTTGTTGGCAAGGTGATGTCTCTGCTTTTTAAGATGCTGTCTAGGTTTGTCATGGCTTTTCTCCCAAGAAGCAGGCGTCTTTTAATTTCGTGGTTGCTGTCACCATCTGCAGTGATCATGGAGCCCAAGAAAGTAAAATCTCTCACTGCCTCCATTTCTTCCCCTTCTATTTGCCAGGAGGTGATGGGACCAGTGATCTTCGTTTTTTTTATGTTGAGCTTCAAACCATATTTTGCACTTTCCTCTTTCACCCTCATTAAAAGGTTCTTTAATTCCTCCTCACTTTCTGCCGTCAAGGTTGTGTCATCTGCATACCTGAGGTTGTTGATATCTGATAGGGGCATGCAATTTACACTTGCTGAAATCCCCACTTTTGCATGACTATTAAAACTACAGGAGCCCAGCCCTCTTTTGCAGCTGACCATGCTAGCACTCAGGGACAAGAATGGGGTAGGAAGTAAACCCTTATTGCTAGTGATAATAGTTTCTTGTAGGACAGCATGATTTGTCTGGGGGCGGGGGGGTGGGAATCACAGCCTGTTTGCTTTGACACACAGAACTCAAAGGATGAAATTGGGAGATTTCAGGATCCAAAACTTGGGCATCGCTGACGAAAGCAGCGATGCATATTACAGATACTTAGAATTTTATTTTCTTTATCCAAACCTTACCATGTAAAGGCTGTAGAAAACAGGTGGCACAAGTTATAACATGACTGGCACAACAGGCTGGTGTACTATGGTGCTGAAACTGCACACCTCGCCTGACTCAGCAATGAATTAATTCTTTGCAGTACTTCCTGTTTGTGCCACACGTAAGGACCTTTGGGCTCTTGTTCTAATCTTTGGGTCACCAACTTGCTCTTTTGTAAGGTCCCAGTTTCCCCTAGTTCTCCCCTTTCAATAGGGCATCAAGCAATGTTTGCTGAACCTTGTCTTTCCAGATCAGAACCTGAAATCACAATCCTGAAAATCCATATCTGTTCCGATTCTCTGTCAAATATTGTCCATCTCCTTCTTAAAATCAGAAGCTGCTAATTAGGATAAAGGTCACACCCACACCATAAATTTAAAGCACATTTAGAGCACACGTCTCTAAAAAAGAATTGTGGGAACTGTAGTTCCTTAACAGTGTTGGGAACTGTTGCTCTGTGGTGACAGTCTACTGTTTCCAGGATTCTTTGGGGAAAACCATGTGCTGGAAATGTGCTTTCAGTGTATGGTATGCATGTGACCAGAGTTTAAGTTGTCTTCTTTTCTAATGACGTTGTGCTTGTTTCTGTCCCCACTTTAGACCATACATCCAGACAATGCTAATACTTCTAATACTTTCTCCATTGGTAAGGGGAGCATCTCTGCAGAGAACCACCAGCTCTGCTCCAAGGCTTTTTCTGCCAGGATGGGTTCCTAATGCTTGTACATTAGTTATATGTGCATCTGCTGAGACCAGACCAAAAGGAGAAGAGGGAGATCAAGGTACCAGAACATTTATGGGGAGGGTGCACTCTCTTTTTGTGCACTTTGGGGTAAATATGGGGTACATAACTTCTATATAAGCTTGATCCACTCTGTTCTCATATACAAGCTTGGAGCAAGTATGTGTGGGCTCTTTTTTTAGCTAACAACAATAGATCAAAGCCCCTGTGACAGGAAATGGGGGACAGGACAGCTTCCTGTTCCTTATAGCAGCAATGTCAGGAAGAACTATTTTATGGTAATATAGTATTTCATAAGGCTATAATATCTAACTACTGTAATTTAGGTAAACCACAGGCTACTTCATCACATGCACTAAAATAAAACAAAGACACATAAAGGTAAAGGTAAAGGGACCCCTGACCATTAGGTCCAGTCGTGGACAACTCTGGGGTTGCGGCGGTCATCTCACTTTATTGGCCGAGGGAGCTGGCGTACAGCTTCCGGGCCATGTGGCCAGCATGACTAAGCCACTTCTGGCGAACCAGAGCAGTGTACGGAAACGCCATTTACCTTCCCGCCGGAGCAGTACCTATTTATCTACTTGCGCTTTGACGTGCTTTCGAACTCCTAGGTTGGCAGGAGCAGGGACCGAGCAACGGGAGCTCGCCCCGTCGTGGGGATTTGAACTGCTGACCTTCTGATCGGCAAGCCCTAGGCTCTGTGGTGTAGTGCTACTGTAATTTATGTAAGCCACAGGCTACTTCATCACATGCACTAAAATCAGACAAAGACACATATAGCAGATCAAATAAGCGAAAAGCTCCTGCCACAATGCTCAAGCTGGTGTTTAACATGCTACAGAAGGGTTGAGGTACTTGCAGCCCACTGATTAAATGCAACCCACCAGTCTTCTCAGTCCACCTTGCCAGGCCCTACCCAGGTCCTGCCCCTCGCCGTATTCTGTGCACTCGAGTGTCCTTTGCTCAGGCTAGCAAAGGGTACCAGGCTTCTGATATTGGACTAGGGAAGTCAAGGGATAGCTGGATAGTTGGTAGCTATCCCAACTGATGGATTGCTCCATTGGTTAGAGCATGGTGCTGATAACGCCAGCTTTGCAAGTTTGATCCCCAATATGAGACAGCTGCATATTCCTGCATTGCAGGGGGTTGGTCCTCAGGGTCCCTTCCAACTCTTCTGTGATCTATGAACACTGCACCAATCTGCTTTCTTGGTGGCTGGTACTGGAGCCAATCAGACTGGCAAAGCAGGAAGAGGCTGGTCTGCTTCACAGCTCCCTACATCTCTGTGGCCCTTCCACAGATAGAACTAATAAATGCCTGAATATGGAGGACTATGGTATCAGCACTTAACTAACGGACAATAGTATAGGAGCCAAAGAACTCTGAGGCACAATTCTCAAGTAAAATCTCATTGGAGACAAGGTGACTGTTCTGACAAAAGAGTGTGGAGTACTGTCTACGTAACCTCAAATGATAGGCACTATAAAACAGAGTTGTTGTTGTTTTTAAGTCGCATATCAGTTAACTGATTTGGGCCTCCGTTATAGGATTACCAAGACCTCAAGGACTACAGGGTCCAGCAGGACCAACTGGCATTCCTGGTTCAGAAGGAGATAAAGGCTCTATAGGTGGAAAGGAATCAAGTGGAAACAGTAATCTTCCAGGTAAAAGCTGTTGTTGTCAATTATTATTATTATTATCAGCAGCAGCAGGAACAGGAACACAGCTAGGCACTGTACAAAAATAAAAAATTATATGGGCCCTACCAGAGATTTATAATCTAAAGGGGGGGGGTAAACTTTTTTCCCCCCTCAATGTGCAAAGTACCAGGAGGACAAAGATTATGACAACGATTCATTCTGACTGCTCTTTTTCAGTATACAAAGCATTTGACAGCATTTTGTTCATTTATTATCAGAATAACCCGGTGAGGTAGGCAAGGGTGAGAGCTAGTAGTTCATCCGATATCAATTGCATTGTTTGACGTCCTAATGTTTTTATTTGGTCAAAGTGAAATGTGTCACTGTATAACACATAACTGGCACATAATCAGCAAGAAAAGTATTAACATAATTACAATTGCTCCAATCAAATAGATTGGAAGAAAGTGTTTTCTTCTACAATGTGCAAGTATATTGAGGATCAAATTTCAAAACCGCCTCATATTGAGATTAGCAAAAAAGTGATACAAAGACTTGAAGTTTAGGCCAAAAGTCCACAGACACTTCTCAAAGTCAAGAAGTGAGGAAGAAATATATCCCTTTGGTTTCTGGGCCAGTCATAACTCCATGAGGGACAAAGATGCTCTCTGCTTCTGAATCAACTCTCTTCCTCTAAAAAATAAAATGCCTCTGTATGGTTTCTACCAGTGCTATTTTTCTTGAAAAAGAAGTGTCAGAACTCACCATGAACGCCTCCCTTGTTCTCTTATATTGGCAATGGCACCCACCTGAGAGGTGTTGGAACTGAGTTCCTGCAAGTTCCGGCAAGTTCCAGCTGGGGTGAGGAGCCCTGATTACTACTAATCTGGTGTGCACATGTGGACATTTCTCACTTAGGGGTTCTGGAGGGCAGTTGTCAGCTTTCTTCCCCCGATGTGGTGATGTCAGTGTGTGCAAAAAGAGAAGCCACATCCAAATACTGACCACCCCTATCGTTCTGCCCAGACACTGAGGTCCAGTGCCGAGGGCCTTCTGGCAGTTCCCTCACTGCGAGAAGCCAAGTTACAGGGAACCAGGCAGAGGGCCTTCTTGGTAGTGGCGCCTTCCCTGTGGAACGACCTCCCACCAGATGTCAAAGAGAACAACAACTACCAGACTTTTAGATGCCATCTGTTTAGGGAAGCTTTTAATGTTTAATAGACTATTTTTTTTAATATTTTGTTGGAAGCTGCCCAGAGTGGCTGGGGAAACCCAGCCAGATGGGTGAGGTATAAATAAACTATTATTATTATTATTATTATTATTATTATTATTATTATTAGTGCAATCTTAAGAGCCAACACACAGGGCTACTGGTCCTTAGACAGTAGCACTTTCTGAGCTCTGGGAGAAAAGAAACTCTACAGCAGACACTGTCCCAATCCTAAGAGGAAAACCCCTTGGCAGTTTTTCTGAGTCCTCTCCCTTCCCCTTTCCCCAGAGGGCTTCAGCTGGACCTACTATTGTCCTGTTGCAAGGCAAAAACTTGCATAGCCTCTCCACAAAAACCTCTTTCTCTTCCCAAAGTTGGCCGCACAAATCTGTCACTTTCAATTATTAACATGAGGTTATTTTAATTCCATCTCCAAACAAGAGGGCATTTAGTTCAACTTGCCATCCAGGAAGTTAACAAAATTTGCACCTGAAGAAAAATTTCCAAGTGAACCAGCCAAGATGAGTGAGCTCAAAAACTATTTGTATTACATTTCCTTCCTACAGAAGGCAGAACAGGAGAGAAATACTGAACATTGGAAAACAGAATAGCTATTGTTTCTGTTGGCAAACGCCCTTCGACTTCTTTAAAGAGGAGGAAGTTTATTCTGCTTCTTGTGTACAGTAAAAAAATATTTGAATAACCTAAAAGAATGAGCAACTGAGGACCACTTGGCACATTATAGTTTTACAGTAGGTGCACTGTTCTCAAATGAGGGACTCTGCGCCAGCTCTGTAGCTACATGAAAGCTTGGCCATAGATTGTTATCCATACATATTTTGAAAAAGTTCACTTCCGGAATTTGCAGTTGATCAGGAAATCTAATGCAACTATTTTCTCATTCAGAGCTGGAAAGCCTTAAAACACAAATAAGAGGCTTGGAAACAGAGTTGGAGGGTTTGAAATCTGCCATCACCAAAACTCAAAAAGGTAAGAAAAGGAAATTATTGTTTGCTTTTGTTCAAATAGGCTGATATAGCTTCAAGTTGACTATTTCCCCCAAAAATATTTTATTAAAGTTTTCATGATACAGTAAAATAATGCCTAGAACAAATAGGATCAGAAAGACAAAATTAAAAGAGAAAAGAACAAGAAAAGTTAAAGGGAAAAAGCGGAACCAGATAGATAAGGAACATTAATAATTTCAATAATCATAATCGTAATAAAAAATAAAATTATATATATCTAGCCCTCTGTCATAATTATACCTTAATCTTCACCTACAAAGAATGAGTCTTCTCACCTCTTGCCGTCTCAAGTTTACCGTTGATGAAATTTGAGTTCACAAAAGTGATGGGGAACCCGTGGCCGATGGCTACCAATATGTTGTGCAACCACTACTCCCATCCTCTCCTCTGCTTTAAACCAGGCTGAGAACCTTTCTCCTTCCACTGAAATATAAAATGCTGCCCGCACCATCAATGCACCTGGCGTTTTACAGTATTAGATTGAAAGCCTTGCAATCTTGTCTCTTTCTAGTTCTCCTTGCCCCCAACGGCGTGATGGTTGGCGAGAAGGTATTCAAAACAGATGGATCCAGAGGTGATTATCATGCTGCGCGTGAGACCTGCTTGCGCATGGGTGGCGCACTTGCCTCCCCAAGGAATGTGGCAGAGAACAGCGCCCTGCAAAAAATAGTGACCTGGTATAACAAAAGAGCAGTCCTTGGGATCAATGACATGGCGACAGAAGGCAGGTTTGAGTACCTGAATGGCGACGTCATTGGGTACTCTAACTGGGCCCCAGGAGAACCAAATAATCTTGGCAACGAGGACTGTGTAGAAATGCATCAAGATGGCAAATGGCATGACAGAGGCTGCATACTTGAGTGGTTAGTCATTTGTGAATTCTAAAATCAGGAGGTGCAGGGGTGGCCATGTTTGTGAGGTGAAGGAATAGTTTGTTCTAATTCTTTCAAAATTCAGTACCCCTCTAGCTTGAACAGTAAGTTGCGCAAGTGATATTCAAGATGCTACTTTCCTTTACCTGACTGTGTGCAGAAAGAATATGGCAAATTTAATGTGAGGCTTGTGATTTCTAGTAAAGCATGTCCAAGAATAAAAAATACATGCTATGAGTACACAGACATTCAGGCAACATCCATCCCCATGGTAACAACAAGGAAACTACACTGGAACGCCCACATGCCTTTTCAACCAGTCCCAAAAATGCAAAACTGCCATTTTCTTCTCTATAGCCCAATTCAAGGAATTGTTCCTCACCTGCACAAGAACATATAACAAAGGCTACTCCAGCTCAGACCATGGCGTAACTTCATAAGGCGCTCAAGGAATCATACCAGTGATTCTAGTATTCGGATTCAGGAACGTTGCTCTCTGTACCAGCACAGGAGCATGCTGAAGAAAGAAATAGCAGAGCAACAACACTCACCATCATTTCAGGTGGTCAGCGGTAATTGTAGCTACCAACACAAGAGGCCAAAAGACTTCCAGTTGATCCCATAAGGCTACTTACTCTGACATTTATTCCAGGTTTGTGCTATTTGTTTCTCGGACATTGGTTGGGTTGTTCCAGAAGTAGCTATCTCTTGTTGTCTTTCTTTCTTTCTTTCTTTCTTTCTTTCTTTCTTTCTTTCAAGTAATTTTTATTGGAATTTTATTTACAACATAACTTAAATCCCCCCACCCCCCAATACACAATCCACCCTCTTTAAACGTGAACATAACATACAGTGAGCATAACATACAATACAAACAACGAAATAAAAGACTTCCTTTATCCTGTACCTGGCCTCCTTATTTACTTCTTATAAACTGTTTCCTTTACGAATAATTATTAAGATTTTTCTAATTATAACTTAAATATCCACAAAGTCTCCTGCAGACATTAATCGAAACAAGTCCAGGTATGTATTTTGGGGCACTGTTTTGTGAAGTATTCTCTGCATTTCCCCCATCCTTTTTGAAACTCTTATCTAGTGTGATCTCTAATTGCCTCTGTTAATCTAGCCAGTTCAATATACCCTAACAGTTTGTCTTGCCTTTCTTTTTTTGCTGACACAGTTTCTTTTTCCCAGTTTTTAGCAATTAGGATCCTTGCCGCTCCTGTGGCATAGAGGAATATTTTCTGATTCTTGTTGTCTCCTTTCAACCAGGCCAACAGCCCTGCTAAACTTCTGACCATCAGAAGCAGGACCTTTTTGCTCACCAGTTTGGGGATACAGAAAAACCTAGGAAAAGTGGGCCACTTTTGCATAGCAGAATATCTATCCTTCTTTGTATTCCTGTGACAACTTGCATTGTCAAAGTATGCTACATAAGGCAGAGAGGGGAAAATCCATGCTTTTAAACTGCCTTCTAGCTGTAATCCCAAATGTTTTGTATTATTACCAGACATTAGGTCAATGGAGATGTCTTTATAAACCACAGACCTTGCAAGGAAAAGGATATTGGATCCCTGAGGGTACTATGATTGTGAAAAGAACCTGTTGCCAAGATATGGAGACTCGCAAGTAATCTTGTCAATGGAGGCATAGTTCACTGGGTTACATTGCCAGCTCTAAAATGTGGATATAGTACAGATTAGTCATTCCACACCTGTCTAATCTATACAGCCTGGTGCAGCCCATCTCATCCCTCTTGCCTGAACCGTCTTCTCCTACACTTACTCCAGTGATGAGTAAGAGCTAAAGTGCAGCCATAATGAACGAATCAAACATGGTTCTATACAGTGCTATTTTTCTAGAATGAGATTTCGCAGAACTCACCATGAACTCACTTTGTTCTCTTACAATGGCAACAATGCCCACCTGAGAGGTACCAGAACTGAGTTTTAGCAAGTTTTGGCTGAAAAAAAAGCCCTGGTACTTTATGATGCCACCTTCAGAGTCACATTATGAGTCAGTCAGCTGTATCAGTCTTTCAGATCTTCCCTCTGACTGAACAATACTATAAGTTAAAGCCCTAAATACTCACACTATCTTGCTGAGGAGCATTGCACTTTCATCAGCAAACACATGTTCCCTGTAAGGCCAACTTCAGGTAAGGACAACCCTAGGTTATCTCAAGGTCATCTTTGTTATCTCTGTCATCTCATGACATCCTCAGAAAAACACTCCATTGAGAGTGCAAGTCTTTTCCTCTCTCTGAGTTGCAAGGTTTAACAAATATACAACAGAAGCAAAACAAAACCACTCCAATGTCCAGCATCTGACAGATCAAACAAAAACACAAGAAGAGTTGCTGGATCAGGTCAACGGCCCATCTAGGATTAAATTCTACAATTAAACAAATTAATGCCTTAGATCCACCTGAAACTTCAAATCTAAAGTGCATTTCAGAACCTGATATTTTCTCGATACTACACAATGGAGTGGTAGGTCTCTGAAAGAAGGAACTTGCCCTATGTTCTTGAGCAACTAACATGTTTTGAATTAAGGAACAGTCATTAAAATAATAGATTTCTGGCAGTTGGAACCTCAAGATGGACTGGTTGATGCATGCATGTGTAAGAATGGTTATCATGCATTTATTTTACTCCCCCCGCCCACTTCTTTCCACGTGATGTGTGTCATGGCAATGACAATGGATTATATTTGTCACTAACAAACATGGGCCAAGGTCCAAAGAGCTTGAGCAGATTCTCTGCAAACATCACAAGCTACCTTAGAAAGCCTTCTTGGTTTCAAAGGTGGTTTGCTATGAAGAGCTGCTGTTTGAGAAGCTCAAGGCCCAAACCCCTGTTGAGACTATGGTGGCCCATCATGTAACATGAATATTGAAATGGGAGGATAAAAGGTTGTTGCTAAACATTCTGAGCTTTGTGGGACAGCGTCCCAAGATGTTCTTGTCTCCATTCCAAGCCTCTGTTGCCTAATGTGCATGCGTGTGAATAATCCTTAGATCTGACTGTATAAACCATTACTTTTCTTCTCTTATGCTGCCTTCGCTTTGACAGGAGTGGTAAATAAAGTTGGAGACAAAATATTTATTGCCAGTGGGAAGGAAGCCTTTGTATTATTGCCAGTTAGTGCAGTTATACCTGAAAACTCTTGAGTTAGCTCAGTCGGTAGAGCATGAGATTCTTAATCTCAGGGTCATGGGTTTGAGCCTCATGCTGGGCAAAAGATTCCTGCACTCCAGGAGGAGATAACCATCGTGGTCCCTTCTAACTCTGCAATTCTATTAATCTGTTACCCTGTGATATACTTTGTTGTCCCCTCCACATTCATGAAAGTCCCTCAGCTGGGGTAGCCATGTACATGTCATCAAAAAAAGAGTACAAAAGATGACACACATTTGCATAAAACTTGCAATAATTGGGATATAAACAGAGCACACCTCACCATGGTGGGCTTGTGGGGAAGACTGATCAGGTGAGCTGTGTCAGTCTGCTGCTCAGGGTGCCGCTACCTGTTCATGGGTCCCTGCTCTCCATCCTTATGGTGATTTATACTTTAATCAGGCTACCTTTCCAAAAGAGGACCCTTTCCAATAAGTAGGACTCACAGCCACCCTACTTCTAGGCAGTGCCTGATCCTATGATGTTCCTGCTCAATGAAGAATAATGGGATTTGTTTTACTTTGCTTGGATCTACAAGAGACATGTTTAACTTTATGAGAATGATATATTTACTATCTAATAATATCTTATTTAGAATGATATATTAGAGATATCATTCTAAAATGTTACAGGGCAGACTTGTAGATTAAAAGCGTTTCTTACCTTGTTTTGTCCATCAAAACGTTATTTCACTATTGCTCGTTCCTGGTTGCTCTGCAGAGCCCTCTGGCGTCTCATTTTAATAACGCATTATGAACATTAAAAGCGGAATACAATGTGTCCATCTACGTGGTGAAAACCATTTCTTAACCCTTCCTTAACATTATAAACCATGAGTGTAGATCCACACTTCTTCTTTCTCAGGTGTGGCCATCCACTCTACCTGAACTTGCTCTTTTTGTTCTTGTGTTTTCCCCTTAGGTTCCAAAACACTTCTCAGGGTGGAAAGAAAGAAAAAAATACTTCCGAGGTTCCAATTTAGATTCTGGTGTAACAGCTGGGATGGCATCAGCCACATCCAGCCTTTCTGAATAGGGAATATCCTCTGTGACTGGAAACAGGGCCTAGTGTTGAAATGCGGATAGATAACTGTTCACCACCCACCCTCTTTTGCCTCAGTTTCGACTGGCTTTAAAGCTACTGTTCACTGCTAGCTTAATCTTTTGCAAAGAGCTTTATGGCCTCTCCAGATATTCTGGAACTCTGCTTAACTGCATGGAGAGGTCATATGCGGATTTAATCATCATTACTTTTGGGAAACTTGGATGGTTTTAACAAAAACATGTTTACTTCCCTTTGGTTTCACCTATCTTACTTATCTGAGAGCTTACAAGGAAGGTTACTCTGAACAAACTCATCAGAAGGTTCAAAAATGGTTATAGATTGACAGCCCAACCTTTCTGATAATGCTGCAAAAAGTATAACGCATTTTAGATTTCTGTATCTCTATAATTCATAATATAACCGATTTCTATATCACAGTTCTATAAGATGTCTGTAGATCTATTTGCTGGAAGAAGCACTTCCAGTGATTATACGAAAGGGCAACTTCTAGAATTTGTCCCTGTTTTCCAGTAAATTGACTGGGGGGAAAAGGTTATGCTGAAACACTTCATGCAGTCGTGCCAGTAAGTGCTGGTGTATAAAGTACAATTTTGCAATCCACAGAGATAAAATAAAACATACTTATCTATGGGATGTTTCTACTGATTTCCCCCCCACCATTCTAAGCAAAACAGAAATCCTCCCCTTTCTTGGCTAGCCTTCATCTGAAATGAAGCTGAGCTGCTTCATTTGATCAAGGAAACATATTAGGAACCGGTAAGTAATGCTGCTTCAGATTATTGCTGGATGAAAACTTTGCTTGTTAAACTCCTCCAGTTCTACAAAATAGTTTAATCCATCTGCTATTTCCCCATTCTCAAAATAAGCCTGAATGTAATCCTAACCCCATTTACCTGGGAGTGAGAAAGTTTGAATTCAATAGAACTTATCTTGGAATAGACAGAGATAGGAGTGTGCTGTTAGTTGATGTACCAGTGTGCTGTTAGTTGATTTACCAGTGTGCTTGGAATAGACAGAGATAGGAGTGTGCTGTTAGTTGATTTACCAGTCCACTTTAAATTGCTTTAATTTGTGGGACTGAATTAGAGGCATGCTTTTTTGGATGTTTGCCTCTGACAGGGAATGCAAATAAAATATTAAATGTCTTCCTTACAATATGCAACAGGCTTTATTTTGTTGGCGAAGAAGAGTTGGTAATATGGGCATTTATTTAAATTTATTTGATTAAACCATGGATTGGTTCAAAGGCAGACAATTAATCAGATAAACTTGTCTAATTGACACATCTGTTTTAGTATGACAGCTGAAATACTATTTATAGTAGTGGGGGTAGGAGAGCTGGGAGGGAGAAATCACATCTGACAACCAATGTGCCCCTTTGGTTTCAGATAGTACATGGGTAGATGAGTCTGAAAAGCTGGGGCACAAATTTTTATGGTCCTCAAGCAGCCACAGTGGCTCATTTACCAGAACTGTAGCTCTGTGCAGAACCTAGAATTCTCCAACCAACGGCATTTGCAGTTGTCTCACACAGCTATAACATCAAGATCATTTGGGTAAAGTAACAGTTGTTCAGAATTCAAATTGACCAATGTCCTTCAATGGCACAAAACACACTGACAGGTGGGCTGATGGCTTTCTGAGAGTCTCATCTTAAGAGGCCAAAACAGAGTCCTCCCTCACTGGCAGAGAAAGAACAGCAGAGTGGCCATAGGCAACCTCTAAAAGATCTCAAAATAATTTCCTCTTAACTAGTTATCTGTCTAAGGTATCAGCAATGTATCTTCGAATTTTCATCGCCCTGATGCTGGGAACATCGCTGGCGTTGGCCACTGATTCTGAAACAAACACTTGCACAGTAATGGCATGTGGCAACCCAGGAATCCCCGGTTTACCAGGAAGAGATGGGAGAGATGGTCCCAAAGGAGAGAAGGGAGACCAAGGTATCTCCATATAGTTCTATGGTAATCTTTGGCACCTTATGATAGCTCATCTATATCTCAGCTGGGTTTCTCATGTATGTGTGTGACTTGGCAGGGTGGTTACACATTGCAATGCATTTAACCCTTCTCTCTCCCCCCCCTTCCTCTATTTGCTTACATTGACGTCATACTGTTTTCCAAGGTCCCAAAAGGCATGGGGACAGGGTGCAGACTGTCTCCATGATTCTGAAAAGCAAGCCCTGGATGTTTTTGCTTTGAGTGGTGGCTGGGTACTTCATAGCACTTTTCCAAGCTCTTTTCTTTGAGCATTGGAGATGGAAGAGAGAAGTGACTAAATAGCTTTCCTTGTCCCTGTTGGTGGCAAGGGAAAAATAGGTCTAAAAAGGGAGGATTCCTGGATGCCAAGATCCCAGTTTGGGACTGATACTCTTTGTTGAGCAAACCCTAGCAAATATTTTAAATCGCAACATATGCAGGAAAGTAAAGCATGTAAATATAGGCTGTTAGACCTTTGAAATATCCCCTTGTGAGTTCCAAAACTCCTCTCTTCCCTTAACATAGAAAAGACCACATGCTTGGTGAGTTAAAAGTGGCTTACTTGCAAACTCTCCAAAGGTTGGGTTCATGTGCTTTCCATACATCAGTCGGAACACACAGGCAATAAAACTTGGATTAACTACACTAGTGAAAGTTCCTACATTATTAGTATAGGAACACAAGAAAGGCTTGTTAGAGCCATGCAGTCTGAGCTTGGAGCAACCAGTTCTAAACCTATTTACACACTGAGCTTCTCAGACAGCTTGAAGGCGGATTTGTAGTGCAGAGATCCTCTTGGGAAGAGAGAGAAGGATCTATGTGATGGGGGGAGTGATGCACTTGGGGGGGGAGAGAGCGCATTGTCTGGGGAAGGGAGAGAGGCAGAAGGTATAATTGTATGTGAAGCTGTGTATATGTGAAATGTGCGAGAGAGACGGAGGAGGCAGGAGAGGGAGATATGCCTGGTCTGTATTTATGTGCTGAGTGCATGTATGCACTGTGTAGTGGAAGAGAGATTGTGGAGCAAAGCAAATCTAGGCAGAGCTGGTGGGGAGTCAGGGAACAGAGTGAGCAGGGTAAATATATAGGAACCAGGAGGATAGTGAACAATTGTGATGATTTGCAATGGCATCAGAACAGAATCACAATTATCAGCTGAGTACAAGGTGAGCTCTAGGAACATCTTGTCATGAAGGCTGCCATCAGGAGTGTGAATGTGTATTATTTAAAGTGACCTTTTTTCCTTGTTGGCTGTTTGTTACGGGGGAATAGTATCCAAAAGCTGTTTCTTTTTCTCAAACACAAGGAGTCCAAGTGAGGGGCCAACAAGGTTTTCCTGGGAAGGCAGGGCCTCCTGGATTGCCTGGAATTGCAGGGCCCCCAGGCCAGAAAGGACAAAAGGGAGAAATGGCAGGTAAGAAATCAACTTTCTGGTGCTTAATTTTGCTTTCAGGAAGACATGAATGTGCACTTCAAGACCAACATAACCTCTTCCTTGTGAATGCCAGTGAATGGTTTGCATGATAATTATTCTTCAGTCAAAGCTTTGCTTAGAATATCATAGGGCCAAAATGTATCCTGTGGCCCCCAAGCCATTGCATCTGAGAATACATCAGTGGGTTCATGTAGAAGCACCATTTATGTCAACCAGTGTCACAATGGGGTTAGGGCATTCAGAGCCATCCTGTTCCCCATTATTCAAGTGGCACCTTTTAAAGATGCCATCGTCATTTAAACAGGAGTGGCTTGTGGATAAACTAATGTGGAGGGGGCAATTCATGCAATGATGTCTTCGTATCATCACAGCATGAACCTGGCTGCAGCAGACCCACATAGAGCAAGCACTTTGAGCCTGCTGGATGTATAAACTGAACCACAGAAATCTGAAAGTACTCCATGGATAATCTACTGTAAATCAGGAATAATAATTATTATTAATAATGTTATTATTTATACCCCAGCCCAACCAGCATCCAGCACATATGGAAACATAATAAAACATGAAACATTAAAAATTTCCCAATACAGGGCTGCCTTCAGATATCTTCTAAAAGTTACTTATCTCCTTGATATCTGGTGGGAGGGCGTTCCACAGGGAGGGCAACACTACCAAGAAGGCCCTCTGCCTGGTTCCCTGTAACTTCACTTCTTGCAGTGAAGGAACCAGCAGAAGACCCTTGGAGGAGGACCTCAGTGTCCAGGCTGAACTATGGGCGTGGAGACGCTCCTTCAGGTATACAGGGCTAAGGCCGTTTAGGGCTTTAAAGGTCAGCACCAACACTTTGAATTCTGCTTGGAAACATACCAGAAACCAATGTAGATCCTTTAGGACTGTGATGGCCAAACTTGGCCCTCCAGCTGCTTTGGGACTACAATTCCCATCATCCTTGGTCCACTGGTCCTGTTAGCTAGGGGTGATGGGAGTTGTAGTCCCAAAACAGCTGGAGGGCCAGGTTTGGCCATCACTGCTTTAGGACCTCAACAGGAGCCCAAGAGAAATGCTTCCAAGAAAGTCACAGACCTCTCTATGCAGCTTAATCTGTTGCTGAACTGGTCCTATAATTGGATTAAACATTAGTAAAACAAAAACAAAAAAACCCTCCTTTCCTGTAGTTCAGCCTTCACCTGCCTGGTGCCTTCCAGATGTGTTGGACTACAATTCCTATCAGCCACAACCAGCACTGATAGTTGTAGTCCAAAACATCATGAGAACACCAGTTTGGCAAGTGCATGCCTGATGCTTCTTGCTTCTACCCCCAGTGAACAAGCGGTCCCTATGTCCCTTCTTCCTTCACTCTATTTTGCATCTCTCTTTGAGCCAGAAGGGCTTCTGCGTTTGTGAATGTGAGCATTTATGCCCCAAGGAATGGGCTGAAGGCACATAATGCAGGAACATTGGCTGAAGCTAAGTAGGACTGGATCTAGTCAGTCCCTGACTAGGGCACCTGGGACCCTCAATGCCTTCAGCTATATTATGGAAGAAAGGCAGGATATAAATGTCATATAAAAATAATTGATACACGGGTGACAAAGGACAGCAGGTAGTACAGAGTCAGGAATTGTTAATGGTCTGGGTGGCAACTTTCCAATATAAATCATTTGTGCTTAACCATATGAACCATATCTTCATTTTCTCACCTTAGCCATTACTTCTACTCAACAACAATTAACTGCTTTGGAAAAGAAAATCCAAACTCTTCAAGCTGACCTTACCAAGTATAAAAAGAGTAAGATGGAATATGCATTTTCAATGCTTGTTCTTATATTTGTTTTTAAATGGTTGCTTGTGTTGTGTGTGTGAGTGCGAGTGCAAAAACAACAAGCTAATAGCGAGGTATGCATGGACTCTTTGGGAGAAGCCCTAACTGTTTAAATGGTATGATACAACTTTCAATGTATAGTACAGATGGGCCTAACTAAGATTTGCCCATATAAAGGAGTCAGTCTGTGTTGTCAATAGCTCATATGTTGCAAACTTTCTACTATCGTCTCATCTCTTTATATTACTTAGAGCCAGGTTATGCTCTCCACGCTAAAAGTGAGGTGATCATGTCATCCCATGCAGATTTTACAACCAACAAAATTGATTCTTTTTTAATCAGCTTGTTCAACATTCTGTATGTGTGAAAAAACAAAATTTGGGTTGAGTGGGTGCTAATCTGTTTTGCTTTTGAGGTGGGACAATGGGACTCAAAGCCCTGATTATTGTGGGTGGGGTGTGGAGGAAAATGACAGATTTTCCTCAGTGTGTTGGATATTGATGAACCTAAAGAGCAGCCTCCTACAGCCTGGAACCTTCCAGATATTGTTGGACTACAACTCCCATCATCCTTAGCAACAGGCCATGCTACCTGGGGCTGATGGGACTTGTGGCTGCAGTCCAAAACATCTGGAGGGCAGCAAGTTGGGGGAGGTTTATAAAGGGCACGGCTTATCCAGAATGAATTGCCTTTATATCCCATTTATTTCATTGGGAAGCATATAGTCAACTGTCTACCATTCAAATTGGTAGTAGTTTAAAGTGCTTGACTCTGGATGGATTGTGCCCATGTGGGTAAGTGTGGAACAGTTAATATTCAGGTTGCCAGCAATTATTTCTCATGTGCTTCTCACTGTGCTTTGCTTTTCTCTCTGTGTCTAGTTGTGATGTTGCAGCAGGTGAAAGTCGGAGAGAAATTTTTTGTTTCAACTGGTCAAGAAGTAACTTACTCCAATGGAAAAAGACTGTGTGAAAATGGAGGTGCAGCTCTTGCCACCCCGAAGAACGCAGCAGAAAATGCAGCCTTGGCGGAAATAGTAAAGAGGAATTCGAAGATTGTTTTTCTCGGTATCAGCGATATCCAAACTGAAGGGAGATTCGTGTATGTAAATGGGGCACCCCTAAGTTACACAAATTGGAAACAAGGAGAGCCCAATAACTATGGTAATAAAGAGGACTGTGTTACAATAGTTGAGGATGGACAGTGGAACGATTTGGATTGTGAACGGAAAACACTGACTGTTTGTGAACTGTAACTTCTCCACCCCCACCCCCAAAAGATGCTTAACCCTGTGGGTGCCTGTGCTCACAGTTATTAACTTAATGGCACAGCAAATTTGCAGTTTTTAAGTTTGAGGCGGAGAGAGAGGTGGTTTTTAAGATAGCTAAAAGTAGCATGACAGAAGGATTATTTTCTGCTGCTCTGCACACACAGCTTTTGTGCCACAGTAATCTTTGGTCAAAAGGCTTTTTCAGCTTCTTGAAATGTTACAAAAAGCTGCAAAACATATTTAGCCGAATGATAGAGAGGGCAACAATGCTTCTATTGCACCACTTTCGACCTGGGGAAGGGGGCTCCTGTCAGTCTGCCAACCTCAATGACGGATGTGCCATTTTAGGCTTAAGAGTGCCATATGCAAAACCACCACCCACAAACCCTATTAGTCTAATTTGCAGAATATTCAAATATATTATTAATTGTGGAAAACCATTTAACCTCATCAACATGCCTCAGCTATGTCTAGATGTGCACCTGGAAAGGCTGGAGATCTGCCCTTCTGTTTTATTGTTGTCGTTTTCACAAATTTAAAGCTGTGTTTTTCATGAATCTCTTTCATGTACTAGATTCTGTTCTGGTGTAATTGCAGCCATGTGATGAATAAGTAAAACAGTCCATATGTTTTAGGAGTAGCAAGAGTATACTTGTGTCTAGAGTGCTACATGCAGTGTGTGAAATGTATATTAATTGATTTCTAAGTACAGGTACACTGAGAGTACATGCTGCAGAGGACTCTGGTTGGTTCTGGATTCTTGCAACATGAGTTAGGTATTAAAAGAGATGAGCCAGTGTGGTGCAGTGGTTAGAGTATTGGACTAGGGTCTGGGAGACAAGGGTTCAAATCCCCACTTGGGCATGAAGCTCACTGGGTGACCCTGGGCCAGTTACTGCCTTCTCAGCCCTAGCCTGCCTCACAAGGTTGTTGGGATTAAATGAGGGAGGGGAGGTCTGTGTATGCCAGCACAACACTAAAGTCAATAGAACAAAGCAATCCAAAATCAGAACCAAGAGTAAACGAAATGATGCCCGCTATCACCTGCATTAATCATACTGAGAACTAGAACAAATCTCATAGGGCAAAACACATTCCTTCAGTTCCCCTGGGAATGTCCCCGTGTCAAGGGACGAATTGATAATTTCAACCAGGGGGGTCCGCGCAACATCTGGACACTCCCTAATCAGCCAAGATGGGCACGGATCAAGGAGGCAGGTGGTGGGCCTACCAACTTGGAGGAATCTATCCACATCAGTAAAGTAAGATTTCTTAGCAGCTTTCATAGCCATCTCATAGGCTTTCATAAGCATCCTATAAGATATTGGAAGTACTATCTTCAATTTATTTCAATACTTCTGTCTCATAATCATATCTACCCATAATCCCTGTAGGCCAATCCTCATCAGCTTGTTTTATTACTACATTAGCATGAGAAGATATTTCTGCTCAGATTAAGCCAATTTCTTCTTAACACTCAATGCCCCTTGAACATACTCCCAGCACTGTGTGAAAGTCTTTATATGTGGGCAGCTCCTGCATGCCTGGGAGAATGTTTAAATGGCACAACCAAATGGTCCAGGGTTGATTGATTCTCACAAAATTGTCACTGTGCTGGGAGCAGTGATGTTGATTGTATAGGAAAAGACTCATGCATTCAGGCATTGTCCATGCGGCTGGGTTGTTTTCAGCATCCTTCCAGGCAGCCATCTAAAAAGCTGTCTAAAGACAAGCTGTGCTAAATAAATACATTTGAACAACATTATGGTGAACTACTATTTCTTTCTTTTTAAAGGACACATTGCATGCATATGCAGAACATCTTTGTGTCCATGTCCATGTTCTTTCTTTGGGGACAGTCTGAACATTCTCTGATCCAGTAGAGTATGGGTAGGCAAACTAAGGCCTGGGGGCCGGATCCGGCCCAATCACCTTCTAAATCCAGCCCATGGATGGTCCAGGAATCAGCATGTTTTTACATGAGTAGAATGTGTGCTTTTATTTAAAATGCATCTCTGGGTTATTTGTGGGGCATAGGAATTCGTTCATTTTTTTCTCTCCAAAATATAGTCCGGCCCCCCACAAGGTCTGAGGGACAGTGGACCGGCCCCCCGATGAAAACATTTGCTGAACCCTGCAGTAGAGTGTTTGCAGGGCAACCATAGCTATGTAAGCATAGTCCTGAAAAGAAGAAGTTGTTTGATGAGGAAGCTGGGGAGGGGGGTTAATCCTGCACTCTGTGTCACTTCCAGAAGCACTGATTGGCTGGATTTCACCATTGTTAAAATGGATATACTGTACATGCTGATCCCTGCCCGTTGGGCAGGGAAGGGTGAAGTTCACACAGTCAAGTTCACACACTCTTCATTTATATCTGAAATCCTCTATTTAGCAAGGGATAGAAGCCTGATCTCTATATGATCAGATGACCTGGGGAAGTTGTGATCAACCTCACTAGCCTTCCCCCCCCCTCACCTGTGACCCTGCTTTAGTTGTTCCTTGTTAAATCAGTTTTGTTTTTGTTTGCTTGCTTTTGCTTTCATGGTTTTTGAATGGCAAGCTCCATTTATATAAAGAATGTCGCAGTCATTTAACTTTATAGTACATTATATCATTTCATAGAAGTTGCTTCCCCAGTGAAGAGCTGTGTTTTACCCAAAGGGGAACATGTGAGCGTAATTTTGTCTTTCCTTGTGAATTTTGCAATCCATCGCATAATTTTTTTATTAAAGTTTTCACAATACCATAAAATTATATCTAGAACAAATGAAATAAAAAAGAAAGAACGAAGGAGAAATAACAAAAGAAAAGAGAGGAAGGCAAAGGAATAAGAAAAGAGAGGAGAAAGACAACAGAAATAATAACACACACACACACACACACACACACACCCTCTGTTCTAATTATACCATAATCTTCTGTCCACATACAAAGAAGTGAATCTCCCCAGCTCCCATCTGGGAAGTTTCCCTCTTTCCTCTGCCTCACACCCTGAGAAAAACCCACTCTTGCCTGCCTCCCACACAGCCCCCTCACTTCTAAACATCACCTTTCTGAATTTTGCAATCCAGAAGGCGAGCAACATAATGAGCATGGACCATGTGCTGCAAAGGCGTCTGGTGGGGGGGGTGCACATCAAACTTCAGGTGCCTTACAGCGACTTCTTGTAAGTTGTCTGGTTTCTTTATAAAGAGAAATATAATCAAAAGTGGTGAAACTGCTAATTGCTCATTGTTGGCAAGCTGTTCTTTTCAGAAGGTGCCAAAGCATCTCGGAGAGGGGATAATAGAGGGCACCTGATTCGCTTCATGATGTGCTACTTCTCGGAAAATGCTATCAGCATGACTCAGATGTGTACTGAACACTTTGCTGCCTGAACGAACAGCTCTTATTCTTTTCTTTTCTTTAAATGCAACTTAAATAACACAAAGGCTGGATGTTGCTTACTCTTCCAAGCTGTTAGGCTTTCTGGAAAGTCCCTGCTGGTCATTTAATTTCGCATTTAATTATACATTTGTTGTATTAGCACTTATCTGAGCCTGTTCATATGGTGCTAATGGAACTCTTGCAGGAATTCCGATTAGTTAGTTTTTCAAAAGGGTTTTGTTTGTGTGTGTGTGTGTGTGTGTGTGTGTGTGCGTAAGGAGATTCAGTGTGTGTGTCTCAGATAAAGATGAGCCATAGGCAAGCTTGAAGAGCTGTCATTTCTTGAGTGATTATGAAAATTCAAAAAGCCGTTTTTTCTATGTTGCTAGTTACAACCAGGAAATGGGAAATTGCCATAATCCTCACAGTATGGTTTAAGGATTTGCCCAAACAATCCATCAAATCTGCATTGTGCTCTTTGTTAAAGGGATCCAGGTGGGGCTAGAGCCATAGTGCTCCTTGAGTAGGCGATCCTGGAGAGGTGGAGCCTGTTTGATGTTTGTCATAGGCCTCTTATGTGCTGACAGACAGTTGCTTGCCTAAACACTAGTCAGCAAAACCCACTGCTTATGAGATGAGATCTGATGTTTGGTAAGCACCATAGTACCCTCATTCTATATCCATTGGAAAGATTCATTCTTCCAGGCTTATGGTCATCTAAAACTTACGAAGTGCACAACAAAAACCACCACTGACTTACAGCAAATGTATCAGTCCTGAAAAGCATATGGGACATAGAGACAGGACCAGGGGCGGAGGAAGGGGGTGGGGGCGGGCCATCCCAGGTGTCACCACTGAGGGGGGTGACAAAATGCCGGGAGGCACTCACTGCAGGGCCTGCAGCGCACCCGAGCCACGCGTCCCTCCTAGCAGGTGGCTTGGGCACCCGCAGGCTCCATGCTGCCCCAAACGGTCTGCCCACCGCCTCCCCCTCAACTGTAGGGTGGCTGAGTGGGAGGAGGCAGGCAGACTCCTCAGAGGCCCTGTGGAGCATCCTGCCCCAGATGGCTCCGCCCCTGCAGGCAGCTGGCCCCACCCCTGGGCGCAGGGCACACATATTATTATTCCCCAGGCGCCCAATTGGCTTGCTCCGCCACTGGAAAGGACAAGGAGGACCTGCAACATAGTGTTGCAGGGTGGAGTGCTCCTTTTTGCTGTCCGTGTGTTCGAGTCATTTAGCCCACACCCTCTTTCACAATACAGGCATCTCTCCACTTACACACATTTGACTCGCACACGACTGTGTGCACGTGGTGCCATGAAATAATTAAACAAATTGATATAAAGTGCAAAAAGGGGCAAAAAGTGCAAAAAAAATACCCCAAAAGAGCAGGAAAACTGCAAAAATGGCACAAAAACCCAAATGGCTAGCAATCCCAGGAGCCTTTGCAACTGCAATCCCAGGAGCCTTTGCATCATCCCCTTGTTGTTTCCACACTGTCCCCAAGCAATGAGGAAGACTGAGAGCCACCATTGCCACCATTCATGCCAATCTGGTAAGTGCTGCTGGCTGGGTTTTTTAAAGGGTTTTTCAAGGGTTTCCAGAGGTTTAGAGGGTGTTTACAGGCTTTTTAGATGGTGTTCTTCACTATACACTATTTCACATATACACATGGTACCTGGGTATGTAACCCCCACATAAGTGAGGAGACGCCTGTACAACATTCCTCCTCTCCAGAGTCTTCCATTTCCCCAACAGCAATCAGTTGGCATGCTCAGTTCTCTAAGTGGGCTGTTTTGAGAGTTGCCCCCCCCCCCCAGCCCTTTACGGGTTTCCCCCCTAAATATTTTCTGCACTTCAGTGACCATTGAGTACTCTGAGCCTGCTAATATCTCCCTCAGGCTGCATGTATGGTGCCCTCTGGGTACATCAGGACCATCCTCTGAACTTTGGAAATAGAGGGGATGACTCTATCTAAAACCACCCACCTTATCAAAGTTCCTAAAAATTCTCATCCATAAAAAACAAGCCTAAAAACAAAGCTGGTTTGCACCAATGGACTAATATCCTTCTTCTGTGAAAAACTTTCTTTCAATTAGCAGATTATATTAAAGCCTGGAAGGCAGAATTATGAATTACACAGACTGCAAGAACTTATCCATTATAGGGACCCCCAGGCATTAGAACAAGGCAACTAATAATAGCCAGTTAGTCAAAAAGATGGATTATTATTCAAAAATGACCTGATAATGGAAGAAAAGGCATAGTGAAGAAATTGAGCATCATTGTTAAATGGAAAAGGATATCTTATTTAACATAATTGGTATCATATGTATCATTTAGATTTTTTGTTACATGAACAGGTAGAGCAGAAGGATATTTATTTTAACATGGATATCTCATCTACAGAGTATTCCCTATTCACCTCATGGAGTGGGTCAGCTGTGCTGCAGAAAAGAAAGGGGTGCACAGAGCTTGCCCCCACCCCCTGATGAAGTAAGCAACAGTACATCTGGAAAATGTTCAGACTTCACCTTGGGTAGTTCTCCAGTGGGTAGGCTTTGCTGTCCCTTCTCTTGGAAAGACCCCACCCTAACCTTCTGTCTGGCTCAAACTGGGCTTTGCGAAGGAAGATTGAGGCTCTGACAGGGTCCTAGAGCCCCCTTCCCCAAACCTGGTAAGTGTTTTCCTGGTTTTATGTGGTGGACTTGTGACAAGGTAAAAGCATTTTGGGAATTGATCTACAATGAACTAAAAAAGATGTTAAAATATACTTTCGCAAAAAACTCTGAAGCATTTCTGCTTGGGCTGATGGGAGAAGAAATTGCAAAAGTAGACCAAAGATTATTTATGTATGCCAAAATGGCAGCAAGAACTTTGTTAGCCCAAAGGTGGAAGACAAAAGAATTACCAACGATTGAGGAGTGGCTAATAAAGATGAGGGACTATGCAGAGTTAGCCAAACTGACTATTAGGATCCGGAACCAAGGCGACCAGAAATTCCGAAGAGATTGGAGTAAATTTATTGAGTATTTGAAAGATTATTGCACAAATGTGAAGACACTAGCAGGACTGAAATAAATCTTGAAACGTAATGTAAAAATAGTATCTGACCATGGACAAAAAGGGACTTGATATATACTGAAGGACAGAAACTGGCAGTTGAAATGTGCATACAATTTATTAGAAATGGGAAAACCAGTTGAAGGGAAGGAAGGAAGTCACATGCTTGGCGGAGCAAAAGTATTTGATATGTATTTGAAAGGCTGTTATATTTCGTGTTTTTGAAAAAAAGAAAAACAATAAAAAGTGTGTGTGTGTGTGTGTGTGTGTTTTCCTGGTTTTGGGAAGGAGACAAGAGGACTCTAGGAGCCTGTCAGAGCCCTCATGCCTCCTTCCCGTAGCCAGGCAAGCCAAGCATTTACAGGGCTTTGAGAAAGTGCCCTCCTCGGCTGCACACCCAATGTGGCTGCATCACTCTCACTGCTCTAAATCTGCTTCTGCCACAGCTGATGAGAATGCCCAGCATTTTATCAGCGGTTCACATTCCAGGGATTCAGAGGCAAAAGGAAATATCATAGTATCACAGGGCCCAGCCAGTTAGCGCTATCCATGAAACAGCATTGAGGGAGAGAAACAGGTAGCTTGAACTGAACAGCAGTGTGGCTGCTTCCGGAGCAGCTCCATCTCTCCAGAAAGGTGATTCTGCTTTCACTGTTTGTTGAGAGAAATAAGAATGAGATGCAGCTGCATCTCAAGATCTTTCCCATGTTGTGTACAAAGCAGATTTTTATTTGTTTCTGTTTGGCTCTTTTATGGTCTTGGGACGCATGAGTACTTCTAACAAGGACACTTGAGTTTCTTCTCATATTTTGCAACTCACAAAGTGGTTTCAGAAGAACACAGCAGGGGAGGATTCTGAGATATAAATGCATTTTCTGCGTTCCATTCAACCTTCTCTGCTAGGAGAACGTGAGCTTCAACAGCCTCAACAGCTAAAGGTCAGCCAGCAGTGTCCTCTTTCTGCTTGAATCATCAAGAGCAGTACACAGTGAACACTGTGTCCTTTTTGTTCACAGTCAAGTTGAGAGTATTGTTTCCCAGAAAACTGATGGCACACTTGAACTTTATGTCTTCTCCCTATGTGAGACATTTTTAAATGTTAATTGCCCTTTGTGGCACATGGTTACACTAATTACCACAGGGAAAGATGTGTAGATACAGAAGTCAGTACAAAACTGACCCCTTTGGATTCCCATAACCATCATGTTAATCCACTTGTCCTGAGGACCACAAACAGTCCAGTTTATTTCAGACCGGAGCATTATGGAAGCTGCTAAAGTATATCAGGAGATGCCTACCAGATCAGACCAAAGGCCACCTTGAGATTGCTTACACTAAATCTTTCAAATAAATAACTAGTAGGCAAGAGGAAGTCAGAATCAAAGAGTATTGCTTTGGGGCAATTCAGATTTTGGCCAAGATTTATCCAAAGTTGCCCAAAGTGAATTAGGCTACCACCAAAGTCTAATTCCAGAGGGAGTCAGTAAATGCCAACAAACAGGCAGTCTCCAAATATCTGTTAAAAGTGGTTGCATTTTACAATCAAGCTTTGCATACAAGGTAAATGGCAGGTGGGGAGAGGGGCAAAACTGGCCACCTCATTGCTCACCCCAACTCTAGGTCATTTATAAACAGTCAAAAAACATTAATCCCAGGAAAAATCCTTGAAGGAGCTAGCTCACTGTGACATCCGTCCATTTATTTTCAATCATTTGTCAGCCATAAGGGGACCCTTTCTTTTAACCATGTTAAAAGCTTTCTGAAAATTTAAATGAATCATGCCATCTGAATCATTGTTATCTGTATGCTTGATGACAATCTCAACCTTCAGCGAGGCAAGGGGAACCTCTGCAGAAGCCATGCTGATTTCTTATCAGTGGGACTTGTTCTTCTATAGGATTGATAATTTTATCTCTAATAATATTTTCCACCAATGTACCTGGAACTGTTATTAAGCTAACTGGCCTAAAATTTCCTGGCTCTCCCCTTCCTCCCTTTTTAAATCTGTACATTGGCCACTTTCAAGTCCTCAGGTACAAAGGCCAACATAAGGGATATGTTCCATATTTTTGTTAGATGATTGGAAATTTTGCATTTGAGTTCCATAAGATGTTTTTGGTGGACTCCACCTAGACCCAGTGAGTTGTTAATTTCTAATCTGTCAATGAAACTTTAACTTCCTTCTCTTGTCTCTTTTAAACCACTTGTATCCTTTGAATAAGGGATGCGGGTGACGCTGTGGGTTAAACCAGAGCCTAGGACATGCCAATCAGAAGGTCGGCGGTTCGAATCCCCGCGACAGGGTGAGTTCCTTTTGCTTGGTCCCAGCTCCTGCCAACCTAGCAGTTCAAAAGCACGTCAAAGTGCAAGTGGATAAATAGGTACAGCTCTGGCAGGAAGGTAAAGGGTGTTTCCGTGCGCTGCTCTGGTTCGCCAGAAGTGGCTTAGTCATGCTGGTCACATGACCCGGAAGCTGTATGCTGGCTCCCTCGGCCAATAAAGCGAGATGAGCGCTGCAACCCCAGAGTTGGCCACGACTGGACCTAATGGTCAGGGGTCCCTTTACCTTTATCCTTTGAATAAGGAGCTGGTTCTTTGGAATCTCTTTTGTGGAATCTCTTCTATATGTTTGACAAACCCTTATGTTAAGGTTACCTCCCCTGTAGAACGTCAGGACAGGGTCCTTCACTCCATGTTCCTGCAGTGTGTTGCAGGAAACTAGTTCCAAAGGATGAAAAGCATGATGTGTTAACTGCAAAGGGACTGAGTTTCATGTAAGTCCTTCAATTTTTTGAATGGTGTTCCCCCTCCCTCAATGTGTAAATCTTTATATCTTTTTATTGAGCTTTCGGTTTGGAATCATCCTCTTTATTCCTGCAGATTTTCCTCCACGTTTAGCTAAACAAAACTTTAGGTGTTTCCACTCCAGTTTTCAAGGGAAATGTCATCACTGGGTCCTTCATAATATCTGAAGTATTTGCCAAGCAAATGGAGTGCATTAATAAAACAAGGACTCCTTCAAACCCACCCTTACCAAACTTCCATCTACGTCCACAAGTGTATATCAAATTTCTACTTGAGTATGAAGCCAGCTGTGCAGCTGCACTGTATAAATTGCATGGTCTGAAACCTTCTTTCCTATCCAGGTGAAACACAAGGGTAAGTTGACTCCAGTTAGCATTTAGTGGTCAAGATTACTGGCTGAAACATCATCACCATCATCACTTGGAAATATTTCATCGCAATATCTTGTATCATCATTATTTCCTTTTGTAATATTGACCTTTGTCTGTCTTTGTTCGGGATGAGCATTGGGGGGGGGCACCTTGAATGACCGAAACAAAAATTATTTAACATTTGAAGTTTCACAGTTTAGAACTAATGGCTTTGACTATTTTTTAAATGAATAATATGACTGAGCTCATTCTGAGAGAAATGCTGTGCTATTTTAAATGTATGCTCTCTCTTTTTTACAGCTGGTCAGAAATGAAAGTCTTGTCCCAGTTCCTTCATGTGGCAGTAGTAGTCGCCATTTTTACTCTTCCGTGTCTTGGACAGGCAGGAGACAAATGTGCAGGCGTTCCAGGCATCCCAGGGACTCCGGGGTCAAGTGGGGTGCCTGGGAGAGATGGGCGTGATGGGATGAAAGGCGACCCAGGACCACCAGGTATCTCAACTTGTTGTTATTATAATACAAAGCCTAGTATTAAAAATTGCTGGTAATGAACTAGTATTGCATCTTACAGACACCTGATTGTAGACCAATTCATATCAGTGTTCAAATAACAGAGTGTCAAAAAAGGCCCAGCTCCTTTACCTTTTGTGATATCCCCCTTAATTACAGTTTTCAGAGAGCTATGGGGAGGGAACATGATTTGGGTAAAACTGGGGTGGGGATCAGGGACCATTAAGGATCCCACAAACAAGGTGCCCCATGATATTCTTGTAAAGAAGCTGGTAAAATGTGGTCTTGACTATGCTACCACTCAGTGGATTTGTAACTGGCTGACTGACCGAACCCAAAGGGTGCTCATCAATGGTTCCTCTTCATCCTGGAGAAGAGTGACTAGTGGGGTGCCACAGGGTTCTGTCTTGGGCCCGGTCTTATTCAACATCTTTATCAACGACTTGGATGATGGACTCAAGGGCATCCTGATCAAATTTACAGATGACACCAAACTGGGGGGGGGGGTGGCTAACACCCCAGAGGACAGGATCACACTTCAAAACGACCTTGACAGATTAGAGAACTGGGCCAAAACAAACAAGATGAACTTTAACAGGGAGAAATGTAAAGTATTGCACTTGGGCAAAAAAAATGAGAGGCACAAATACAAGATGGGTGACACCTGGCTTGAGAGCAGTACATGTGAAAAGGATCTAGGAGTCTTGGTTGACCACAAACTTGACATGAGCCAACAGTGTGATGCGGCAGCTAAAAAGCCAATGCAATTCTGGGCTGCATCAATAGGAGTATAGCATCTAGATCAAGGGAAGTAATAGTGCCACTGTATTCTGCTCTGGTCAGACCTCACCTGGAGTACTGTGTCCAGTTCTGGGCACCACAGTTCAAGAAGGACACTGACAAACTGGAACGTGTCCAGAGGAGGGCAACCAAAATGGTCAAAGGCCTGGAAACGATGCCTTATGAGGAACGGCTAAGAGAGCTGGGCATGTTTAGCCTGGAGAAGAGGAGGTTAAGGGGTGATATGATAGCCATGTTCAAATATATAAAAGGATGTCACATAGAGGAGGGAGAAAGGTTGTTTTCTGCTGCTCCAGAGAAGCGGACACGGAGCAATGGATCCAAACTACAAGAAAGAAGATTCCACCTAAACATTAGGAAGAACTTCCTGACAGTAAGAGCTGTTCGACAGTGGAATTTGCTGCCAAGGAGTGTGGTGGAGTCTCCTTCTTTGGAGGTCTTTAAGCAGAGGCTTGACAACCATATGTCAGGAGTGCTCTGATGGTGTTTCCTGCTTGGCAAGGGGTTGGACTCGATGGCCCTTGTGGTCTCTTCCAACTCTATGATTCTATGATTCTAAGATTCTAAACACACACACACATTCATCAATTTGATCATGAGAGCTCCTTTCCACATAAAGTGGGCCTAAAAAGATTGATGAGGGCATTCTCAGGATACTGCCAAAGAGAACAGCTGGCTGTGAATTACAAGAAAACTAAAGTCATGGTGTTTTCAAGAAACTATGGTCCCACTGGTCTCTAGTAATGTTCAGATTAGGTCTGCATAACTTGTGACCCACCAAAAAGAATTGAAAACTGACTCACCAGAGGTTTGCAGGACACAACTACAACATCTCTAACCGATGGCTGTCCAGCACCCTCTGCTCAAATACATTTAGTGAAGAAGACCCACTACATCCCAAGGCAGATTGTTGCACTGCCGTTTGGAAGTGCCTCCTAGTATTTCATTTCTCCTAATGCTTTAGGACAGAGAATAAGCCTACCCCATCTTCAGTGTGGTAGCCCTTCCGATATTTGAAGACTGTCTTCATGTCTCTCCTTATGCTTGGTCACAAATAAAATTGGATTGAGTAATTCAATTTATCAAGCAAATAAAAAATGTTAACTTTGTGAATTATCAGGCAATGCATTCAAGAAACCAAATCTCTTAGTTTGGTTCTACTTTTGTACTGGAAGGATGATTTCCTGAATCTTTCCAAAAAAAATACTTTGGGAAAGAAAGAATAACTAAATTGTTCCTTTTTTATGTGATCAAAATATTCAGTGAGCAGCTAAGAGGTATTCAGTGATTTGTGTGCACACACTAAAAAGGTTAGCTGATGTGTCATCATATTTCATTGCCCATGAAATACGGTTTTTATATCTTCAGGGACAAGAGATACTATAGTAAGATTCTGGCTTCTGAGTCATCATTCCAAGGAGATTGGACTATGGTATTGAGTTACGCAGGCTGTAATGCAATCTGCTTCCTTGAAGGGCACCTGCAGCCTTGAAATTATTCTTTAGTCTCCACTTCTATAGTGTACCATTGAGGAGTGCCTTGTATATCTTTGTTCTTGTGTTTCCTTCTAGGTCCAATGGGCCCTCCTAATGGTCTGCCAGGTGCTACTGGAAGAGATGGACTTCCTGGTCCACCAGGGCCAAGAGGTGAACAAGGAGAAAAGGGAGAGAGGGGCCCAGAAGGTAAAAAGGAATTGCATAACCTATAATATAATATAATATAATATAATAGCCAGGAAAACTGTTGTGACAAGCTTCCCTGTACACTTAGGCGATACTATTATTAATTATTTTTGGGGATGAGGAATAAATTTGATCCATTTCACATTACAACATGTGAACTGAAACACAGTCATCTTTTGACATTCACTCTTCCCCGAATTTTGTAATATAAGTCTAGCCAAGTAATGTACTGTGTACAAAATGCATATACTAGGGTAAAGTGTATATAAAGATGTATATATTCATGAATATGCTTGCAAATATACATTATATTAAACATTGCTTCACAAAGATGTGTATATTAGGCAATCCATATACAGACAAAATACGTATCTTAGGATAAATTTGCACCAAAATCCTGGTGAATTTTCGTGAGGATTTTTTTAAAAAAGATAAATAAATTACAAACTGATGTAAAAAATGTGCAGAACTGAAATTGAGTTTGGAAAAATCAGAAACTGAAAGGAACCAAAATTGAAACCATCCCTAATTGCCTCAAAGCTAATGCTGAATCGACTCAGATAAATGAATACCCCAAACATAATAAAACACAATTCATGCTATTATAAAGGTAAGGGACTACGCCTCTTCATCCCTGAATGGCCTTATACAAATACTGGTCTGTGCCTAAGACATCTACAAGATCAAGTAAACACAGTGCGGACAAGGGCTTTCAATCTGTTGGTGAAATATCTGGCTCACTGCACAGACACAGATTAATTTGTCAATTACACTTTGGTACAATGTCTCTTGAGGTTAAGCATATGCCTTATGTATCATGCTTCAGAGACTGATTTTCAAAATGATACCAAACTGTTTGATTGATCATATAAGATTTACCCCAATGTCCTTTTGAAAGGTTCATGCTTTGCTTGGAATTACTTTTGATTGAGTTAGCTCCACCCTCACACTGGTCTACAACAAATTTGTTGTCTGCGTTTTTTCAGTTGATTTAGGACGAATCTGATGCGCTGAATCCAAAAATCACATTGGTTTTGCTCAATCAGGTCAAGTTTTTGAGCTATAGCCACATGTCGTTTTTTTACATTTTTGTTCACATGCACGCTTGTGTGGAGCATTTTAGAAGAAGTTGGTGGGGGTAAAATGCCATGTCGAATAATTGTTTTGATTGGAAATGATTATTTTAATGACAAGAAGTATTCAGGTCCGATAGTTCTGGGTGATTATGTCGAAAAGAGATCAGTTTGAAGTCATAAAACCTCGAGATCTTCCATAAATTGGTGCGGCAAAGCAAAAAGTTGGGGGATCAAAACTAAGTTAATGGGGCAGCGGCCCCACGAAGTATCCTGATCTTCAATCAGCACGTCGTCCTGTAGCTCATTGTGATGAAATTCCAGTGCCTATCTTCGGAGAACTTCCTGACATTAGTGACGAAGATGCCTCCAGTGTTGAAGGACATGAAGAAGAAGAAGTGGTTCCTGAAGATGTTGCTCCACATCCATTTTCCCAAAAGGAGTTGAATGATCTAGTTCGCAACCTCAGCTTGTCAAAGGACTCTGCCGAACTGTTGGCATCCAGATTGAAGGGGAAAAAACCTCCCCTCTGACAGTGCTCGCATCAGCTTCTTCCGCAACAGGCATCAAGAGTACCTCCGTTTTTTCTCGGAAGAGAAGGACTTGGTGTACTGTGCAGATATTGCGCAGCTTCTGCTCAAGCTTGGAGTGCCACAGTATGAACCCAAAGATTGGAGACTGTTCATTGACAGCAGCAAGCGATCACTGAAATGTGTTCTGCTACACAACGGCAACCAGTTTGCCTCTATACCCCTGGCTCACTCGAGTACACTGACGGAGAACTATGAAGTGGTGAAGTATGTGCTGGAGAAAATTGGTTATGATCAGCATAAGTGGTTTATTTGTGTTGACCTGAAGATGGTGAACTTTTTGTTGGGACAACAGTCTGGCTTCACCAAGTACCCATGTTTTCTGTGCATGTGGGATAGTAGGGACCGTGCTCAGCATTACACGAAGAAGGACTGGCCTGTGCGGGAGGAATTGGTGCCTTGCAAAGAAACGAACGTCATCAACGACCCTCTGGTGGACAGAGACAGAATACTCTTCCCACCGCTGCACATCAAGCTCAGCTTAATCAAGCAGTTCACCAAGGCTCTGGACAAGGATGGTGACTGCTTCACTTACTTGTGCCAGGCTTTTCCAGGATTGACCATGAAGAAGTTGAAAGCTGGCATCTTTGACGGTCCTCAGATCCATCAGCTCATCAGAGATCCAGAGTTCGGAAACTCAATGAACGAAGTGGAACTGGAAGCGTGGAAGGCATTTGTTCTGGTAGTGAAGAACTTTCTTGGCAACAATAAGGCCAGAAACTACGCAGAACTTGTCAACAACATGCTGACTGCTTTCAGAAACCTGGGCTGCAACATGAGCGTCAAGATGCACTACCTATTTTGACATATGGACCGGTTTCCTGAGAACCTGGGTTCAATGAGTGATGAGCAGGGGGAGAGATTCCATCAGGACATGAAAGAGATGGAGACCAGGTATCAGGGTCGCTGGGACGCAGTCATGATGGCTGACTACTGTTGGACTCTGAAGAGAGACCTCCCTGCCGCTGAGCATTCCAGGAGTTCCAAGAAACGGAAGTTCAAGCCCTGAAGTTTGAAAAATGGTGAAGCAACATGCAATTTATGTGTACTTACCTTTATCAATGCCCACCATTCAGTTTACAGTAAACCTGACCTGATGGAGAGAAACGGATGCCATTTCCTGATTCAGCAGTGCAAAAATACCCTAAATCAGTTGTAGAAATCTAGACAACATTCAAAAAGTAAAAAATTATTGCCCAGTGAATAGGCAGCTAATTTAGGACTTAAAAGAAAGAAAAAAATGAGTAGTGCATAGGATGCACCACAATTAGATTAGGCTTGTTTGAATCAATGACTTTGAAGGTGGATTAGAATTCATGCAAGATACCTGCTACAGATGTTACACTCTCATTTGTGTTCAATTCATTGACTCACCTAACATTGGACAAAATAAAATGCATTAACCGTTTTATAGGTTTTTATTCTCTAGCTTAAAACTAAATGGTGAAAGGGAGATTTCTGTCTTTGATAGGAATAAATCTTACTCCAGAAGGGATTTTTCGGTGGTCGTTGATAAATTCAAGATCAACAAATGGGCTGAATTATTCCTCGCTGAAAATGAAACACATGTCCTTCAAACATGATTTACAGCAAGAACACTGGATTTGCTGTAGTCAATGAAGCACAGTTCAACTCAGTTTTTTCTTCTTATTTTAATTGACAGGCCGTCCTGCTTCTCTTGATCCAGAAGTACAGGAAGTCCTCAGAAGTCTGAATCAAAAAATATTGAGGCTTGAAGGAGGTAACCTCTTTGTTTTTACCCTTCCCAAGACTGCTGAAAACCAATGTTAAGAATAACACGGGAGATCCTGACTTATTTTCTTTTGTGTAACTTCAAGCGACAGCTTCAAGAGAGTTAAAAGTGGTTTGAGAGAAGCTCACTTCCCTATTGCATTCACACATTTATTTTTTCTCTCTGCTGCCTCTAAAAGAACAAACAAAAAACCAACCCCTACCCTGTTTACCAAATGTGAACATAAGGTGAGCATCCACACCAGAAGGAGCAATCCCTCTTTCAAACTATCTTGGCAAGGGGTAGGGAGAGAGAAATTCTATTGCCTATCACCAATCAAAATTTAACATAACACCAGTCTTGAAAAACCTACATTGGCTCCCAGTACGTTTCTGAGCACAATTCAAAGTGTTGGTGCTGAGCTTTAAAGCCCTAAATGGCCTCGGCCCAGTATACCTGAAGGAGCATCTCCACTCCATTCGTTCAGCCTGGTCACTGAGATCCAGCGCTGAGGGCCTTCTGGTGGTTCCCTCCCTGCGAGAAGCAAAGTTACAGGGAACTAGGCAGAGGGCTTTCTCGGTAGTGGCGCCCACTCTGTGGAACGCCTTCCCATCAGATGTCAAAGAAATAAACAACTATCTGATGTTTAGAAGACATCTGAAGGCAGCCCTGTTTAGGGAAGTTTTTAATGACTGATGTTTTAATGTACCTTTAATCTTTTGTTGGAAGTCGCCCAGAGTGGCTGGGGAAACCCAGCCAGATGGGGAAACCCAGCCAAATTGTTGTTGTTGTTGTTAAAGCTGAAGATTGTTATACCCCCCCCCCAAAAAAAACTCCTGCAATAATATGAGAGCTGGTTTTAGGAAGTGGCCTGAGCCACACTTTTCGGATTAACATGCAGATTAGAACCTAGCTGCCCATCTGCTTTTGCACTTCCATAATATGTCAACACAGTATTTGGCTCAAAAATAATCATACGAAAATCAGTTTGTTTGTTTGTTTTTAATGTCCATTTTGAGTTGAAATACATCTAGGCTGCAAACTTAAGTCACTGGGGAGGGGTGGAGCACTGAAGGGGGTTGACCTGCAACATTCAATGCCAATTGGGCTCTCACTGAGCCAGGAGTGATCTTGTACTTCTTCTCCCTTCTCCAAGTCCCTCCCCCTGCCCCCCACCCACCCCTTCTGGCTCTATTGATATTGGTGCTCTGATGTTCATAGAGTAAGGGCCATGGGAGTTTCTGCAGTAGCAGAAATGAGGAATCGGACATCGAACCTCGCTCTTTGAGGTTGGAGCTCTGTCCATCTTTACAAAGGGAGATCTGGTGCTTTCTACGGGGCTTCAGGACATCCTCCCTCAATTTGCATTTAGAGAAAGAAAGCATTTTTAAATATAGATTTTAAAATGTATTTAAATGCACATTTTGTGCATTTATATGTTTTTTAGAAAAAATGGAAATGCACAGTAATGTGGATGATGTGAGATTGAGACAACACACAAAAAAGTAATATGGCCTGGAGAAAGATTGATTCACCCATTCCTAGTTTATACCTGCATGTTCTTCACTTGATGCTATAAAATGTAGCAGTGGCTTGCATGCATCAATTTTTGTTGCAATATAGTACAAAATGGATCACCATGATTTTTCTTCTCTGTTGCAGTGCTTCTTCTCAAAGGAATGATAAACAAAGCAGGAGATAAAATATTTGCCACCAATGCAAAGGTAGTTGATTTCGAAACCATACTTCAAACATGCCAGAATTCTGGGGGTTCTGTTGCCAAACCCATGAATGAAAAGGAGAATGATGCTATTTTGGAAATTGTGAAAGAGAAAAACCAATATGCCTACCTGGGAATTAAGGAGAGCCCTATTCCAAGAGAATTTGAATATTTAGATGGAATGGCTGTCAATTATACAAACTGGCGTCGATATGAACCAAATGGCAAGGGAGCTGAAAACTGTGTTGAGATGCAAACGGATGGATCCTGGAATGACAAAAAATGCAACCAGTATCGTCTCACTGTCTGTGAATTCTAGTCAGATTCCTCCACCTACATTACAAACCTAAACCAACAGAACAACCTTGGCTTCTGGGAATTGTGGTTCTGCAGATAAAAATCAGATTATTATTTTTTTACCCACATCTGCCACATAGAATCAAGAAAATTAGGATTTCCATGCTTAGGAACATTTACAAAGATTTTCTTTTTTTAAAGATTTATCTGTTAGATCTAAAGCAAAGCAGAATCATTGATGTTCAAATGCATATTCAAATATATTGAAAATGCGTGTGAAGTTATGTGTTGTCTTTCGTGATTTTTGCATGGATTTTTGGCTTTCAAGGCACAGGTGTAGCTGGCAATACTCCACCATCAGTCACAAAGAAATAGATCTCAGCATAATTTCCTAGTATTTCATAAAACATCTAATTGGTATTTAGTAAATATAAGACGTGGTATATTTATCCCAACTAGACAAATGAATAATGGAACATGAACCACAATTCTCCTCATGTGCGATTCTGATGCTTCTCAGTTAGTCAATATCCTAGTGGTGCAGGGATAAAACTGCTATCACATTTGCAAAGCTAAGCAGGGTCCAGTATGGTTTCAAATTGAATGGGGAACCTCTTGTTGAGCTTCCTGCATTGCAGGGGGTTGGACTAGATGATGCTCAGCATCCTTTCCAACTCTACAATTTTCTGATTCTACTATGAGAGTGATGACAGTGATTCCCAATTCCAGTCACAATAGCCCTCAGTCAGGAAATAGGACCTTTACACCATTGTGAGGCAGGACAAGGGCAACAGTCATGTGACTCCCCACCCCCAATATTCTGAAATGGTGCAGTCCAGGAAAAGCTTGTTTTCCTGTGATTCTGCTATTTGGATTAACCAGCCCTGAGCCTATTTGGAACAGAGGTTTAAACACACTTCTTTAGCACTTGCGCATATGAGTGTCTAGAGCAGCAGCTGATAACAGCAGATGTGTGACCCAATATGTTATTTCATTATGTTTACAATGGCCAGTTAATGGACAGCTTAGCCTGAAGGAAGGGTGTACCTGGAGGACTTGCCTGTCAATCATTAATAAAATGTATTGAAGTAGCAAGGATGAGACTACTATACTACATTGCACAACCTTTAAACAGCCTGCAAATGTTGAAGGGCTCGCTCCTTCAGAATGTTGAATGTTGCATTCTGATATATCAAATATTGCTGTGCTTTTGATGATGATGATTAGTCTCCTTTTTGTTCTATTTACACTATTTCAACTCAAAATAAAAATTAAAAAAACAGACCAAAGCAAGAACACCCTCAGGAGCTGATGTGAATTCTTGCCTGGCAAAGTCAAAGCAGCAGCTTATGCTACCAGGATATTTCTTGCATAGCCAGCAATCTGAGTTCAGTATTTCTTCAGGGACACTTGTTTTAGTATCGACCTAAAAGAGCAATAGATTTTGATTTCCCGTTACCTTGGGAAGATATGCTGCTTTCTTTTTTACGGAGCCTTTTATAGGCCAGAAAGTTTCCATTTCATCTTTAGGAGAAAGAGAGGAAGGACGGAAGGAAGACAGACAGACAAAAATTGACAGGAAAATTTGGATTAAAAAAATGAAGTGTTCTAACGGGGAATAGTTTGCCCTTCTATACATCTGTGTCAGCAATTGTAAATAGTTGTGCTGAAGATATGTTATTGCTGTACCTGCAGTGCTATTTTACTAGAAGAAGAGGTGCCCAAACTCATGATGAACACCTCCCTTGTTCTCTTAGAATGGCAATAGTATCCACCTGAGAGATGCTGGAACGGAGTTCTGGAGTGTTCTGGAGAGTTCCGGTTGAGAAAAAGCCCTGTGTACGTGGAGTTCTGTTGCAGCAGCTATGGAGATGTGTTAACCATACCACTCTAGGTGACGTGTAAACAGGGCATTAGTGACCTTTTGGCTCTTCAGGAACAACAGAGACATAGGTAGGCAGCCAGAGGTTTTAAAGGGCATCACAATTCCTGCATGCATGACTCCCATGACCCTACTCAGTGAACACATGAATAGTGAACATATGATGGAGGAGAGAGAGCACGCCTGCTGTTTCCACCCACAAAACTGAGCCAACCTACTGGCCCTCCTCCAAAGTCTGCGCATTAGAAAAAGCTAATTAAATATTACATGTATAATCGGTAAACAGTATTTGCCGAGAGGAATAATTTCCAGTGGAATGTTTGAGAAACAGGATGTTCGCTGCATTGAAGAGTGCTTGGGAACTTGTCCAAGTACTGTTGCTTTTAATGAGAGGAATTCTATTATGAGACATTATTTGTAAAAGGCTTAATTCCACATTGTAGAGAGAGCAGAGCTTTGTTTACAAGGTGCCTCAATACAGAGAGCTCTGTACTTGGAGAACTTATATATGAGGGCTTTCTGCCTAGCCACATATGACTCAATTGAGTAATCTAAAATTGTTTCTGAAACCAGATCCCAACAGATACGGGCTGAGAAGTGGAGGCTGCAATCCTATATACAGTTTACCTGGGAGTAGGGATGGGGTTCATTGCTTTTCTCAGTCTGCTTTTGTGGCTTTGTCATGGTTGCTTGGTCCATGACCACACTGAACTGCTCATCCAGTGCTGGCTTATTCCGCAGCCTGAATGCTGACATTGAACTTGGTTCTGATGTCGATCTTTACCATTTTGGCCGAAAAATTGTTAATACAAATCATCTGCCCCCAGGGCGCACAAAGATGGCTCTTGTGCTTTGAGCCACCTCATAGCAGAGTCCTGTCTTAGTCTCACAGTGGGATCCTGTCTTTGGACACAAGTGCCACTGATCTCAGTGAAACTTACCCCTGAGTAAACATGCAAAGATTGTGCTTTGACTCTTTGATCCTTTGGGGCAGTTGCTGTTTTGCTTTCTCTGGGGGTTCCCAGTGTTTCTTAAAGCAATAGTAAATTCTTATAACTTGGAGTTATATGGTGGGAGGCTGTGGTGGCACTATCTATAAGCAGCAGCTCATAGGTACATTGTACATTGAAATATAGGTACATTGTCTTAACAAAGCAATTTAAAAGATGCTAGAGATTGTCTTAGTCATTTAAAACCACTAAAATCTATAGGATCAACACCTACCATTTCAAAGCAGGTAAACTCAAAGCTTGCTTTAAATGCAAAGATGGCAGAAGACAGGCAGAGAGAGAGTCAACTGGGCATCCATTGGAAGAAAATCCCATACAGTGGTACCTTGGGTTAAGAACTTAATTTGTTCCGGAGGTCCGTTCTTAACCTGAAACTGTTCTTAACCTGAGGTACCACTTTCGCTAATGGGGCCTCCTGCTGCCGCTGCGCTGCCGCCGCACGATTTCTGTTCTCATCCTGAAGCAAAGTTCTTAACCCGAGGTACTATTTCTGGGTTAGCGGAGTCTGTAACCTGAAGTGTCTGTAACCCAAGGTACCACTGTTGTTTCTGCATGCAGCCACAGAGCTGGCTCTTTCTCTCGTGCATCCGGTCTTACCCAGCCATAGTCAGGAAACAGGGAAGAACCTTCCCTTCAGATAACGGTAACATATGATAAAGGGTCTTCATATACAGTGGTACCTCGGGTTACATACGCTTCAGGTTACGTACGCTTCAGGTTACACACTCCGCTAACCCAGAAATAGTGCTTCAGCTTAAGAACTTTGCTTCAGGATAAGAACAGAAATTGGGTTCCGGCGGTGTGGCGGCAGCAGGAGGCCCCATTAGCTAAAGTGGTGCTGCAGGTTAAGAACAGTTTCAGGTTAAGAACAGACCTCCGGAACGAATTCAGTACTTAACCCGAGGTACCACTGTAAATGTTTCTGTTTCTGTAATCTTACCCCTATACACACACTTTTTTGTTTTTGACTGGGAAGAGTGGCAAATCTCCCAAGTCAGTTTTTTTGTTATGGCTTGTGTGTGTGTCTGGGGCGAGGTCTGTGCCATGTCTGAACTAAAACCCGGTTGGACATAGTATAATACCCCTTAATTCCAGAGAAGAACATAACGGTGGTGGGTTATTGGTTGACATTGTCTGAATGTCAAGGTGGAAAACAGAGCGTTTGACCTAGAGGAGCTGTATGTCTCCCTGTGTTGAATGTTCTAGGTCAGGTGTGTCAGATTACTAAAAACCTTTTCATAGGTGTAGATTCTACATCATGTGGGGAAATAATATATACAAAGGTTGTGTGTTTTTATAGAGATCTACTGAGAACAGCTTGTAGCTTATGTGCACTATGTCATGATTTGTCCTCCCCCCTCTCTGAAAATAGCACTGGATATATCATTATTTATTAATTATATTAAGTTGTATAGAAACCCTATATTCTGCAAACAATCCTCAGCAGAAATATTTTTTCAAAGGTTCATTGTCCTGCTCCTTATGTTAGATCTTATTTCAAAAAGTTAGGGAATCAATATGGGCTGTTGACCATTCCGTCTTTTATGTAATGAAGCAACTATGCAAATAAAATGGAGGGGGATAAATCAAGTTAAGCCAACCGCTATCTAACATGAACATATATATCAAATAACACATACTATAAATGGACCCTTTTAGCGCTTCTGCAGTATTCGGTGTTGGAAGAAGAAGGTAAGTCAAACTGCTCTGTTTTAGGCTGAAATCCTATATAAGCCCCATTTAACTTCATGAAATTTCTTATATATGTGGATTATGTTGTTAGTGTAGCATTAACATTTCTCAGGTTGCATGCTTACTTTGGAGTAAGGTCATTGGACTCAGTTAAATTTACTTCTGGGTAAAGATGAATAAAATTAGAGTGCTCTTTTAGATTTTCCCTCTTCTTTTAATTCATTCCAATCAAATTTTATTGAGAATATCTATTTATTTTTGAAAGCATTTATATACAGTGGTGCCCCGCAAGACGAATGCCTCACAAGATGAAAAACCCGCTAGACGAAAGGGTTTTCCATTTTTCGATGCGCTTCGCAAGACGAATTTCCCTATGGGCTTGCTTCGCAAAACGAAAAAGTCTTGCGAGTCTTGCGATTTTTTTCGCTCCCCCCCCTTTTCTAAGCCGCTAAGCCGCTAATAGCCTTTTAGCCGCTAAGCCGCTAAGCCTTTAATAGCCGCTAAACCGCTAATAGCGCTAATCCGCTAAGCCGCTAATAGGGTTGCTTCGCAAGACGAAAAAACCGCTAGATGAAGAGACTCGCGGAACAGATTAATTTCGTCTTGCGAGGCACCACTGTATAATGTTTTTAAAAGCTCTAAGAGCATCATAACAACAACCAGTAGAGAAATCCTATATAAAGAAGACAGCTGCAGGCGAGAAGGGCATCAATTCATCTTCAAGAAAAATACCATAATAAATGGATCCTTACGGGCACTTACTTCTGAGTTGTGCCACCAGATTCTCACAAGGAAGTTAGTTTATTAATGTAAATTTTACAAAGATGAGCAGAACCAAGAGCATATAACAAGTGCATACTCCATTGGGGGCAGTGGCTAGGTTTGCCTTTTACGAACTCCATGTCACCTAGCAGCCAATAACACTCAATAGAATGAGTCGGAGATGAAGGGTGGGAGCAAGCAAAGCTGGGCCGGCTTCTCAAGGCACTAAAGTAATACAATACAAAGTTGTGACTAGCATCATCATTGTTTAGCTTACCTGGCCATAGATAGATGATAGATAGATAGATAGATAGATAGATAGATAGATAGATGATAGATAGAAAGAGAGAGAGAGAGAGAGAGAGAGAGATGATAGATGATAGATGATAGATGATAGATAGATAGATAGATAGAGATAGATATGGTTCCACATTATTCTTTTGATTGTAATTTTTTTCCATTGATTTTAATCTTGTCATTTTATATTGTTGTAACTAGGGATGGGGGGAAATACAATTCAGTTTAAAGGCAAACCTACCCAATTCACACTATCCAGAAGCAAAACGGTGAAAAAGGAAATAACAGAATAAAATTATTGTGATGCACCTACACCTGATAAATCTCTCTCCCCACCCCCACCCCCACCCCACTTCATTTAGCTGATTGAAAAGGATGCCTTCATCCCAGTTGGTTCATATCCTCGTGGCAACGGCTGCTCTGCTTGTAACCAGTGATGCTCAGGAAACATGTCCACAACTTATAGGTAAGCTTGGATATAATCAAGGGCCTGGGAGATGTGAGCAGGAGGATGTGAAGTGTCTGCATTTCACAACTGAATTTAACAGGAATATGTTCAAGAGAAAATGATTTCCACATTCTTAAAATCCAAATACATGCTTCATATGGAGTAAAACTGGAAGGTTACTGATTGATTACATGGTCATATCAAAAGACACATGAATCTGGACCATGTGGAAAGCTCATGGTCTGTACCATTCGGACCTGTGCTTTTTTGGATTCCCTCCCTGCTCCCCTGGTAACAGCTTCCCTAGATTGCTTCTGCATCCTATTCTTGTAGTTAGAGTTTGCCTACAGGACAAACTAATCCACATCTGTTATGGATGTGGAGCCAAACCAAATACTACAGACAAGTAACCTGCTTATCCTTTCCCAGCATTTCTCCAAAATGTACAAACTTTCTTTTTAACTAAAAGGCAATTGACAGTATACAGAGGGATAAGATTCTAGTGTGCTTCTGCAGACCACCTTTAAGGTGTTGTGCTTGTAATGCAAATGTTTGAAACCCCTCAAAAGAGAATTCCTTCTTTGTTGCATTTTGGTCAGTTCTAATTTGTGGGGAACTTTTAAGTAGTTCTAAAGATGAATGTGAAATAAATGCAGACGGTCTTTAACGTGTGTGCCAGGTTTTCATCCTTCTATTTTTCACTTCAGCAGGTCCTCCAGGTCCTCCTGGACACCCTGGACCACAAGGGTTAAAGGGCAGACAAGGCGAGAAGGGAGATCATGGGATACCAGGTGACTATGGGTATCATCTTTAAAATAGCATTTTAGTCCAAGTGTTTGCCTTCAGGTAGATTTTACATGCATGGAGGTTGAACAAGGAACTGTGTGCCACTTGGCCCTGTCTCTTGCATCGTATGACCTACCAGCTCTTTCCACAACATATGCACATTTAGTGCAACGTCTAAAAAGATAAACCTACAAACTGTACGCACCTGGTCTCTCGTATGACTAGAAATCCTAGTCACACAAATTTATGTTTGTAGGCTCCCTTTTTCAGAGGTCACACTAAATGCTCGGATGTTGGAGTGGAAGTGACGAGCTGTATGGAATCGGGGTGGAGCCAACAGACATAGTCCTACTCTCCCTAGCATGTGCTTCTTCCAGTCCTAGGATAAGGCTTGGAGATACTTGGAGCTGCCACCTTGCTGAAGCTAAGCAGGCCAAGGTCTGCTCACTGCTTGGATGGGTGACCACTTGGCAACCTCATGGATGCCACAATGGTTTCAGTGATGGTGGAATAAAGGCAGGATATAACTGAAAGAAAATAAAAATAAATTTGCTATGTGCATGGAGGCAAAAGTCTGATTCAGATCCTTGTGCTTGTCTAAGGTTGAGATTAGAGATGTTGGAAAATTTCACAGTAATTGAACTTGAATGCGAGTTTTGCCATGTTCACTCTTTGCCAGTGTGGTATAGTGGTTAAGAGTGGTAGTCTCGTAATCTGGGGAACCGGGTTCGCGTCTCCGCTCCTCCACATGCAGCTGCTGGGTGACCTTGGGCCAGTCACACTTCTCTGAAGTCTCTCAGCCCCACTCACCTCACAGAGTGTTTGTTGTGGGGGAGGAAGGAAAAGCAGATTGTTAGCCGCTTTGAGGCTCCTTAGGGTAGTGATTAAGTGTGATATCAAATCCAAACTCTTCTCTTCTTTGCCAATTGTCCAAGCCACTCAGGTTTCATGCAAGTGCTAACAATATTTTATGGTACTAGATTTAAAAAAATAATAATAATCATGAATTTAACGACAATGATTTTGAACCCTGGCTATTATGCTAATGGTGCTCTGTTTGGTGTTTGGAGTTACTGTCCGAGCTGATGTGATGAAATGTATATTCCATTGAACTCTGTGTTATTGAGGTTTGATGGTAGCGATTAATATTCATATTAATATTCTGTCTCTCTGCATATATTATATGATTGGGATGAGGGGATAAGGTAGTAAAGCTTAATAGTACTAGTCTGTGCTTTTTTCCTAGAAAAACCATGAAGTTGTTACAGTAAGTGACACACTTTACAACAACAAAAGAGGTGCAGGTACTGAGTACCCCCTGAGTACCTCCTTAAAAAACCACTGGCACTAGTCCATAAAGGAATTTTTGTGTGTGTGTGTTTTTTTAAAGAAATAATGGTTCTCTGATCATCTCCCAGAAGTAGCTGAGGTAATCCTACCAATGAAATGGCTCGCTAATCTGCAAAATCATAATTGCTTAGACATTAATGCCCCAAGTAACAAAAGTATCATAACCAGACGGAGGAGCCTGCAGGAGAGATGGCAGTGGATGGAAGCAAAAATATGGCCTATACTGTAAATTACTACACTGGTTGCATCCAGCATAGTTCACAGTCACAATATGAAGTTACCATAAGGACGCATTATAAGTACGGGAGAAGAGAGCACAGCACTACAAGGCTTAAAGCAAGGGTAGGCAAACTAAGGCCCAGGGGCTGGATCCAGCCCAATCGCCTTCTAAATCCAGCCTGTGGACGGTCCGTGAATCAGCGTGTTTTTACATGAGTACAATGTGTCCTTTTATTTAAAATGCGTCTCTGGGTTATTTGTCGGGCCTGCTTGGTGTTTTTACATGAGTAGAATGTGTGCTTTTATTTAAAATGCATCTCTGGGTTATTTGTGGGGCAAAGGAATTCATTCATTTCCCCCCTCAAAATATAGTCCTGCCCCCCACAAGGTCTGAGGGACAGTGGACTGGCCCCCTGCTTAAGAAGTTTGCTGACCCGTGGCTTAAAGTAAAACTACATAGACAGAGCACAACAACACAATTGAAGACTGAGCAAACTTTAAAACTGGCAAATAGTAAAACAAAGTGTTTTGTTCAGTTGCAAACACAAACCCCATTAGATTCCAAAAATATAGAAAGAGGTATGTCAGAATCAATGGGACACTGCAAGACAAACAAATCACAATACACCTGTGGCATCCACCTGGTTACTTGTTGATGGGCAATGAATAACAGAAGCAGTACAGTAAATAGTGATACCCATTACATAAGCAATGCTCACAACACTGTCAGGAGAGCGGAAACAATAATGTTATTTTCGCAAAACACCAGGTCAGGCCAAGATCATACAAATTTAACAAAATGCAAACCACAGCCGACTGAGTCTGAGTTAGAATAAAATGATGAAATGACAGAACATCAAACCCCATGCCTAGTGGGGATGGTCACCTCTGGTTTTCACTAAGCACTTTGCCCCTTAACTAAATCCAGTGATAGGTGATCAGTCTCAATAATAAGGTGGGCACAGACCAGCAGCACATTATTATGAGATCATCAATTTCAAGGGGGAGACATCACGTGCTTTACTTTACAAATCGCTGAGGCAGCTGCTGGACATTCAAAGCACATCTCCCCTCCCTAAAGGACCCTGGGAAATGTTGTTTGGCCCTCACAGAGCTACAACTCAAAGCACTCTTAACAAACTACCATTCCCAGGATACCTGGGCAGTGCATTTTTCTGGGGGGATGCAGGGGTACGAACACCCCAAAACATTTCGTGAATCTAAGTTTGGCCTCATTGAGGGGCAGTATTTCAACATAGGTAGGAAAATGAAAGTACCCCTAAACATTTTTTTAGAAAAAAAAGCACTGTACCTGGGTGGGTGGGTGCTTTAAATATGTGGCTTTGTATACAGCCTAAGTCAGGGGTCAGCAACCTAAGGCCCATGGGCCAAAAGCGGCCCGCGGAGGTTGTTTGACCGGCCCACAAGCCGCCCCTGAACTGAACCTCCTGCTCTCACGCTACACTAAACTGATGCAGTGCGACAGAGGGACTCGCTTCTGTGGGGCCGAAAATTGCGTCTGTGCAGACGCCGAAAATCACACGTGCGATCCAGCCCATGGAGGGATCTCTGCGGGACCGATCTGACCCAGGCAAGATAAACCTTGCTGACCTAAGTGCTGCGGAAGTCTTTCTCCCAGCCACATGGAAAGATAAAAGAGCAAGGAACATGAGACCTGTGGGTGTAGGGTGGCATATCAATTTGATTAAAATAAAATAAATACTTGTGCTTCTTCTAGCTTGCAAACATAGCACTAAACTATGGCCTAGTGTGAACTGACATGTGGGTCCCCCCCCCCTTCACTTTTATTCATTTGTTATTTTCTGCACTCACAAAACCCTCTCCCCATTTTCTCACCTTCTGGTGGATGCACTCCTTAATTTTTTAACTCCTTTCAGTACTGTTGAAGTTTATAAAATTATTATTTTTTTAATTGCCCTTGGCTTCAGCACACCTAAGCCACACAGTGTTCCTTAGGCTATGGTCCAAACCCCTGGCTGGAAGTGGCAGGGCTTAAGGGAGTGGCATAGGCACCGCCACATCCACAGCCCCATCAACCAGGGCGGAAGGAGCAGGGAAGATGCCCAGATTGGGTCTGTTGCTACATTCCCTGCCCCAAAATGCTTGTTTCAGGGCTGATTTGGGGTGTTCCTCACCAGCAAGGGAAACAGGCAGGGCTGACGGGCACTTTCACCTCCTCCAGTTCAGCTGTTTAGTGCTCTGAAAATGTAACGAATGTTTCCAGAGAGAGTTTGAGAATCACAGCTGAGCTAAATGAGTTTATGGGAAAGTTACAGGGGGAAATCACATATAATCCCAATGAATAAGGCCATAAATGTGAAACCATAAACCTGCTATCATCAATCAGTCTAAAAGCACCAAATATTAATTATTCTTTTCATTGCCCCGCAAGAATCTTGGTGAACTAGAAAAGTAATTCCAGCTCTGTTCGTTAGTTCTGTGCAAATGCATATTCTCAGCATCAAATTCCCACTGGACTCGATAATATATAGCCAGGCCACTAGAGGGAAGCATAAGCTTTAAAACTATCCTCTTGCAAAAGTCATTCTGCAAAAATCGTTCCGCAAGAATATTCAGGGTTCAAAGCTGACAGTAATTGAACAAAATGAATTTTCCTGACCGAATCAGGTCAACACTCCAGACACAACATTCTTTGGTTTTAAAATCTCAGTCCATCAGCCGGTTGCTATCCCCTCCAGGCTTCCCCTTTGATCAGTGAACTGATAGAGAAGAAGAAGAGTTTTCAAACTATCTACCAAGGAAACCTCTTTTTCCAGATCGATTTGTTTTCTCAGGAACACCTGAGGATTTGCAGAGAATAAGTTATTTATATTATCATCAATATCATCAGTGATGATGGTGCCGTGTGGAGTGCTCCTCAGTCGCTAGAGCATGAGACTCTAAATCTCAGGGCCATTGGTCCGAGCCCCACGTTGGACAAAAGATTCCTACATTGCAGGGTTGGACTAGATGACCCTCGTGGTCCCTTCCACCTCGACAATTCTATGATTCTATGTTCAGTGTGCAATGTCAGCCATATCTTATTTCAGGATATTCCCTCCCACCAACCCCCACACTCCCCAGTTCCCCCCATCCAAGAGCCATGAGGCATTCTGTACCCACTGAGCATGCTCAGTCCACATCAGGCTATGGGGCTGGGTTACCTCTCAGGCATCCTCCCCCTCCCAAAAAAAAAATTTTTTTTCTACATCTGCAAACTTTGGGATACACCCAAATATACTGATGATTCCCTCTTGGTTCTCTGTAACCTTGTTTTGGCTGCCATAGCTACCCTAACCCAGCCCTTGAGTACAAAATTATATATTCTAGGAGGAGCACAGAGAGTTAAGAAACACCATAGTGTACCAGTAGCAGCAAAAATGGACGCCTTCATTTGACCCACCAGCAATAAAACATATCTCTCCCCTATCAGTCTCTACAGCCACAGCAGGCGCTGTAACTCTCCAATTGTTAAACTTTGCCCCTGAAGACACACTCTTCCATTGTCTCCTGAGACAGTCGGATGCCAACAACAACAAAGATGTGCTTACATAATGATTCTGGAGAACATCCTAGGACAGACATCTTACACAGAGCAGCGGACTTCTGAGGTCTCTATGTGGCCCCACATTAACTGAATGAATGCAGCAGTCCATACTAGAACCTCTACAATACACATCACAGTTATGTTGGGCAATCTGTCTTTTAAAGAAGCTCCTCTGTCATCATTGGTGTTAAAAAGATCTGATAAAGATACTAGGTGTGCAGTCTGAAAACTCCTGGATTTTATTGGCAAGTGCAAACTAGGCATGTTTACTCAGAACTGTAAATCCCAGTATATTAGGGCTTACTCCTAGGTAAGCATGCATAGGAATGCAGCCTGAATAGATAGTCAGACAAAACCAGCATTTTCTTTCCAATGTATAAGAAACATTTCTCACCAGTTCATAATCTGGATAACAAATATATCACAAGTCCATTTACTGCAGCAAAATGTGTTTATTTCAGATGAAAAACAAAACCAATATGCTTGTTGCACTTTTTTAAAAAAAAATGATTTAACACCACTTTTATATAATCCATTCCTATTCAAGGCAGCTGTTAAGAAAAAACTGTTATCTCGTCTTGTGAATTTCAAACTACCAAACAAACGGATAAAACAAAATAAATTAATAATTGTCACTTTTGTTCACAGGTCTGTCTGCATCGGAGGATCCTAAACTGCAAGATGACCTTAAGGAAATCAAATACAGAATCACCATAATAGAAAGAGGTACCTTTTTTTTATTTAAATCATTGCTTCCTTCCATAAGGTGAGGGGGGACAGGGCTTAGTGAACTGGGAGAATCTGTGGCAGAGGGGAGTCCAGAATGAGAGGCAGAAACTGAAGCAGGAGAATGGGAGGAGGGAGGCCAAGAGGCAGAGATGAGTCAGGCTGGTGAACAGTCAAGGGCATCATCCCCTCTTGCTGCAACCAACTCCTCTCTCCCTGGTCTCCCAGAACCAGAAGAGGCATGAAGCAGGAGGAGCAAAGACAAGCATGCAGATGCAGTCTCTGACTGCTGGGAGGGTGGGGTGGACTCTGGAGAGCAAGATGGCTTTGGGGAGGTGGGAATATTTAGACTTAGTAACTGATACATGGGGCAAGAACTACTGAGAATCACTTCCTGTGCTTGTTAAACCAGACTCTCCACCAAGCCTGTGCAGATCCTGTTCTTGGTAATAAAGCGTTAACTTCAACATGCACAGGGGGATTTACTGCTGGATCGCTCCTGTCATCTAATAGGACTAACCGGGTCTTTCATTTTGTTTTTCAGCCTTGGCTTTGAGTGGAAAGATTGTAACAGTTGGCAGTAAAGTGTTTGCCAGCACTGAAAAAACGGCTGATTTTAACAATTCAGTAAGAATCTGCAAAGCAGCCCATGGCACCATTGCTTCTCCGACGAACAAGAAGGAAAATGATGCTATTATGAGCTTTGTTAAATCCTTTAACACATATGTTTACCTGGGCATTACTGAGGGGCATGTTCCTGGGGAATTTCAGTACCTGGACGGGGAGTCCCTGAATTATACAAACTGGTATGAAAATGAGCCCACAGGGAAAGGGGCAGAAAAATGTGTTGAAATGTACAGTGATGGCACTTGGAATGATAAACGGTGCGATGTGTACCGCCTCACCGTCTGTGAGTTTTAAACTGAACTGTCACAGATCTTAATAAAGGGTGTTGGGTGTTCTTTTTAGGTTCTATGTAATTGTGGGTTATAGCAACTAATCAGATATGTAACTTGATAAGTTATGATTTTTCTGTGTTCAGAAAGGGAAATCAATAAAAGCACAATGCATTGCTTTCCTTTATGTTTTCTGAGTGCAAAGGATGAGCTAAACTAACTAGGTCAATGTCAGCTTTGTTTAGATGCAGAATTGGAATGTCTGAGACATGAGTGAAAACGTGATAATAAATAGGATGATCAGCTAAGAATTAGAATTTGTTGATAATGTCGTTACTGAGGGGGAAAATCTGACTAAGACATAAATGTGTGTCCATGGGGTATGTAGGGGGAGATCTGAGCTGATCTGAGCAGATGCTAATGCTGTGGTGAGGTTCCTTTTTTGTTCAATTCGCAAACCTACTTCAAAATGAACATTATAAAAATGGTGGCAATGACCGCTCCCCACATAAAATGGGGGCTGCCTTTTGCGTGGTTGCGTGCAGCCCCCCGGATCCCAGTGCAGCTCCTGGTAGTTCATCCTCCCCAGGCTGGATATCTGGAGGTCTCCGCCTACCTCAGCCAATCGCCCAATCCCGCCTGGGGAGGCGTTGCCAGGGGATCGGCCAGGTAGGGGGAGGGACTGCCCTGCCTTTCCAGACAACAGAAGGTGAATCTTACCTGCAAAGCGTCAGTTGGCTCCAGAGCTTCTCCCTCTCTCAGTTAAGTCTTCTCCACAGGTACGCAGGCACTGCTATGTCATGGTTGCTGTTGAAGGGCCGGAAATGAATTTTCCTGCATTGGCAGGTTTTGTCTTTCCTGTAGCAAAACGTCACAACTTTGGCAGTTTCAGGCCTTGGGCGGAATCCTTTAGTCTATCTTCCTAAATGGGGGGGGGGTGAAGCAGTGATCCACGCCCCCCTTGCGGCAGTGATCCTAGGGTTCCCCGTTAAAGGGGTCTTGAGGGGAGGCCACACACCAAGAAGTTGTCATTGCTCTCTCCTGCAACGGCGGTGAAACAGGGGGTGGGCTCTCTGCTTGAACATATGTTTTCCAGAGCCAGCCCAATCCCCACAGATTCTGGATAACCCTGATGTCTTCCAGATCCCCAGCTGGGGACTGGGAAGGATAAACGCCCAATGCCTGAGCCAAGGCCTCCCAACATCTGAAATTTAATAAAGTTGTGGCAAATTTTAATCCCATAGCATGTTGTCTTGAGTCATTATTCCACTCAGGGGTCGCCTGGGTTGGGGGGACTCTGCCTGTCCCCGCAATGCTTTGCACGGATCATGCCTGCTAAAAGCACAGGTGCGGGCCTGACTATATATATTTTTGTTCAGTTGGCAAACCTACTTCAAAATGAACATTTTAAAAATAGTGAAACAGCTTTGCAGGGCAGAAGCGCACTTCAAAGATAATATATCAGAACTACAGGTGAGTCAAGGTGAGGGGAAAGAGGACGTGATGGAAAACATTATCTTAATATCATTTGTTTCTCTACAAGCCAAATAGCAGGTGTTTTCCACCTGTTCAGTCTGTGCCAGGGCAAAGCATTTCTGTTATGGGTGATTCAACACTGCTTTCATTTCGTGGCACATAAATCATCCTCCCCCTTCCATTTTGTTGATGCCTGAATTGTTTACTCAGCCTGGGATTTACAACTGTTTGTTCAAGGTAGTTGCTGTGTTATTGAATAGCACACTTCCCCGACTGGACACGCTGGCACCTGTGTTGGTATTTGCACAGATATTCAGATTATTAATTTTGGCAACGCTGTGCATATATGCCCCCTTTTCTTGCCCCTACAAAATTGTTTTACATTCTATGTAACTAAGAATGGGCACCAAGGACATTGATTCCTGCAAAGGCCAAGAGGACAACCAGACTCTTACAGACTTTCCAAGGCTGGATCTACACTGACCTGTTTAACATTATTAGAACAATATTAGATATGTCGTTCTAAAATGTCACATACTCGTTAATTAAAACTTGTTTACTTTAGGTTTTTTCCCGTCAAAATACTGTTTCCCTGCTGCTGGTTGCTATGCTGCATTTTAATAACACATTACAAATGTTAAAATAGGATGTTGTGTCCATATATGTTATCAAAACCATTCCTTAACCCTTCCTTAATATTAAAAGCCATGAGTGTAGATCTGCCCCAAGGGTCCCTATTTTCCAAGGATTTACAGAAGCCATCCCAGTTTCTGAGTCGATTCCAGAATATTTCGCTTTTCTGTAGGACATCCCTATTTTCATCAGAGAAATGTTGGAGGGTATGGAGTTATGCAACCTCTGAACCAAGGAAATAAGTAACGATACAACCTTTAGAGGACATCTGAAAGCAGCCCTGTATAGTTTTATTGAGTTTTTATATATGATGGAAGCAACCCAGAGGGCTGGGGCAACCTAGTCAGGCGGGGTATAAACGATTCATCATCGTCACCATCATCTTCCTAGCTTATTTCTCACAGCGTTAGCCACTACATTGCTAAATTAGGAAATGTGGTAGGGTGGGGGGTTTTTTGCTTCATGGATATAATCAATACCGTAACCATTCGGTAAGGGCGACAGATGGGAGGATAATTTAGGCAGGTTGACTATTAATGATACTATTTAAAAACGTCTATTATTGTTTATTATAATACGGCAGGGGGGTATTGGTGCAGTGCATCTCTATAACAGAACTAGAATCTTAAATACATAGGCATCTCCTCTGAGTCAGACGATAAGAACCCTACAAAGGAGGTTTTCCTTCCCTCCCTGCCTCATTCTAGGAATTCCATCTGAAGCAGGCTTATCAGGCAGTTAAGTCCTTTTGAACTATGTGGAGAACTACTTTCACACAGCCATCTCTAAATATAAAAGCATCCCGTCAAATCCTAGGATTACCAAAGAGCCCATTAGGTATGACAGCAGCAGGGTGGGGAGTGCTTTTATGTGGGCTCCTCCAGAGACATGGCCACACTGGGGGTGAAGCCAAACTCCTGGAGAATCACAGCGCCTGCTGTGGCTGCAGAGACTGGCAACTCATAACTGCTGCCCCCTGCATTGTTTTTGCTGCGTTAGCTGCACTGAAGTGACTTCCCCGGGGTACAAGCCTGGGCAGTATGTATGAAGGTCCTCGGCTGCGCAGACAAGAAGACCCCACTCTTGGCCTCGCTGAGGTGGTCCAAAGGAAAACAGAGCAATACGTTTGGCACCAGCTTGGCTGCAGGAGTTGCCAGAAGGAGGCATGCAAAGCACCATCCAACCATCTTAGGGACTCTACTCCGAATTTGTGTAGGGTTTGCTCCTTAGCCTTTTCTTCTCCTAAAGATGTCCTTCAAAGCAGCAAATAGATTGAATTTCCACATCAGCCAAATTAATATGCAGATTAACTGAACGACTAGTGCTTGATCTCGTACCCTTAGGAGCAGTATGGTGTACAGGCGAAGCTTTTCCCAACACAATAATAAACATGATCACCAGCTAAATGTCTACATTTCAAGATGCAGTTATAGACTGGACTTTGGCAAGCTTAAATAGACTGATCCGTGCCAGAGGGAGTAGGGGAGTAAATTGGGATTTTGTTTTTGTATCTCCCTCCTATGTAATACTGGAAATCAATAAAACAGTAATCAGTTGGAAAGTTGGCAACGCTAAAGATGCGTGCAATTTTCAGTTAGAAATCTGAAACCGAATCACAGGCAAATCCAGAGTCCAGCAAATTCAGCAGTTGTCTTTACAGCTCCTGAAAAGTAATTGGCTCGGCGTACACAGCACGACATTAATTATAGCAGCATCCCCGCCACCTCCAATGTAAATGGCTTTAACGAGAATGTACCAATGACTCATTTGTCCTTCTCGTAAAACCTCTGAGGGGTGCAAAGCCACCTTGTCCAGTTTGTATTTCGCCCAAACTGTGTGAAACAAACAGAGCAGGAGCACATGGAAAGCTGCGTGGAAATTTCCCTAAATGGACGGTGTTGCTTTAAGAGCAAGCAGGTGGGAGGTGATACAGGCACCCTACTCCAAATAGTTGTCTATTTCTACTGTAATACCAGCTATTGCCTGATCCCTGGTGTCCTAGAGATTGCTAGTCTCCCTTGCTTTTTGACAGCTTCATTAAACAGCTGGAAGCTTTTGCGGGAAGAAAATGTGCTTTACTTCAGTTTGGCAACCCTGAATAAAAACCTACAACAAAGAGCAACTTGAGTCGAGATCAAAGGCACGTGGAGGCAAAAATATTTTATAAAAGCAGGTAAGACTGGAAAGACCAGACCTCTAAATTATACTGTGTGTGTGTTGTGTGTGGTAAACTGTCTCTCTTGACTACAATAAATGCAGCCTAGTGTACTGTGATGGAAGCCTTGCTTTTCCTAAAAGGTTAGGTTTAAAATAAACATTTGGTGACCTATTCTGATAGAATCCTCCTCACATTTGCCTGAAAATATTATTATCCTGAGAAAACAGGGGCTGATATTTCTGGTGTTTTTTCTTGAAGAAGAGAATCATCTGAAATTTTGAGGAGGGAATTGTTGCCTAACCAGAGTGGGCTTCTGACCAAAATATGCCTAGTGGGAAGCTGTGGAAAGACCCTTGTGAAAAGACCCTGTTTCTTTTGGCCACACTTCCCAGAATGCCTTGGGAGGGATGCGACATGATGCAGTGTTGCTCTCAAGGCAATTTCAGAGAAGCTTCTACCCACAAAAAAATACTCTTCAGGAGGTAAAGGGTAAAGGGACCCCTGACCGTTAGGTCCAGTCGCAGACGACTCTGGGGTTGTGGCGCTCATTTTGCTTTACTGGCCGAGGGAGTCTGCATACAGCTTCTGGGTCATGTGGCTAGCATGACTAAGCCGCTTCTGGCGAACCAAAGCAGTGCACAGAAATGCCATTTACCTTCCCCCCAGAGCAGTACCTACTATCTACTTGCACTTTGACGTGCCTTCGAACTGCTAGGTTGGCAGGAGCAGGGACCGAACAACAGGAGCTCACCCCGTCGCGGGGATTCGAACCGCCGACCTTCTGATTGGCAAGTGCTAAGCTCTGTGGTTTAACCCACAGCGCCACCCACATCCCACACTTCAGGAGAGCTTGGTTTTAATTCTACACAACAAATGGCCCCAAAGAAAAATGATCAGCACAGCTCAAGGTAGGATTCCAATGTTTTTAACAGTGGTGCAGAATATGCAGTTTGGGTAGGTTCAACTTTGCATGCAGAGCTGACCAGCATTGTTCTGTCTGCACAGCTGTTAAAAGAACTGGATCTGTCTTCTTCTTTGAATCTGGTCATCTTAATGGCACATGAACAATTCACGGTTTTAAATAGTATCATTAATAGTCAACCTGCCAAAATTATCCTCCCATCTGTCATTCTTGTAGGATGGTTATGGTATTGATTATGTCTATGAAGCAAAACACACACACACATAAAAACAAACCTAGTGCATTTCCTAATGCAGCATCATAAAACGATTAATTTAGTGCAATGGAGTGGCTAACTGAGTGAGAAATGAGCCAGGAAGATTATCATCTCTGGTATGCATTTTGCTTTCCCATCCACGCAACAGAATTTCCTCATGAGACCTAGAGTTTTCTCAGCCTTTGTCTGCAACATTTGGATAAATGTGTGTACCTACCTCACAGGGCTGTTCTAAGGATAGGGCAAAGTACTTTGTTGCAGTGGAATGGTAAGTGTGAAGTGGTTTTGAATATAGTGATACCTTGGTTTACAACCATAATCCGTTCCGGAGGTCCAGTTGTAAACCAAAACAGGTTGTAACCCAAGTCGTGCTTTCGCCAATAGGGCCTCCAAAAAAAATTTGGTTGTAATTAAAATAAAAAATGGGTTGTAATCCAAAAAAAGGGGCACACACTTCAGGGTTTGACGTGTTTGTAATCCAAAACAGTTGCAAACCAAGGTACCACTGTATTTGAAATTCGCCATTGCTTAAAATGCCCTGTAGCACCCCTACACACCACACACTGCCCTAAATCTGCCTCTGACCCACCGTTCACTAAAATAATTGTCCAACACCTGCTTCCTGAAATTTGGAAGGTCTCAACCAATGAGAGAACCTTTCTGCGTTGGCCTTTCCCCACCAGAATGCCCTCCTCTGAGATGCTTATCAGGCATCTACATTGATGTAGGTATTTGACTGACAATATTATATTTCAATTTGTGAATTCCTTTACCTTTTTACTTCCTGTCACAGTGGTTTGGGGAGGGATGCAGAAAGGCGGACTTTGGAACAAAATGAGTGGTGTGGTTTTTTTGTGGGTTTTTTTTTGTTTGTTTTTTTAAGTACTGAATCCTGTTCTATTTATTTATTTATTTTGTCTATGGCTTCTTAACCCTTGCACCTACCCTCCTTACTGAAAGCATAAACCACACAGAAGGTCCTTAAACCTTTTTATTAAAAAAAAAAGTATTTTAACTGTGTGTAGCCAAGGACCCCTGAGCCTATTTGCACTGAAACGGAACATTTTTAACCTCTCAGAAAAGGCTACTTTGACGGCGAACTTCACCCACTTATGCCAAAAAAATTAAAAGTCTATAGGCAGGGCTTTTTTCAGCTGGAATTTGTCAGAACTCAGTTCCAGCACTTCTCAGGTAAGCAACATTGCCATCGTAAGAGAGCAAGGGAGGTGTTCATGGTGAGTTCCAGCACCTCTTTTTCTAGAAAAATGACATTGGTTATAGGCATCTATATATAGTTCCATTGTAGTCAATTTCAGACTTTGGAAAGCAAGGCAATGAATCATATGCCATGGATACGAGGTGAAATGTGAGGTCGATCTGAGCAGCTAAGCTGAGGCAATGTCCTATTTGAGACAGCGAGGTAGATTCTCAGGCTAATGTTTTTCTTCGCACAGCTATAATAATTGTTAATGAATATGTTAAACCCATGAGTATTCTTGGGTACTCAATCTGTATTTCTGCCTCTTTGTACTATTTTTATCTAAGCACATTAACCATGGAAATACAGAGGGGGTTTTCTGCTTCTTTGTACCATTTTTATCTTATCACATTCACAAAGGAAATATAGACGAGGCATTGTTTCTCCTTGCCGAGATGAATAGCTATTCAAACGAAAAGAGGAAAAGAAAATGTAGCACACAAAATGGTTTCTGATTGAAATAGATAACAGCGTTCTGCAAGGCCCCCTCAAAAGAGCAATGAACGAATGCATTCTGGAAACCAGCCTGCCATATTGACAATGGGCACAATGATTCTGGGCAGAAGTCAGTGCTTCTGCACTTTGGTCCTATCTGCCTAGGTGGAAGTTGCTCTCATTTCAGTGGGGATTACTCCCAAGGAAGGGTCTAGCTCAGGGAAAGCAAACAGTGTGCTTTCTCGGTGTAGTTGGACGCCAGCTCCCATCATCCCCAGTCAGAATGTTCAATGACTGGGGGAATGATGGGAGTTGTAGTCCAACAGCTTCTGACTGGAGGGCACCATCTTAGCTACGTTTAATTTAAGTGCTGCAGGCATTTATTTAACAGAAATGTGTGGGGCCAAGCTTGATATGGTTTGTGCAATCTGTCTGGAATGTACCCTTCCCTGTTGCCACGAAATTAATAGAAGGGGATAGTTAAGTCAGCAAAACAACTGACTTAACGCCACCCCACGTACAATGGCATACCCTCCAACATTCCTTGAATGAAAGTTGGTACATTCTATTCTACATCAGTATCACTGCTGAGGGGAGCTTTTAATTTTAATTTTCTGATTTATTCATTTTTTTGCATGTTAATATCTTTATTAAAGTTTTCCATGATACAAACCACCACCACCTGAAGCCCAGCTAGCTCCTGTCCCCACTCTTGGCCCCTATAACCCAATTGCCTCCCCACACCCCTCAAACTCCAGCCCCCCACAGGCTTGCCTGCACCCCACCCACCAGAACCTTCCCCATCACCCCACGACCCCCAGGACCTGCTGCTGCCCAGGGTCTCCTCCAGTCATCACCTTCTTTTCAGGCCTGACCTGGCTCTCTTTCTCCTTTTTATTTGGCCAGCTGTATGGGTGGTTTCGGGACGTGGGTGGCGCTGTGGGTTAAACCACAGAGCCTAGGATTTGCCGATCAGAAAGTCGGTGGTTCGAATCCCCATGACGGGGTGAGCTCCCATTGCTCGGTCCCAGCTCCTGCCAACCTAGCAGTTCAAAAGCACGTCAAAGTGCAAGTAGATAAATAGGTACCGCTCCGGCGGGAAGGTAAACGGCATTTCTGTGCGCTGCTCTGGTTCGCTAGAAGCAGCTTAGCCACATGACCCGGAAGCTGTCTGCGGACAAACACCGGCTCCCTCAGCCAATAAAGCGAGATGAGCACCGCAACCCCAGAGTCAGTCACAACTGGACCTAATGGTCAGGGGTCCCTTTACCTTTACCTTTATGGGTGGTTATGGGGCCTGCCAGGCTGGAGAGTTGTAGCCTCCCACAGCGGGGAAGGTGGCGGGATCCCCGTTGCCTCGCGCTTCCTTCCTGCTCCCCTTTCCGCTACTGCTGCTATTCCACAGGTCAGCCTGGTCCCTCTCTCGGATCCAGCAAAAGTCTCTCCCCACCTCACCTTCTCTGACTCCCAGGAGCGGTGGCAAGGGAGGTGATATTGGTGGAGGGGGAGGCCTCAGTTGGCAATCTTCTCTTCCTACTGCTTCCCCCAGTGTGAAGCCATTTCTGATTAGCATACCTCAACAATGATGGGAACTTGGGAACTTGGGACTCCGCATGACATAGGGAGAAGCCGTGATGGCTTAATGGTTTTCGTGACGGTCCTGGTATTTTCAGGGCAGTTGAAGATCATGCAATGGCCATGAACCAAATCAGCCCACTACCCCAACAGCTGTTTTTAGTGAAATACAAAGATATCAGGAGATCCATTCAGGGCTCTCACTGTCATAGTCTTTGGCCCTTAGCTGACAAGCCACTTCGGAAATTGGGGGAATTCTTAGCAGAGAAGTAGCAGACAGAAGGGAGATGCCTAGCTCTTTTTCTCCCCCCATCACTTGTCACCTGAAAAATATTTCCATTGGAATCTGGAATCCTTCAAGGGTAAAACAATTGTGCTCCAGCAAAAAAGAGAGAGAGAGAGAGAGAAAGAAACACCCAAAAAACAACAACCAGAAAACTTAAACAAGGAACTGAAACTCTTTTGTTTGCCATGAAAGTAAGAAAGAACCGTGCTATGTTTTACAGATGGTTGACTTTTAAGCTCAGCTTTTCAGCTATTGTTAAACACTACATATTTAGTTTGCTAATAAGGATGTCCAAGAGAGTGATCCTACAAAGGTCTTTTTTTCCTAAAACAGATTCTGTAAGTCATACATATTTATGATTATAATATAATATGATCATGAAAATCATCAGTTCATCAAACATATTTTACAAGAGGATCCATGAGAGCCTTCTGCCTTGTGCCCAGCTCAAGGCTATCATAGTCAATAGCAAAGTGAACCAAGTGACCTTTAGACAACTCCAAAAATAGTCCTTTGAAGTTTAACAATGGATTATGAAACAAGTTGCATAAATACGGAGTGATTGGGCAAAAGCATACATTTATAGAATATTACAGCCTCTTTTAAAAAACCAGTTTAGGGATATATATTTTTCATTGCTGGAAATGAAAGGGCAAATGAAGGGCAAAAGCCTCAATTTTCTCAGAGTCCACAAGATGTTGCATGGTGTCTGCTCCCTTTGCACAATGGGGGCAACCAAATTTCATCTTTGCCCAGCATTTCTACAGCAGTCTGATTCTCTGAATGGTACTTCCAAGCACCAGAAGGAGGTTTTAGATATACCTGTGTCTTATCTATATCTATATCTGTATCCCTAAAGGGGAGGAAACCCAAAACAGCTCAGTGAGAACTAAGCATTATCAGTGGGATGAGATTGTTAGGGGGTGGGAGAATGAAATAGAATGGAATATATCATTGCAGATCTGGAAGGGATCCTGAGAGTCATCTAGCCCAGGCCCTTGCAGTGCAGGAATCTCAACTAAAGCATTCAAGACAGATGGCCATCCAAGCTCTGCTTACAAACCTCCCAGGAAGGAGAGTCCACCACCTTCTGAGGGAGTCTGTTCCACTGTCAAACAGCTCTAACTGTCAGAAAGTTCTTCCTGATGTTCAGTCGGAATCTCCTTTCTTGTAACTTGGATCCATTGGTTTGAGTTCTAGCCTCCAGAGCATGAGAAACGAGCTTGCTTCACCTTCCATGTGACAGCTCTTCAGATATTTGAAGATTGCTAGCATTTCTCCTCTCAGTCTCCTCTTTCCAGGATAAACATACCCAACTCCCTCAACAGTTCCTCATAGGGCTTGGGTTGCAGACCCTTGATCATCTTGGTTGCCCTCCTCTGCACACATTCCAGCTTGTCATTATCCTTCTTAAATTTTGGTGCCGAGAACTGGACACAGTACTCCAGGTGTGGTCTGACCAAGGCAGAATAGAGCGGTACTATGACTTCTCTTGATCAGAACATGATGCTTCTTTGATTCAGCCTAGAATAGCATTACCATTTTTTGCTGCTGCATCACACTGTTGAGTTTGTGGTCCACTAAGACCCCTAGATCTTTTTCACGTGTACTACTGACAAGGCAGGTGTCCCCTGTCTTATATTTGTACAACTGCTTCTTCCTATCTAAGTTCAGAACCTGGCATTTCCTTGTCCACAGTTACATCAGCACATAACCAGTTCTAATTGGCTGTGTACTGTTGTGACATCTTCTCAATCATGACACGCTCACCAATTGACTGGCATCATTCATGTGACTACACTCTGAAAGATTAAGGCCCTGGGAAGGAAAATGGTGCCACCATCGTAGCAGGGCGTACAAATTAGGCCAGCAGTCTCAACCACTGAGCTACACAATTAAAAGATTTCATGTGATTTAAAAGTTATATAATGATGGTGTGGTGCAGAAAAAGAAAACCCACATTGACTAGCTGCATTCCAAAGCCATAGAATTAATTATGCCTGCATACTTAACAACGTATCATTTGCATGTATGTTCCAAGTGCAAATTGATCTCCAGGAAGGACTTTTTCCCGTCTCAAGCATAATCTTGCACAATTTGCCAATGGGGACACTTAGCAGGTACAACAATAAGGAAGGGGAGGTTTCCGAGGGCAGTGTGCACAAAGAAACAGATCTTCAAGTGGAAAGCAAACAGGATCTGTTTTTATGGACCACAGAAACATGGTGGTATCAGAATTCTCTACACAAAAGTCATTAATGAGAAGGAATGGATCATTCTATTTACACATTGAGCAAGATTCATAGTTTATCCATTTTGAAAACAATTCTTTTGCTTCTTGTTTTCTGGCTGAAAGCTCTGAGAGAGCATCTAAGTTGCCCTGCTCCCTAAATCCTGTCAATGTTTCTTAGGTAACCAAGAAAGTTGCTTAAAAAAAAAAAAAAAGCTCACACAGCAACCTTTCCTGCCAAGAGACTTTTTTCTTAATGTTCTGGTGTTCTCTTTCCTTCACATATCGCCCCAACTTTTTGTGTTGAGCCACCATTTTTAGTTGACAGAAGAATGAACTTGTTTTCTTCCACTATATAGTTCTCTTTGGCTTTGGTTGTCATGCCTCAGTGTTTTAAAAATCTCCATCCAAGGACACTTCCTCATGCTTATTCCAGGGTAGGGAGTCCTAAAAGCACTAGTTGATTAATAGGTTGCCATTTTTTAATTGATGGGGTTGAGAGTTAAGGGCATTTTTGTGTGTGTAGCTATTTTGGTTTGCCTGTAATCCAATGTAACAGAGAATGAGGGGAAATATTAAAAATTGCCTTTCCCTTCAAGAGAACATGGTAATCTTAATTTTGACTACCCTGTATGATGACCTCCGTTGGGAGAGAAACAGGTAAATGCATTCCTGTTTATTCTCCTCAACCTCTTGGCAGCTATTGATACCATCAACCATGGAATCCTTCTGGAGAGGCTGTCCAAGATAGGGGTGGGTGGTACCGCTTTGTGATGGTTCTGATCCTACTGGGACGGACCTTTCCAGCGAGTAATGCTTGGAGAGTGCTCATCAGCCCCATAGAGCCTTCAATGTAGGGTTCATCAGGGTTCAGTTTTATCCCTCATTCTGTTCAACATCTACATGAAACCACTGAGCAGGGTCATCTGGAAGTTTGGAGTGCGTTGTCAGCAATCTGCTGATGACACACAGCTCTGCTTCTCCTTTACATCTGCAGGTGTGCAGGGGGTGAGCTGGATTGTTGTCTTGCCTCAGTAATGGACTGGATGAGAGCCAAGAAACTGAAGCTCGATCGAGGTAAAACTGAGTCACCCTTAGTGAGTGGTTCCCTAGGCCAGATGGATGGGGTTACACTCCCTCTGAAGGAGCGGATATGCAGCTTGGGGGATCTTTGGTTCCTTTGCTGTCACTGGAGGCACTAGAAGAAGAAGAAGAAGAAGAAGAAGAAGAAGAAGAAGAAGAAGAAGAAGAAGAAGAAGAACTCTTCAAGCAACACCAAAATTGAGGCCTTGGCAATGCATGTTTTATCTGAATATAATCAAGTGGTTCATTGGTCATGAAAAAGTCATTGTTGTTGTTGTTTAGTCGTTTAGTCGTGTCCGACTCTTCGTGCCCCCATGGACCAGAGCACGCCAGGCACTCCTGTCTTCCACTGCCTCCCACAGTTTGGTCAAACTCATGCTGGTAGCTTCAAGAACACTGTCCAACCATCTCGTCCTCTGTCGTCCTCTTCTGCTTGTGCCCTCAATCTTTCCCAACATCAGGGTCTTTTCCAGGGAGTCTTCTCTTCTCATGAGGTGGCCAAAGTATTGGAGCCTCAGCTTCACGATCTGTCCTTCCAGTGAGCACTCAGGGCTGATTTCCTTAAGAATGGATACGTTTGATCTTCTTGCAGTCCACAAAAAAACATGGGAGGGATACAGCTTTCAACAGAGTCCTCTTCTTTCGTCCTTTCTTCTGGCCATCAGACCATTACGAAGGAGTGTGAAACCTCACACGCAGAGACCAAAGGCCTCTTCAGGCCTCTCAGTCTGATCCAGGGCCAGCGTGTCACATTTTGTTGCTTGAAGTGAAACACAAAGTGCCGCCCCCACCTCCACGGCACCCATGGAGAAGTGGCTCAGGTATCAGCACCCATTTCTGGCAAGATCTTGCCAGAAATCGGCAGCAGGGTGGGCAGGGAGCCCACAAGGGTGCCGACTTGACTGCTTCACTCTGCCTCATGCGTGGGCTGGTCCTAGTCTGACCCATGGGACTCTCCCCAAGCTAGACTGCTTCCCTAGCCACACACCTCCCCAGGTGACAGCCCTCACTGGCCTTGCTTAAACAACACCCTCCTTGAATAATTTTGCCTGGCTGGAATGTTGCCCTTGGATTCTGATCATGCCTTTTGCTCGACTGGACGGAGGATTAGAGGAGGGTGTGTGAGTGTGTGCAGAAAGGCAAAATGTACATTGTCTCTGCTCCACCCACATTTGGTTGTGGCCCTCGGGTTGCACAAGGCTCCTCATCCCTGTCCTCAGGCAAGCACAGGTCACAGAAACTACTATTCACAACGTGAGGCTGGTGCATGGATAGTGATCTACTCCTTCCTCTGCTCCCCAGATCTGCAAATTCCTCCTGTTGTGGGCTGGCTAGGGCTTCTTTTATAGATCACGCCATAGGCGAATTGGCAGGTCAACAGGCAACCTTTTGAAAACGCTCAGTTCAGACTTATTTCTTTTTCACGTCATTTTTGGAGGTGTTAGCCGGTATTGCTGCTGGAGCTGTCTTGAAAACTCATGTGAGGTGTGCGGTTGTTTTGTTCTTTCCCTCTCTCCCTTAGGTACGTGTTTGAGCCAAGACGGCTGAGTAGAAAGCCATGGTGGAAACCATCTTGGCACCTTGGACAATTGTCTTGGTCATCTTTGCCACAGTGTTCGTGATGAGCTTTCTGATGTTCCTCCCTCCGGCTGTCGTGTTGATCTGCAGGAGGAAGTCCTTGTCGCAGATCTCTTTGGAGGGAGCTGTTTAGCCGGCCTCGTTGAAGATGACTGCATGAGCACGGGGACTTGACGATGCTTGAGAAGCGCCATCGTAAATGTGGAGCAGGCTTTGCCTCCTCTGATATATGCAAAACGACGGATGCTGATATTCAGGATCCTGGATATAAAACAACATCTGAGACTTTTGATGCCCAATTAACTATCCTCTCTGCTTTGTTCCATTTTCTCTTTGAGAATATCAGTGGATGAAAAGATACAGAGGGAAAGAATAGGCATATGGTCCCTGTTAACTCTGCGCATATAATGCCTTTATTGCTCGTGGTACTTTGCTTGCAAACAGTATTGAAAAAGAGAATTGTTACATTTAACTTATTAATGGTGGCGAGGCACTATACTGAAATCAGATATTCATAGTTCTTGTATTCGTGTCGTACAAATGTGCATTTGGAATATGAGTCGATGTTTGACAGTTCAATGAAGCCGATGGCCAATCTTATTTTCTTAATTATTTATTCAATATTTGCCAGTTTCTAGTTTTGTTACGTTTTCTAACTTTGAATGTCAGTCTTCTGTGATACTCTTACAGAATGCAGCATAGATTTTCACTTCCCAGAAAATGAAACCAGGTGTTCTCCCGCAGTTAATCTCCATTCTGACACCACATAGGATTCAAAGAGAGACATGGGACATCGTGTTGGGAGAGGCAAAACTTCATTTCCCTACTTGCAACTTCTAACCCTCTTTCACACCGCCACCTACTGGTCCTTGTGCATATGCAGCTAACATCACGCTGTTAACTTCAATTTAGAAAGCAGGTGAATGGAAAGCATTAATGTTGATTTTGCAGGGGTTGCTTTCATAAGATGGCTCTAGTCAGCTGCCTGTCCCCTCTTGCTACTGCAGTGTGTACGTGTTCGTATTAGCTCAAATTTGACAGGAAATTACATATAAAAATGGAGAGAAAAAATGTGTATCGAGGAATATTGCATACAAAAATGTGTCTGGGGAAAATGCATGCTGAAGCGCTGACCAATTTTTGTGAGGACTTTTTAAAAAAAATGCAAACTGATGAATGATTGTGAACGGAACTTAAACAGGTAAACTGAGAAACCAAAACTGACAGAACACCAAATAACTGAGTGGCAGGTTCTGTGGCTGTATTTGCTCAGCCTCCACTATTTCAATGCTGTGAAAGAAATATAATTGATTTTATCAGCATCTGCTTGATATAAGCTAACAGAAGCGTAAAGCACACAGTTGGCCTTCTACCCGACGTGTGGTCTGGCAAACAGTGTATTTAACTAGGTATACGCTCCAGAAAGACTTCAGAAAGGAAAGACTGGTGATGCAAACAAATAGGGTATAGAATTTGTTTTTTAAAGAAAGTTTTGGCCACATTGCTGCTGGTGCAATGTGTCAGGCTGACAGTTGAGCATCCTACCCAAAATGCCTTTATTTACTCTGGGAGCTGCAAGGCTGGGAAGGTTCTCAAGCCTTAGCCAGATCTGAGCTGCAAAACTTGATTGACAGTTGCAACTCCTTATCCAGTGCTTGTATCCTGCCTTATTCGGTTCAGGAGGAGGGAAGTTTGTGTTCCCCCGCTTGCAGGCTTCGCATGGGGATCTGGTCAACCCCCATGAGAATCTGATGCTGGACTAGATGGGCCACTGGTTTGATCCAGCAGGTCTCTCCTTATGTTCATTTTGACATAGCATGCGTTCCTATTTGTTGAGCACACCACAGGTGCCGCAATGGGAGGGGGGGCTGGTGGGAAAAGGAGCGGTCCTCCTGAACAGAGAAGAAAATTGAAGGAAAAATGAAGCAGACTGTGTGAATCTAAGGAAGATTAGTGAACAGAAACAGGGCTGGTGGGTAACTTTTTTATTTGGAGAAGGGAAAACAGGGGGCAATTAAGGATTAATTTTTGGAGAGAGAAATCCTTTGGAAGGGTGCAGATAGAAAATAAGGGTTGAAAATATAGATTTCTGGGGTCTGGTTCGAAACTTAATGTTGTAGGACTGAATGGGATTTGGATGCTTTGGGGGAAAATTAACTGAATGAGAAATTATGGAGGGACCTAACACCTCACCTGTTTTTTGAATCCAGTTTGTGGTCTCTGGTAAGCTGCCAATTTGTCATTTGCAAAACGGATGTTACAGTGCAGTAACAAATACTAGGGAGAAAGAAGTGGCCTGGGTTTGGGGGCTCAGGCCCCATCCATCCTTTGTATTTACCTTTGGGCAAGTCACTTGTCTCTCAGAGCATTTGGTTTCCAATTGTGCTCAACCAAGTGCCTCTGCAAAGCTTCAAAGTAGGGCATGAGATTAACAGATTCCTTGTTTGTCCCCATCAACCAGCATTCAAAGATATACTGCCTGTGACCATAGGTGTTCTATTTAGCTCTCATGGCTGGTAGCAGGGACTTCTATGAATGGAGTATGAGCAGAGCGGGTAGAAGCTTTGGGTGGGGGGAACCAAAAGAATACCGGTATATGTAGAAGAGTTAAGAGGACTTTTATTCTTCTCCCTCTTTTTGAAAGGCACAAGCTCCCTCTGCAGTTTGCAAAGGGAAGTGACTATACTTTCTTAAAACAAGGTGATAATTTCTTAAACCAAGCAGTGATGCTAGCAAGATTCTGCCTAAACGTTTGCAGTGTTTTTTGAGTTGCTGAGCTTTGGCAGAATCAAGATACTTCACAGTTCTGGAAAGCGGCTATTTGATATTCCCTCCTGAGTTCTTTCTCTTACCACTCCCTTCCTTGACCCCCTTGCATTCAGCACATTGCATAAAACACAGAAGAGGCATTAAGTACAAACACTTCTGCAAATTCAACATTTGTTTTGCTTTCTCCCCGAGGACGATCCTCGTGGGTATAGGGAAGATTATATTTGGATCACCAAGTGGCTGGAAAGGAAATATGCAGAAATGAAAGAAAAGTGTGTCTTAAATAGAGAGCCAGTGTGGTTTAGTGGTTAAGAGCGATAGACTCGTAATCTGGGGAACCGGGTTCGCCTCTCTGCTCTTCCACATGCAGCTGCTGGGTGACCTTGGGCCAGTCACACTTCTCTGAAGTCTCTCAGCCCCACTTATCTCACAGTGTGTTTGTTGTCGGGGAGGAAGGGAAAGGAGAATGTTAGCCGCTTTGAGACTCCTTCAGGTAATGATAAAGCGGGATATCAAATCCAAACTCTTCTTAAACGCGTTGGCAAGCACTAGCCTCCTAGAATGAATCTTGAGGACCGTATCCACACTGCAAGTCTGCAATGCAATGCAAGGCCTATCTACTCAGAAGCACACCTTGCTGAAAACAATGGTTTATACTGTGAGCAGGGTTGTAGTCCCACAGATGTTTACTCAAAAGTCCCACTGTGTTTGGGGAGTTTGCTCCCAGGTAAGTGGGCTGAGGATAGCAGTCTTAAGACTGTCTTCTAGGGAAGCGGGAAATTGGCTTTGTGGGTGGGAAGAAGGGACTAGGGATTTGCAATGGAGTATTCCCAGTACTGAGCTAAGTGAACCAAACACCTGACTGTAAGGGCGGCTTCCTAGGTTCAACTAAACTACAATTCTTTGTGGAGACATGCGATGATGGCTAAAGGAGCACAGAACCGAAGTGTGGAGAGTTGGTTGGGCCAAAACTGCTTTTGTTTGTATAATTGCCATGGCAGCTTCCTCAACTCCCACCTCCAAGAAGCCTTGCTGAGGGTGCCGACAGTTTTGTTTAAGAGATTGCTTGCTCCTTCGTAGTCTAAAGTACATTTCCCCCAGGAGAAGAGATCACAATGAAACCAATTTCAAGCTGCAGCCTGAAGGCGTGCTTTCCTCTTTCTCTGTTGACAAGAGGGTTGCCCTGTGGGGCCCGAATAATAAGCTTTCCAAAATCTTGTTGCCAGATCTGAAAACTAAAGCTTTTCCTTCTTCTAGGAAAGAATAGCAATTTCTGCCAGTTGAGGTGTGTGAAAAATAGTGAGGCGCATGGTGATAAATTTACCTCAGCTGGAAAACCTCTATCTTTTCTTTAAAAGCAGCGTTCTACTTAAGGCTCATTATTCTGCTATTGCTGACAGACTAAAGAATCCGCCTTTTGCAAAACCTGCTGCCTTGTTGTCATTTTAAGCTGCTGGTGTTTCTTAACATTGCCAATTATGAAGAGGAAACAATCCACTATTAAACTGGGTTGTTCTGCAGAATGTGATGCATCTAATATGGGTTACAATGCCATCTAGTGGGTGTCTCAACCATTGCCTCCACACTGGGGTTGCAGTTTCTCCTCAGAACTTCTCAAAACACTTTGAAAAAATTAGGATTAAGTCCATCTCCCTGTTTCGTATCCAAACTATGATGACCCGGTGCCTGTTATTGCGCTCAAATGTTCTTCAAGCCTACAGTGGTAAGGGGCAGAATGCTTTAATGCCGTTCATTTTGACATACAAATTGTTGCGGCTATCGCTTGGGAGAGGGAAAGTGTATATATTGGGGGGAAGAACAACTCAAATTGGATGTAAAGAGAGGCCTGTACAAAGGCACAGATAGGATATCAAGTTTTTCCAATGTTGACAAAAACAGCATTTCTAGAAAACTGTGCACATGAGGATGTTGAGATCGGGTTAAGTGCCAGCCATTAATTATTATTAAATTACAGTTATAATTAATTTTATATAGCACCATCAGTGTACATGATGCTTTACACAGTGAAATACTGAGATTAAGATCCTGAACTGCTGATGCATGAGGTGCCAGATCCCATTCCAGAGAGGGCTGCTGTTCCGTCAAGAATCCGGACAGAAGGCTATTCTAGTACAATTGGATAACGCTGAGATGCGGGGGGGAACTGCACTTCTGACCCTCCTTCTTTCAATGGCACCATGAAAGGCAAAACTATGGGCATCCAGCCTGGATGATTGGTTCTTATCAATGCTAAATTCAGCCCCACCACTTGCCCGCCCACCTCACTCGATACGTAGCTTTCTAAAACCCAAAGCATTCTTGCTTATCTGTTGCACTTCCTCAACTGAGGTCTTACTCCATCTTCCATTCAGTGCTAGACATTTTTCTGCCTGAAGAGGATCCCAAATCTATACTGCCTGGCCAACGACTCTTGTCTTCATTTACACCTTTCCACACAGTGAAGGATGACACTTCCCCGTCGAAACACAGGGCCGGCCCTGTTCCCCTTCCTTTTTGGTCTAGGGTACTCTCTTGCTGCTAAAGGCTTGCTTTCATCCTCATAACATCCTTCTAGCAGTTGGAGAGTTTTTGAAAAAGGCTTGCTGACCTAGTATTCCTTATTTTAGTCAGCTGTCTCCCATCTGGAACTCCTTCCCGCTTGGCTTTTGCATCCCATCTTAGCCAAATGTTCCTCCCCTGACCTGCTAAAGCATTCCCTGAAATCACAGCAGCTCAGCCAATGGGGTGAGGCGTGGGGCTTGTAAGCAACAGTCTAACATTTTGCATATAAAACAGCCCTGCCTAGAATGGGCTGAGGCAACTTTACCAATATGTAAGCTCATAGATAAACAGCATTGGCCATGTACCCATCTAAAATGTTTTGTCACGAGGCTGTTATAAAAGAGAAAAGAGTTTCCTTTTTTAAAAACGAAGAAGAAAAAGAAAGAGAATAGCAGATAAATGAAAGAAAAGCTGACAGAACCCTTTTGGGTAATATGTGTCGAATATAGGCCCCAAAATCCTCTTCCACACCAAGAGTCCAGGGAATATTTGCAGTACCAAATATTTGCAGAAAGGAAATTAGACCCCATAATTTCTAATTGTCCAGTTGTAGTAAGGAAGCTTATGGAACCTGAGGGAATCTTTTCTTCCCATTTGAACAGAGAGAAGTTGGGCTGAAGGTTGGTATTCCATCGTTTTGATTGTGGGTCGAAGTCCTATGTTGTGCCTTTTCTAAGTGGAACGAAACAAAAATAGCAGCAATAGGAAACATCTTTTGTATGTGCGTGTGCTGAGATGTCGAGAGTACAAACAGCGTCGATTTCCATGAAAACAACTTTTTTCTATTTTCGAGGATGGTCAGTGGAAGCACCTTTCATAATAGAGTCCTCTCCCCTTAAGCTCAGGGGTTGGGACCGTTGATTGTTAAAAGGCCAGTTTCTTAGGTACTTCCCAAGAGAATTCGCTTCTCCCAAAGTGGCCGTAACAGGCGGTCCTCTGATAGATGGGCTTCTTCAAATCCAGATCCCTGGTTTATTCAAAGAGAGAAAGAAGAAGTCATTAAGTGCAGCTGGATAACGGGCGCGCTAATTTTTCCCGCATGGAACAGAGGCTGCCCAAAATACCAGAGACGCGTAATAGGTAATAGCAGCTGCAAAGAACAGCTGTTTTAAAAGCCTAGGATGCCTATTTAGTGAGCTACTGGCCACATATGTGTTGGGCAGAGCAGCTGCCATGGATATGGTGTGAATTTGTGTGTGCCCGTTCACACACACACACACAGGTCCCCCCCCCCCTTTCTCTCTGGTTACATTAGCATCTGTTTACTTTCTGTGATGTATCCTAGATACACCTAGTGTCATTCACTTCATGGCCCATTTTGGCTTTTTTGAAGGAACTGGGCCTTTAAAGAGGAGCCGTAGCTGACAGGAGTGGGCCAGCAGCAAATCACACAAAGTAAGTTAAGTCTAGAAAAACCAGGATCTGCACAGGAGTGTCCAGGCCTAATGAGCACAGCAACTCATCTCTGGTAAGCCTCGCCCCTGTGAAGCAGCTGCTGAGACTGAAGGTCCCTGCCTTCTGTTCTTTCCCCAAGCAATCTGAGACTGTGCTGGCATGCCTGCCTTGGCTCCTCCCGCTTCACACCCCTCCTGGTGCTGGGAGACCAGCAGGGAGGGGAGCTTGTCACAGCAGGAGGGGGAGACATCCATGCCTCTTCACCAGCCAGACTCAGTGCACTAAGCCCTGTTACCTCTTCAGCTTCTGACACCTCCTTCTCCTCCCAGTCTTCTCCCTCTGACCACCCATCACCAGTCCCTGGACTCTGAGCCTTCTTCCCTTGAGGGCTCCACAGATGGTGCCTACCTTCACTCCTCTACATCCAGCCAGTCTATGACAGTAGCTGAGTGGTAGACAACATACCTCCTGTTCAATCCCCTGCATCTCCATCTAGGGATGAGAAGGACTCCTGCCCGAAGCACCTAAAAGCCCTGCCAGTCAGCGATGGCAATACTGGGATTCTCTAACATCTGAAGCCAGGTCTCCCTTCCCTGGCTGGAAGAACTGCACAGCCCACAGCAAACCTTTCAGCAAAGGAAGAGCCTAGAGCAGTGCTTCCCAAACTTGGGTGTCCAGCTGTTTTTGGACTACAACTCCCATCATCCCTAGCTAGCAGGACCAGTGGTCAGGGATGATGGGAATTATAGTCCAAAAACAGCTGGAGACCCAAGTTTGGGAAACACGGAGCTAGAGCCTTCCCAGGCAGCAAATATAAGGTCCCATTTGCATCATACATTTAAAGCAGGTATCATACCACTTTAAACAGCCACGGCTTCCCCCAAGGAATCTTGGGAACTGTAGTTTGTTAAGGGTGCTCTGAGTTGTAAGGATACCCCTGTTCTCCTCCCAGAACTACAGTTCATCCCTTGAACCGCCCTGAGATCTTGTGATGATGGCCATATATAAATAAAATAAAAAATTCTCAGCGTGGTTTGACAGTCAAGCTCTGCTCCCGGGGAACTCTGGGAATTGTAGCGCTGCAAATAACAACTCTCAGCATCCTTAGCAAACTACAGTTACCAAGGTGCTTTGGAGAAGCCATGACTGCTTAAAATGCTATGATACTGCCTTGGACTGCATAACTCATTTGTTGTCTTGCTGCTGTTCTTTGGGTGTGCAACTCTGAGCCCATTAAGAGCAGCAGCTGAACCCTCATAAATAAGGAGAACTAGATCCCTACTGGAATATTGCACTATCCTGGAACAGGATTTAGTTGGAAGCAACCAGAGTGGAGAAAGCTGATACACCTGAGAAAGTGCATTTGCTATTTTGTTTTCTTGGTGTTTGAAATTCAGTAGTCAATACTTCTGGTTGCTTTATATCTTCAGTGTGGCGGGGGCACTGCAGTAAATTTGTTCCTTCAACAGGGAAAGCCCCTTGTAAAAGTGCTTACTTCACGATAGCGCCTGGCCGGAGGTCGAAATTCTGGTGTACGATGTTTAGCAGCTCTTGTTCGGGCTTTGTGGAGGTACCATACGTGAACAGTGAGATGGAGAGTGGCTCAGCCACGCCAATGGCGTACGCAACCTATAGATGAAAAGAAACAACAATTAGACCTCTCTGTGTGTATGTGGCAATTGTTGACTGAAGCAATGGGCAAAGACTTGTTTGGAGAAATCCATTCTTGCAAAGGCACAACAACATGAGGTGGTGACAGACTTACACATATAAAATATAAAACTGCATCAGTTGTGTAAAGCAGTGTTTCCCAGCTGCTGGGCCCCAACTGTCGATGGACTACAGCCCCCATCATCCCAGACCACCGGTCCTGCTAGCTAAGGATAATGGGAGCTGCTGTAGTAAAACAACGACAGCCGAGGAGCCATGTTTGAGAAACACTGGTGTGCAGGGCGCATGCGTCTGGTTTTAAAAGCAGCAGTACCGCAGGACCACACTGTAGAGCAGTGAACCACACTACACATTGCCATCTGATGAGTGGATTGCCTATGAGAGCTTTAAGCCCAGAGCAAGCCCACCCTAAGGGCACTGGAAGAAAGGCTACAAGTCAACAGCAGAGCATCTGCTAAACAGGCAGAGGCTCCTGGGTTCAATCACCAGCATCTCTAGGTAAGGCTGGGGAAGATTCCTACCTGAAATTCCTGGAAAGCCACTGCCAATCAGTGTAGATGCTACTAAGCTAGATGGACTAATTGCTTGACTTGGTGTAAGGCAACTTCCCACGTTCCATTAAGTCCAGACTCTAAATGGCATTTCTCCAACCTGGGTCCCTGGCTATTGTTGGACTACAGCTCCCATCATCCTTGAGCACTGGTCCTGCTAGCTAGGGATGATGGGAGTTGTAGTCCAGCAACAGCTGGAAACCCAAATTGGAGGGGAGCTGAACCTCAAGAATGCAGTACTGAACTTCCCTATAGAATTGTTTCAAAGACTGCTAAGATAACTGTTACAATCTCTATGCTTAAAAGAATTCAGCTAAGAAAAGGAATTCAGGTAAGTAGAGGGCTAGAGGGGCTACCGACCTGCCTCTGTATACAGCCGCTTCTTATATACTGAACCTATCGGATACAACTGCCTCAATGATATCCTTAATATAGCAGTTCCCCACAGGAAGCCACGTCTCTCAAGCAGGAAGTAGCTGTTGCAGGGCTACAACTACCCCCAGAAACAATAGCCACACACTTTGCTTCCACTCTCTGCCTGGTAACATTTAGCCGTGATACGGTGCAGTTTGTACTTCAGACCCTGCAGCAGGAGGAATGGAGGAGGAGGAGGAGGAAATGTGGGCTTGATGGCTTCAGCAGCAGGCAGCCACGAATCTGCCACAACGCTTCATTTCCGTTGACAGCTGCTAGGTGAGAAAAGGGCGGAAGAGGACAAAACCAGAACTTACCTGGACCAAGACACGGCGGCAAAGCCCAGCTTTCACCAAGGATTTGGCAACCCACCGGGCTGCGTATGCTGCCGACCGATCCACCTTTGTGTAGTCTTTGCCCGAAAAAGCCCCACCCCCATGGGCTCCCCATCCGCCGTAAGTATCCACAATGATCTTGCGTCCAGTAACTCCAGCGTCCCCCTGCAATATTGCAATGGCAAGCGTCACTTCTAAATCTTAATGAGATGGAAAGGCGGAAAATGCTACAAAATGGATAACAACAACAACAACCTATCAAGAGGTCTCAGAAGAAGATGCCCCAGAAAACTGCCACATATTTCCTCTCTTTAGCCCTGTGTTTCTCAAACTCGGGTCCCCAGCTGTTGTTGGACAACAATTCCCATCATCCTTGACCACTGGTCCTGCTAGCTAGGGATGATGGGAGTTGTAGTTCAACAGTAGCAGGGGAACCCAAGTTTGAGAAACACTTCATCTTAGGACTTAAGATCCTGCCTACTACGGTGAACTATGTGTAAAGGTAAAGGGACCCCTGACCATTAGGTCCAGTCGTGACCGACTGGTCATCTTGCTTTACTGGCCGAGGGAGTCGGCGTACAGCTTCCGGGTCATGTGGCCAGCATGACTAAGCCGCTTCTGGCGAACCAGAGCAGCACACGGAAACGCCATTTACCTTCCCGTCGGAGCGGTACCTATTTATCTACTTGCACTTTGACGTGCTTTCGAACTGCTAGGTTGGCAGGAGGAACTATGTGTAGCCCTAAGTAAATATACGTGAAAATAAATGATATAAAATAATTGCAAGTTTACACTGTATATGTATCCTTAAAAGCACCCTCAGAATTCTCGGCAACACACAAGGGTCCCATGGCAGACATGCAAGTTTTTCCTCAATGGCTAAGACAATGTGAAATGGTACCCTGAAATTATAAAGCTTGAAAACCGCTGTGATGGAGGGAATTTTTTATTTGTTTTCTTTGGGGCATGTACCTTTTGAGGGTATGCCTCCAGATCTGATTTGGGGGGGAAAGTACCAGTCATAACATAAATATGTGTTTCAGGAGAACCTAAGAGGAGCAATAATAGATTTCCTCATATTTACCCACATATCAGTGAACACATACTTACCTGCGGTCCTCCAATAACAAACCGGCCACTGGGCTGAAGATGGTAGACCGTATTGTCATCTAAGTATCTGGGTGGAACCACAGCCTTGATGACATGCTCCTGGAGGGCCTTGCGCATGGCGTCCAGGGAGATGCTCTCGTCGTGCTGCACCGAGATGACAATGGTATGGACACGCACTGGGATGACGACGCCATCTTTCTGGACGTACTGAACTGTGATCTGGGAACGAAGGAAGCAGTTGTGAACTGCAGGGTGGTGGCGAGAGAAAAAGCACACCCAAAAACTGGCAAACCAACCCCAAAACAACAACTGTGCCCCCATTTGGGGCTTGGCCCGACTTTGAGTGGCTTCCCTACAAAAAAAATGGACAACTCTGCTTGCACCAAGGGGTCTCTGCCCATTGGGGGGCCACATCCTCTTCCCACAGCAGCACCCCCATAGCCCAGCCCATACCATTTAAGAGGGTCCCCAAGTCCTCCAGAGAGGCTTTTAGAGAAGTTTGCTGGGTAAAGGAGGGAACTTCATTCCATTTACAGATCTCGCGTTCCTCCAACCCATGGTTCTCACAGAAGAGCAAGAATCACTTCCAAAAACGTAACATGCACAGGCCTCCTGACGCCAAAGAATGGTCAAATGGATAGGCCCTAGTTATGAGCAGAAGAGAAATAATCTGGGCTAAACCCACGAAAGTACCTGGGTTTTGGAGTCCGGCCTAAGCCAAGGGAGGATCCCGTTGCGCCTCAGCTCAGCCATTTTGGCATTCAGTTTGTGAGCAAGCATGATGGTCAGGGGCATACATTCTTCTGTTTCGTCGGTGGCATAGCCAAACATTAGGCCCTGCAGTGGGAAATGAGCCATTATTTTCCATCAGCAAAAAGAAGACAACAACAAGGACTACTTTTCATGTATTAGCATTTTAAGAATTCGCTTCACAAGATTCTTTCTCCTTTTTCATTCTAGAATCAGCTTCCTTTTTCCTCCTTGATACAGCTCCTCCCTTTAGTGTTTCATTTTTATAAATGCTATTTTGTATTCCCTCAAGCGGTAGGAAGTCCTGAGAAAGAAATCTACATGTTCTCTTTCCTTGTGAGGAGAGAGAGTGAATACTGGAGACTTACGGTGGTCATAATCATAATCCGAAATGTTCAAAAACTGGGGAGCTGCTTCTCATTGGTTGCAAGAGTTTCTTGCACTCAGCGGAAGCTGCATCGCACTTTTGGGTTCTTAAAAGCGTTTGAAAACAGAAGCATTTACTTCCAGGTTTTTGGCATTCGAGAACCGAAACATACGACAACGGAGGCGTTCAGGAACCAAGATTCCACTGTAATTAGAAATTATTAGTTATAATTAGTAATTAGCCAGTATTAGCCAAGGTTTGTTGCTCGGGCAACATGATCAACCACCGTTCGTGGCTAAGTGAGGACCTGACCTCCATCTTCCCAGCCCTAGCTCAATACTTTCATCATCAGTTCTGTGCTCCTAATTCTTGCATCAGACTTGAGAGGTGGTAGCATTAAGTGGGGGCAGACTTGGCCTTGAGTCTTGTATGTGCTGATGCCTGCAATAATTGCTTTCATAATCCTGGTGACTGAATCCTGAAATGCAAGGTGCAAATCAACCCCCAGCTGCTTACTGGCACTTTTCACCAAGATGAATACTTCTGGCAAATATAAAGATGGAATATTTTTTTAATGTTCTCGCAATGATTACCTGGTCCCCAGCGCCAACCTCTTCTTCTGACCTGTGCAGATGCACGCCCTGGGCAATATCGGGCGACTGTTGCTCCAATGCAACAAGAACGTTACAAGTCTTGTAGTCAAAGCCTGCAGAGGAGAAATGGAAGCTGTGAATTGCCTTTCTCTTCCGTCCTTCGAAGCCATGTCCCACAAGACCGCTGGGAACGTTTTTACTAGGTTGCAAACATCCTTCCCCAGCAGGGCTGACAGGTTCTAGTTCTACGGAGGGTGTGGCCTTCCAGGAAGGGAAGACTAAAGAATTCTCAGAAGGAGCAATGTTAAAAATGGTGATATTTCATTCCATCTTTTTTTAAAAAGTTTTTATTGGTTTTACAAATACAAAGTACAAATAAACAAAGAATAAGAAAAAATATCTCCAAATCTCAGGACTTCCCCCCTTCCCCTTCATGGGGTCTCGTTTTAAATATCTACTACTGCATATTCAATTTTTATAGCGAACCATATTATCCATGGTAATTTTTACACTACAAGTGAAATCAAAACCCTGCTTTTGTTTCCATCTGCTTACAGTGGTCTCCTAAATAACTTATAAGGGACACGGGTGGCGCTGTGGTCTAAACCACAGAGCTTAGGGCTTGCCAATCAGAAGGTTGGCGGTTCGAATCCCCACGACGGGGTGAGTTCCCGTTGTTCGGTCCCTGCTCCTGCCCACCTAGTAGTTCAAAAGCACGTCAAAGTGCAAGTAGATAAATAGGTACCACTCCGGCGGGAAGGTAAAGGGCGTTTCCGTGCGCTGCTCTGGTTTGCCAGAAGCGGCTTAGTCATGCTGGCCACATGACCCAGAAGCTGTCTGCGGACAAACACCGGCTTCCTCAGCCAGTAAAGCGAGATGAGCGCCACAACCCCAGAGTCATTCACAACTGGACCTAATGGTCAGGGGTCCTTTACCTTTAAGTAACTTATACATTTCCCTCATTCTTTTATAAAGTTTCTGAGTTTTCCAGTCAGTTTTGCCATCTCGGCAAAGTCCATCAGCTAGGTTTGCCAAACGCAGAGAGGTTGTTTAATAGGTTTGCTAACTGGGGGATTACCCAGCCAAGGAGAATCATCAAAGTCCCATGCCTTGAGCTCTCTAGGACTGAGCTGGATCAAAAACATCAGAGTCATTTTATGTAGTCCTGCAGACAGCATATACTGGAGAATAGGGTTTTAGGAGAGAGGTGAGGGAAGACAGCAGAGAGAGTTCTGGTCCTCTCACCGGCACAGCCAAGTTGCTGTAAAAGATTTAGGCCCCCAAGGTCCACTTTACTTGTGGGTGGGGCAGAAATACGATGCCCCCGCCACATCTCATTTAGCTCTTGCAGAGTACATTGAGGCCAAATTTCTGCAACAAATTTCATGGGACCGCCACAATGGCTCTCCTGGCTTTAAACAAAAAGCAAAAGAACCACACCCCAAAATTCAGCCTTGGGGAACTGCCAACTCATTAAGAGCAGCAGAAGTTGCGGCGGTGGCGCTTAACACTGACCAGTGTGGGATGCTGTCTTACACTAAGTCACATCATTGGTCCTGTCTAGCTCAGTACAGTCTGCACTGACTGGAAGCAACATCACAGGGCGGCTTCTTCTCCCCATCTCATCAGCTCAAAACTAAACAGCAGCCTTCTTTGGGTATCAGTTTAAAAAAAAACAACTTGGGAAATCAATCACAAATCCCCTGGATAAGAGATAATTTAATCCTTAAGGAGCAAGTTCTACTACATGAGAGCAGCCATGCAGATTGCAGAAACCCTCTTCATATATTAAAATGTTGGGTGTTTTTATCATTAAAGTGATCTACAGTGCTGTTAAAAACTCTGAAGCTTGCTTTCCCTTCATTAGTGGGACCAAAGAGAGCAGCGTTTCAAAAATGATACCAATGGGTGCGGCAAGGATATTTTATGAAGTACAAAAGGGGAGCCCCCTCCCCAATTTGTTCTGAAACTCCAGCCGGGGAACAAATGGTCAAGTCTCCCTTTTTCTTAGCTGCTTTCTCATAAGCCATCCCCCTACAAGGTATAATTTTTCCTCTTAGAATAAATGTTCTTTTACTAAGTGCAGGGCTCCTAAGGTTTAATGTGTGCCCATGCGTTCTTTTCCAGGAATGGGAAACTGACCGTCTTCGTTCCTGGCATGTAGAACGACAGCAGAGTCGTCCATGAGTAAGGAACCCAGCGTGCCAGATGAGCTGACAGGCCTGGGTTCTTCAGTCCAGAGAAGATCTGGCTGCAACACGTCCCCTTTGGACACTTGAAACTCACCCGTGTCCCCAGCCACACTACTGCACCCCTTCGTGGGGCAGAGAGATGCCCCGGCCAGCTGCTTGGGGAATGGAGCCTTTCCAAGGCAGCTGATTGGCTGCATCTGTGGGGAATGCTCACAAGTAGATCTTCTGCCTGGGAGGCCCATCATTCCCCGCACACCCTGTAAGGGATACTGCTGCTGACTTGTACATTGCAGCCAACATCCCAGGGAAGCAAGCTCTCCCTTCATCACAGAATTGAAGAGTTGTTGTTTAGTCGTTTAGTCGTGTCCGACTCTTCGTGACCCCATGGACCAGAGCATGCCAGGCACTCCTGTCTTCCACTGCTTCCCGCAGTTTGGTCAAACTCATGCTGGTAGCTTCAAGAACACTGTCCAACCATCTCGTCCTCTGTCGTCGCCTTGTCCTTGTGCCCTCAATCTTTCCCAACATCAGGGTCTTTTCCAGGGAGTCTTCTCTTCTCATGAGGTGGCCAAAGTATTGGAGCCTCAGCTTCACGATTTGTCCTTCCAGTGAACACTCAGGGCAGATTTCCTTAAGAATGGAGAGGTTTGATCTTCTTGCAGTCCATGGGACTCTCAAGAGTCTCCTCCAGCACCAAGTGTCATTTAGTCCAACCCCCTGCAATGCAGGGAATCTTTTGTCCAATGTGGGATTCAAACCCACGACCCTGAGATTAAGAGTCTCATCCTCTACCAACTGAGCCATCCCAGCCAGTGTGGTTTAGTGGTTAGTGTGTCGGACAGATATCTGGGAGACCACAGTTTAAATTCCCATGACTCCAAATCTCGCTGGGTGACCTTGGGCCAGTCGCTGCCTCTCAGCTTAATCTACTCCACAAAGTTGTTGTGGGGATTAAAGGAGGAGAGGGAGAACCTTGTATGCCACCCTGAGCTCCTTGGAGAAAAAGGTGGGAAATAACTGCAATAAATAAATGAATGCCTTACTCATGCAATATTTCATCCTTCCCACTTCAGTTTCAGTGGGAGTCTGATTTGTTTCCTTAAGAAGCTACTCTCTTGCATGTGACCAAAGCAGCAAACTGACCATATAAAACAGAGGTGCTAGTGGTTTAAATGAATTACTACAATAAATAATTTCTGCGTGTGAACCCTACCAGCTCAATCCAGGGTAATGACTAGTTCAAACATACCCCCATGCTAAAAACAAACAAACACAGAGGTCTACATTTTTTGGCTTAAGGAAGTCTACTTTCCTATAGGTGCCTGTGTATTCTGGGCTTTGCTGCTCTATTGGTGCCCTGTTCATTTCAGATTTACCGTATTTTTTGCTCTATAAGACTCACTTTTCCCCTCCTAAAAAGTAAGGGGAAATGTGTGTGCGTCTTATGGAGCGAATACAGGCTGCGCAGCTATCCCAGAAGCCAGAACAGCAAGAGGGATTGCGGCTTTCACTGCGCAGCGATCCCTCTCCTCTTGCTGTTCTGGCTTCTGAGATTCAGAATATTTTTTTTCTTGTTTTCCTCCTCCAAAAACTAGGTGCGTCTTGTGGTCTGGTGCGTCTTATAGAGCGAAAAATACGGTACATTGTTTCGTCTTTGCTTTGTTTGCATGCATAAATTGACTGCAATGCATTCTGATGCACTGGGAACAAGCCATGGGCAAAATGACATGCAATGCTAAATGTGTGGTTGGCACCAAAACTGCCAACTGTGCATTTATTTCCCCCCCTCCCCTCCATAATAACTTTTAAGTGTCCACACTTCGCACATGGAACTCACTTCCAAGTGAACTATGGCAATCCTCCACATCAGCTATATTTAAGCAACAGGTAAAAATTGAGAATAATATTACCAGCTGCCACCAGCTAGCACACTTCCTGATGAATTGCACTGCATGAGTTGATGTAAAAATATAATCTTGGCCTCAGTAAAAAGTCTTAAAGCCTGTTTAAGGCCTGACAACTTTGTGGGCTCAAGAAGTCAAGTATGCCATGAATAGCAGGAATGCTACAAAGTGGCCCAGTGCAAAGGACACCCACGACTTCAACCCTGAGATAACCTTTAACCTCCCAGTAAATAGTTTTTCCTGTTCCTTATTAAAGGAGCTGGGAACTTGTCTCCTGGTGGCAGCTAAGCAATCCACAGCACCAATTGCATCAGGCTCTTCCTTGTCCTGGGTAAGCAGGCAAGCAGAGAGGGACTAGTTCTACAGCTTTTTGGCCAAGCAGTGACCCAGCATCATTCCATTGTTTTATCACCAACCTTTAGCTGAATCATCATAGCCTATGTTCATAATTGTGTCTCGGACGATCTGCTGGTAATCCACCACCGCTCTGGATGTGATCTCCCCGCAGAGCAGCACCATCCCTGTTTTGCACACACTCTCTGCGGGGGAAGGAAAAACAAGGGGGAAACTCTGTTAGGTTGGCTCGAATATTCATTTACAGTAAGCATGTTATTTGCTCTTGGGTACCTATCACTATCTAGCATGTATATACAGTGGTACCTTGGTTCACGAACACCTTGAAACTCGAAAATTTTGGCTCCCAAACGCCGCAAACCCAGAAGTGAGTGTTCCGGTTTGCAAACATTTTTGGGAAGCCAAACGTCCAATGCGGCTTCTGATTGAGGGCAGGAAGCTCCTGCAGCCAATCAGAAGCCACACCTTGGTTTTCCAACATTTTCAGAAGTCGAACGACTTCTGGAACGGATTCCGTTCGAGAACCAAGGTACGGCTGTATACACACTGAGAATAACTCACTTCCCATTTTGTGCCTGCTCATCATACTGCAGTGACTTGCCCCTCTCATGAGATTGTTCCAGGGACCGAAGGCATAAAGGTATACAGTGGTACCTCGGTTTTTGAGCATCTCAGAAGCCAAACATTTTGGTTTTTGGATGCCGAAAACCCAGAAGCAAGTGCTTTCATTTTCAAACGCGCCTCGGAAGTCAAACAGCTTCCGCTGCGTGTTTTTCCATTTTCTCCATTGACTTTGCCAACCGCCGTTTGCGCCTCGGTTGTCAAACATTTCGGAAGTCAAACGGTCTTCCGGAATGGATTGCGTTCAACAACCAAGGTACCACTGTACAACTCATTCAATAGTAATTAGACCAGTATCACCCAGCAAAAAACAAAGCAACAGATATGCTCCCCAAGCTTTCTATCCACCCAAGCGGGTAGAGAAAGCCTCTCAAGTGAGAACCTCATTGTTCATCTTCAGCCTTTATTGGCATAATTTAAACAACAAAAACCAAAGTGAGTGAGAACTTAAAGTCATAGGGGTAGAAATGAAAGCAAAATTGGGTGTGAGGAACCTCTTTCTCTGGCCCCACCCCAAAATATTTCTTTGTAGAGATCTACTTTTATATGCATTTTTGCCAGTTTCTGGGTTCCATTTTTGTCACACTCTGGTGTGACCAAGGAATGGAATGCAGGGTATGGATTTTTCAGGCACCCCTTGAGTTCTGTTGGGACAATAGGGAGACAGATACAATCTGGGGAAAAGTTTGGAGGGGCTACGCAAAACTGCTTTTGACACTTCTGCTAGTGGTCCTTGCAATATATGGGTTCCCCACGCCACCTACTACCTATGGCAATTATGTTTGGCTGGTAAGTGCAGGGCAGCCATCATTTCAGACACAGTCTCTTACCACAAGCAACCTTGGCATTTGGATCTTGCCTCAGGTGGGCATCAAGCACGGCATCGCTGATCTGATCACATATCTTATCTGAAAGAGATCAGTTGGGCAACTGAGAGAAGAAACCAGAAACATGCACTACTTTCGACACATGGGATTGACAAGCGGAAAGTTTTGTTTAGATACTCTGCATTTTATAGCTCTATCATATGCATGCCACTAGCCCTCACCTAAGAAAAAATCAACAAATTGAATCCATTAAAAAGCCAAGCCGTGTGCTACAATTTGCCCCCAAAAGCTACTAATCATATGTCTGTTATAGAGCATACAGAGATGGTGAACAACCCAATTCTCATTTTGCGTCTTTTCATAATATTGGGACGAGCTACCCTGCCCATGAGATTGTCCCAGCTCTAAGGCTTTAAAGGAGCAAAGACAGATCGGAGTAGAATTCAGTTCCACCGGTGACCAGACCAGCACGGCCGAGACAAAAATGAAACAAGATACAGAGGGAATGTGCCTGCAAAGATCAGATACTGCTAAGGCCACAGCTGCCGGCAGAGCAAGTCTCAAATGAATTCCACCACCACCACCCCAGATTGAGATCCTCTAGTCCTCCCAATTCACAGTGGGAAGTCATCTGAAGTATGCAGGGGAAGAGTAAAGTGAGCAGGGATGGGAAACCTCTGGCCTTCCAGGTGTTGCTGGACTCAATCTCTCTGACCGTTGGGTCATGTTGCATGGGGCTGGTGGCAGTTGGAGTCCAAGAACATCTGGAGGGCCAGATTCCCCATTCTTGGGGCAGAGCTCACTTACCCTAAAGGACCTGTTTCTGAGGTTGCACCTCAGCCCAGCAAAGCAGAAGGAAATGTGGCTCGAGAAAGCCGGCCTCTGGCCTCTCAGAAACAGAGGCCAACCGGTCTTCTGCTCCATTTCCCTGGACCCTAAATGGGAAGACATCCATTGTGGTGGTGGACAGCCAAGCTTGGGGAGTGGAGCATTTGTCTTGCAGCTGGGCTACGTGCAGCTTTTATGGCTTAAACAACACCAGTCTTTCGACTCTGGGAAGGGCCCATAGATCAGTGGTACAGCACATACGAATGGTCCCATGCTCAGTCTCCAGGGAGGCCTAGGAAGGACCTCTGCCTGGTTCTCTGGAGAGCCTCTGCCAGTGGTCTGGCTTGGTATAAAGCAAGACCCTCACACATATAAGACTTTAAAGTTTCTTAAAACAACTGCTAGTCAAAAAGGCTCAAGAAGTGTCCCATCTTTCCCAGTAATGCTATATAATGAATTGAAAAGGATATTTAGACTAACATTTGTTTAAAAAAAAACCCCCACAAAAAACCCCAGAAGCACTTTTTTGGGGGGGATTATAGGGATAGAACTACCTAAACTGTATAGAAACTTATTCATGTATGCTACAGCAGCAAGAATGTTACTTGCCCCACAGTGGAAAGAAGCAGAAGTCCAAGCAAAGGAAGAATGGATACAAAAGCTTATGGAATATGCAGAAATGGTGAAACATACCGGAAGAATAAGAAATCAAGATAACAAACTTTTTATAAAAGAATGGAAAGGGTTTATGGAATATTTGCAGAAAAATTGTAAACAGATAAGAACATTGGCAGGATTATTGTAATAACCTGCAGTTTTATATCTTTAAAGTAGATGAATAAATTAGCAATTAAATTAATCTGGAAATGCAGAAGATATTAAAAATAAAATTAAGGAACCGCAGAAAGATGGGGAAAGGAAGTCAAGCTTTGAAATGTTAAAATGATTGTAGAATTAGTGAAATGTATGAACCTGAAAAAACATAGATAAAAAAAGAGAGAGAGAAGTGCCTCCTCTTTCTGCCCTGTTGCCAACCTGAGACACCAGATATTCATCAACATATTGTAGAAGGTGTTACTTGAGAGGGTTGGCCAATATTAACTGACTAGCAACTTCTCAGAATCCTGACTTCATAGCTGGAAACAGGGAACACTTACTGCGTGATATTCCAGCTTGGATCACAGTACCAGCATGCTGCTTGATACTGGACTGATTAATTCCAAGCATGACAATATCTGATTCAACTTGGGCTAACTCAATGCTTCTTTAATATTTTTATTATTGTTGTTAATTAATTAAATTTCTATACTGCCCTTCATCTGAGGATCACAGGGTGGTGGTTTACAATATAAAAACACAAGAATACAGTGGTACCTCGGTTTATGAACTTAATACGTTCCTGAAGTCCGTTCTTATACTAAATCCATTCTTAAACAGAGGCATGCTTTCCCTAATGAGGCCTTTCGCCGCCGGTGCCCTTCCACCGTTCAGTTTCTGCTTGTAGACTGAGGTAAAGTTCACAAACCGGGACACTACTTCTGGTTTTGCGGAGTTCATTAACCGAATAGTTCGTAAACAGGGCTGTTCGTAAACCGAGGTACCACTGTACATACTATTGTAACAAACAAAAACCATTCTCCTCGCACACACAGTTTAAAAGGCCATAAGGTAAAGGTAAAGGGACCCCTGACCATTAAGTCCGGTCATGAACCACTCTGGGGTTGCACGCTCATCTCGCTCTATAGTCCGAGGGAGCCGGAGTTTATCCACAGACGGCTTCCAGGTCATGTGGCCAGCATGACTAAGCCGCTTCTGGAAAACCAGAGCAGCGCATGGAAACGCCGTTTACCTTCCCGCCAGAGTGGTACCTATTTATCTACTTGCACTTTGACATGCTTTTGAACTGCCAGGTGGGCAGGAGCAGGGACTGAACAAAGGGAGCTCATTCCATCGTGGGGATTCGAACCGCCAACCTTCTGATCGGCAAGCCCTAGGCTTAGTGGTTTAGACCATAGCGCCACCTGCGTCCCTTCCTTAAAAGGCCATAGATTGTTCAATGAGGCAAAGGCCAGGGAAAAGAAGAATGTTTTTGCCTGGCACTGAAAGATATGTAATGAAGGTGCCAGGTGAGCCTCTCGGGGAGAGCATTCCAGAAGTGAGGAGCCGCCACAGAAAAGGCCCATTCTCATGTTGGTGCCCTCCAGACCTCTCATGGAGAAGGCACATGAAGAAGGGCCTCAGAGGATGATTGCAGGGTCCGGGTTGGAAGAAATGACATGATCTACAACATGCACATCCAACTCATAAGAGATGGCAGTGATCTACCCATTGTCATTGGAGGATGGACCAGAGTTGTTCAACTTTTTTTTAGGGAGCCAGAGGATTGACCAGCAACACCCCACAATCGACCAGTGGGTCGCGATCAACCTGTTAGACATGCCTGATCTACAAAATCGACAGACCTGCTAAGGAGACCGGAGAGGAAGCTGGCTAGAAGGTAGGATGTAAACTTTCACTGGAGAAGAAGCTCTAGACTTGCCGGGGGGGAAACAGAAGCGGAATTTGATATTTTGATAACAGCAAATCCATGTGGATCAGAAAAAAGCCAGATTGGATCATGTTGAAAAGAGACACTCAGCAGTGTGTGGGCAAGCAGGCTGGCAGGCAAGCTGGCAGAGGGGTAGGTACAAGGATTCTCTGCCCTGTCAGTGGCATCAAAGTCCTTGGTGGTGCAGCTAAAACTCTTTGTGTGTGTTTCTCGGATCAGTTCTGTACACAAAGACAAAGGCTGCGATCTTAACCCTGCTTATCTGGGAGGAGGCCCCAGTGAATTAAACAGGAGTTGTTTCTGAGCAGACGTGGTTTAGGACTGCACTTTACATAGCCTTTCAGACATTTTGTGCCCATGTCTGGTTAACATCAGTGTGGTGAGGACGCTTTTGTAATGCACGTGAGCCTTCTGGCCGGTCCAGCTAGTACTTTTTGCTGTTCAGGTATGCATGGTGAAGTTCCCCTCCTGGTATGTGCCGGCCATGCTCCAATATCTAAGGAAAAGGCCCTACTAGCAGTGCATTTCCTTAACCAAAGTATGTGCCATGGCGACTTGAGGTGGGGCTTTCTCAATCATGACTCCCTCCTGTTGGATATATGCTTATTGATGCTTGTTGACATCATTTTTCATCACCTATGGAAAAAACATCTGTTCCATTCAGCGCATGAGGGTAAACAAACACTGTGTATTGTTTTGGGATTATACACCGTGCATATTATGATTGTGGTTATTTTGTAGTTTTATTGCCGAAGTTTGTACTTTGTATTATTATCAGTTGTCCCGTTCCCTGATAACTTTTGTTGAGGGACAGTTAATAAGAATTAAAAATAAGAGTAATATTAATGTGAAGTGTTCAAAGCAAGCGCTGCTTACAGCTTGAACCCTTAGATGTTCTGAAATACTTCTCCTTCCCCCTTTTCATGCCAGTATCCTGACTGTCCTCACCCCAAATAGTGGGGGACAACCCTATTTTAACCTAAAATCCCTACAAGTAGATTAGGGAGAAAGTGACGTATGTAGCAGAGGGCACCCAGTGTGCTTTGTGGCTAAAGACCACAGCACTTGGGATCCGGGAGAACTGTGATTAGACCTTCAGCCCTTTTACTTCCCTTTTAAAACTTCTTGAATTCAGCAATGGACGGCTGACTAGGATAAGGGATATGGGGAGAGGAGTAAATTCCTTTCCCGGTTAAAAATCACTCCCCCTACAAGATGCTAGACTATATCCACATCCTCCTTCAATTCGCCAGCAGCTGCTTTTAATGTTAATTTTTAAAAGCCCAATTTGGCTCTGAACTCTGCTTTCCTCGGCCCGAGTTCAACTTGGGTAGTCAGCTTACAAACTGGCCCTGTCAACTTTGCCTTTAACAGCAACGAGATCTGCATCAGCTAAAGAGGTGATCATGTTCAGCTCCATGCCATGAAGAAGCTTTGCAGTTGTTCTTCCTGGCCAGTTGGCAACCTTACGTCTAAGTGACCTTCCATCAGATTGGCCCATTTAATCTAGAAGCGATTTGAGTGATGATTGCATCAGGCTTTATTTGGGTGGACGTGAACGCTCAGTCTTTCAACTTCTAAACGGGTCCATAGCGATAATGAACTTCCCAAAGCCATGTACCACTTCCTCACAGGATTAATGATTAACCAGTGTTTGTACGGTAGGCAGGGATTCTGGAATGGCTGCCAAGTGGGGTGGGGGTAGAGGAGGAGGGGTTGGAGGCCAATCTCTGATTGGCTGGGAGGGCAAGCCACCCCATCTCCAGGGATGGCCAAAAGAAACCAAACACAAAAAACCCAGCTGATATCACCAAGGCTAATTGATAATGGACAGGGAGGGGTGCAATTTCAGGACCCTGCAGTGCCGTAATAGCTGTATCTTGGGAACAGAGTTTAGGTGTGGAGAGAGAAGGTGATCAATAGCATGGAGAGGGGGAGACCGAGTTGAGATTGAGAGAACTTTGAGTTTTTCTGCTATTCTGTAATACTTAAGAACTGTGCCTTTTCAAAAGATCCATCTTTAATACTTGACCCTCCCCCCTTAAAAGCAATTCTGAGATCCCCGACAATAGACAAAACCACTGTGTTGAACTGTTCCATCCTTAAATCATGAGAAAGGGTCTTGTTCTTTGTTCTTCTCCTTACACAACTCCTTCAGGACAAGGGACGCCACCTTCTCAGTGGTGGCCCCAGAGAATGGAAGTCCATCCCTATAGAAACCCACCTGGCATCTCTCTCCCTTTCCTACCGTAGGGGAGGTTAGCAAAGACATTCTTATTCTAAGTGTGTGTTTGCGGCAACTGTTTTCTGATTCTGCCACTGTATTTCACACTGATCAGTTTGGGGTTCATAACATTTGTCATGGAAACTATTCTACAGTTTCAGTTAAATGGACTGAAATGCATGGCATCGTATTTTTGTTCTAGATTAGGAAAGGAAACTTGGAATATTTCGGATGAAATTCAAACAGATGTTAAACTCTGGAAGGAGGGGCGGTGTGTTTACATTGAAACATTAACAGCGCCGATTTTTTTTTTTTTTTTATGTGACAACCTGATATTGTCAGAGCCAACTGAGATGACACTGACTAGTCATTTGTCCTAGCTGCCATGTTTGTCCAAACTTGCTGTGTGCTTTTCTCTGATGTTGCGTCACTGGGACACATGCGCTACACTGCTACAAAAAGGGCCTTCCAAGGTTGACACTGCACTTCTCAGAAATCTGTTGCAATAACTAAAACCCCAAACCTGGGTGATTATTTACCTCATCTGACAGCTGTGAAATTTTGCATAACGAAGCTGTACCCTGGTCCCAAGTGTGGGTAAAACAGACTTACTTGCCTGGGGAAAGTGATATGTAAAGACTAGGCCACAATTTAGCAAGTAATTAATCAAGAGGATTTAACAGCACATTCCTAAGCATGTCTTCTCAGAACTCCCAGAGTTCAGTTGGACTTAATCCCAGACATGCATTTAAGAACTGCAGTCTTAATTGTGGCTCACGATATGCTGGGTTGCAGTTTGTTTCATCCAGTTTCGCTTTTTCGCTATATAATATTGTTCCCCAATTGCACAGACGACCTAAATGTATTCCCCACCCCCAACAAAGGCATGTCTTCACTTCTAGGAACTTTCATCTGGTTTTGCTTGCAGAATGGGTCAGTTTATATATCTGGAAGAAGCAAGTGGTAGACATTTTCCAGTCTTACCCAGGAGAAACTGGACTATCCAGTGGGATGCCTGTCTTTGGTTTGCATCATTCACCTGGTCACTCACTATCAACCCTCCCCTCCCTTAAGGAAGGTGGATAACCACTAGAGGAAAAATATACAATTGCACATTCCTTCTGTTGACTGCTGTTTGCTCATTTCTCGTTAAGGAAAATACTGTAGATTTTGCACAACTCTACTTGACTCACACACACACCACGGATCAGTGACAGGGGGCCCCAGGGCCAAATCCTGCCCTCTGAGGTGTACAAGCTGGTCCAGATACAGGAGACATGTGTGACAGGTTAAAGGAGGGTAGTCATGGACCTTGCAAAACTGTGGCTATCCAGACACATAGACTGTACAGGGGAATTAGTGTATGTGGGGAACACCAGACAGATAACAAACTCCACTGTGTTATTTTGATTATATTGATGGAACTGTGGTTTGTGTCTTTTTATGCTTTGTTATTGTTGTGAGTCACACAGAGCTCAGCTTTCTTGTTGGGAAAAGCAGCATACAAATATCCAATAAACTTGTAGCTCTTGCATATCCCAAACCAGTGTTGCCCAGCTGTTGTTGGACTACAATCCCCATCATCCCCAACCACTGGTCCTGCTAGCTAGGGATGATGGGAGTTGTAGTCCAGCAACAGCTGGAGACCCAGGTTTGGGAAACCCTGTCCTAAACCTACTCTTACAGCCAAATTACAGTATACCTTCTTTGGCTTTCTGGAGATCAATGTTCTCCCTAGAGCATTACAGTCTTTCATGAACACATCACTCAGGAGCTGAAATGGGGTTGTGACCAGAAGGCCAAATAATCCCATTGAACTCCAGTTATCAGAAGATCCACTGACAATCTTGGAAGCCTCCACGAATCTAGACAAAGCTTCTTCTTTTTAAAAAAAACAACTCAGCCTAAGCTGTAAACTTTAAATAATCCTGTTTATTTCAGTGGGAGAGAACTGGGCATATGTTTAACTTCCCTATCTAAACATGCTTTAATTTGAGAGTTCAAGGGTTGGACGTACCATTAAGCAGAGAAAGACAGCTTGGGGATTCTAGAGAGGGAACTGGATCTCAAAACAGACCAATGCACTCTGGCAAAAGGGAACAAAAACCTGGCCTTTCAAATAGAAGAATAGGTCCAGTTGTGGCCGACTCTGGGGTTGCGGCGCTCATCTCGCTTTATTGGCCAAGGGAGCCGCGTGTAGCTTCCGGGTCATGTGGCCAGCATGACTAAGCCGCTTCTGGTGAACCAGAGTAGTGCATGGAAATGCCATTTACCTTTCCGCCGGAGCGGTACCTATTTATCTACTTGCACTTTGATGTGCTTTTGAACTGCTAGGTTGGCAGGAACAGGGACAGAGCAACGGGAGCTCACCCCGTTGTGGGGATTCGAACCGCTGACCTTCTGATCGGCAAGTTCTAGGCTCTGTGGTTTAACCCACAGCGCCATCCGTGTCCCTTATCATACATTTCATAGTCATCACTTTTTGACTTACATGTGTGAATGGACCTTCACAAATCTGAGACCACTGATACCACAGAAACCTTTGTCAAGTTTTCTAGTCAGTATGGCCAGCAGTCAGGGATGATGGGGAACTGTAGTCTACCAAGATCTGAAGGGCTACAGGTTCCCCTCCCTTAACGTAAAAGTTCAAATGTCAATCTTAGTGTCTATAAATATAATGTAAGAAACAGGATCAGCCAGCGTCTTGGCATCACTGCCACTTAAGAAAAAAACTGATGGAAGCCTAAGGTGCTGGCAGCCCCATTAACTGGACAAAAAATGTCTCCTCGATGTTGTGGAGTGGCAGAATTCTCCCGCAGTCGCCAGAGGTTGTTACGTGCCAGATAAGAAGTTGGCACAAGATATCCAGTTAATGCATCGAGAGGGGGAGCAAACTCTGCTGCGACCTCACCCCCATCCAACTGAATGCTAATAACTGAACAAGTTCTTCTGTTTTGTTTTAATTCTGCTGACTGTTACATAATCAGAAGGAAAGGCCTGAATCATGCTGAAAGATATACAGTGCCAAATACACCTCTGAGTACCTCAAACAGCTCTAATGCGCACGCATGCATGCACACACATACACCGGCCTTGTCTGAAAGATCATTTATCTGTTTGCATCGGCTGCAAGCACGTCGCAAGTCTCAGACTTGCCAGATAAAACAAACTTGAGCTGGAATGTTGGCACAGATAATGTCTATTCCCTTTTCTTTAAAAAAAAAGTTTCAATTTGCCTTGCTTTTACAATAATTAAGAAAGAGGTGTGAGGAACCGGTCGCTTTGAGTAGAGAGAGGACGAGGCCAGATAATATGTCCTGCCATCATGCCCAGCTGCTATGGGGAATGATTTACAGTTTAATGATATAGCAAGCATGTGGGAGAATTCCACAAGGTCCACTGAAATATCAGATTAATGCAGCCCCCAGCTAAAGAGACCAAGTTCTATCGGTGTAGGAACATACAGATCTATTTATTTTTAATAGTTACACAGAAGTTTTAACTGGGAGGGTGAATCATTTGGCTTACGAGCTCTTCTGCATAACTCCAAAATATGTACACACGAACCAAGAGGAACGGCCTAATAAAATACACTAGCTTAACAATTTTTTTAAAGTGTGTGCACACCCAGCTCTTGTTCTCTGGGAGTCTCACTGCAACAGACGCAGACATTCAGTATTTTAAATCCCATTGATTTCAAACTGGCTGCAATCTTATGTCCCTTTACTTGGAAGTAGGCTTGGCAGAACTCGCCAGGATTTGCATCCTAGAAAACTGCACAGAATACACTGCGTGCCATTAACACCAGCGAGCCTTTAGAAGCATGTAACTTTGGCTGGATCACGTCCATCAGTGCCAAATCTGGCGCTATCAAAGCTGTGGCATGGACATTCCTGATGGGATTGTTCTGAAAGGTGCACGGTCAAATCGCAAGACAGAAAGAACTGCAGTGGCTAGCAGTGGTTTTCGAAGCTATGCCCCCTGGGGAATGAATCAGGGTCTGCAATGGCATCCCCGGAGAGGCTGCTTTTAGCTCTCACATGAGTCAATAGCAGGTGAAAAGAAACCCAAAACTTCGTCTGCGTGCACGCCATCAATTTAAAGCACGTTTAAAGCACTTCCTCCGCCCCACAGAACGCTGGGAATAGTAGTTTGTTGCGGGTGCTAAGAACTGTAGCTCGGCGTGAACTACAGTTCCCAGATTTTGGGGGGTGAGGGGGACAGACGTTAAATATGCTTTATAGACACGCGCACGCGGTATGCCTCCCCGCCCCCGCGCGCTAAAAAAATAAATGCTACAGGATCTCCTTGCAACCTTTCAAAACGAGCTGCAATCGCCTGCGCCAAATCCTTACCTGGGTGTCCTTCCCCTACGGATTCCGATGTAAACATGAACGTCCCTTCGTCTTCATTCAGTGTGTGGTCGCACAGGCTATCCAGCGTCCCATTCATCATTTTTGCTCTCTTTTCTCCCTCCTTCCTGTTAACGCTTTCCTCTGCGTAGGGAAGAAGAAATCTCCTCGGAAAAGAGCAGCGCAAGAGATCTGACGTTGGCAACCTCTCCCTTGGTAAAAGGCAGCAAGGCTGCGCTTTATTTAAACCGGCGGCTTCGGATTACACCTCCCCGTGCGTAAAGCGCAGGCTCCCCGAGGGCGCGCCGGAGACGCACACGCGACGGAAACGGCGGGTCTCCCCCTGGCTAGAGCTGTCACTCCGCCCGCCTCCAATATATGGAAAAGCGAAAGTGCCTCGGCGATCATGTGAGCAGATCGGGAGAGCCCATTTCCTCGCAGGGGAGAGGGGGAAAAGCACGCTCCAAAAAGAGGGGAAAAAGTGTGCGCGCGCAGGGAAGATCTCTCGCACGGATTAGGAGAATGCCTTTGTCTGCGCCCCCCGGCGGATCTCAGCAGCTCCTGAAAGGGCTGCTCTTTCTTTCTCTCGCTCTCTTTCTCTCTCTCTCTCCCCCCCCTCATTTTCTTTCGGGGGGAGGAATGCAGAGGAAAGTTTCCCGAAGTTTGCGCGCTTCGCGGTTGCGTAACAGAAATGGCAACGGTCGGGGAAACTGGCTTGGCTCTTTGCAGGAAGCGATGGGCGATGGATTGCTCTGAGATGATGCAATATTCGGAGCGGTTGTGCCCAGTTATGTAACTTTCCTTTCTCCCTCTTCGACGATTCCCCTTCTATCTCCTGAAATTATAATCTTCCGTCTCGGGGGCATTTTTACCCCAGTGGAAAGGAGGAGAAAGAGGGTTTTTTGTGTGTGTTTTCAAGACACCCTGAAATTTTGGGCAACTTCGAACTATAGCGTCACTATAGTGTGGTGTTAGGGCCCCAAACCCAGGCTTCAGCTGGCACTGGACGGCGATGCTGGCATCAGGTCTTGTAATATGTGTGGATGAAAAAGAACCAAAACATTGCTCTGGAGCTGGTTCACAAGGACTGTCGTGTTCTCACTGTGTTCAGCCAGATATGAGCACAACAGCAATTTCTGAGTCATCTCGTTTTCTCCAGCATCTAGTATCCAGAGGCACAAGGAGGCCAACTTGAATAAAATGTTGTTGAGGGGGGGGCAGGTAAGCCCCTCGCCACAAAATTGATCACAAGATATGGCAAACGTGCACCATTTGAATGGCAATACCCTTCGACTTGGTGGGGAGAAGCAACCCCCTAAAATATTTCGGGGGGGGAGGAGGGATTTCAGTCCCCAGAAGTTGGCTGCTATGCAGAAGCATATTGCTTCTGATAGTGGATGTGACATAGCTGCCACTGAAAGCTTTATCCTCCATGAATTTGTCTAATATCCTCCTTTATCAAGTTGGTGGCCATCAACAAATTCCATAGTTTAACTATGCGCTTGTGAATAAGTACTTCCTTTTGTCTGTCACAAACCTTTCACCATTCGTTGGGTGGCTTTGTGCTTTTGAATTAAAGAGAAAATACTTTCCACTATAGAAATGTCATCTGCTATGCTTGTCTCTGAATTTCAGTTGCATAACCATGTTAGTGTGTTGCAACAAGGATAACAAAGAGTGTTGCAGCACCTTGAAAGCTAACAAATGTTATGGCGTGGCACAATTCGCAGCCCTAGCTAGGAGAAAATGTTGGGGTAAAAAATCGGCCACATTTTAAAAAAATATTACAGGAGAACAGGTTTAAGTGTCCTTCCTCATATATCTCACAAATGAATATGTTTTGAGACCTTTTAGTACCTGGAGATATATGATGGAATTTGACTTGGGGTAGGAAAATGTCCCCCAACTGTATGTGAGTTAAGAAATTTGTTTTGTTTTTCAGTTTAGGAAGGCCACTGTTCTGCACCGAATACAACTTCTGAACATTTCCCCAAGCCAGCTCTATACAGGGTATATTTCTGAACTCTAATCTGGAGGTGACTGAAGTGGCCAAAAACTATTTCTGAGATGAGGATGTAGTTGATAAACCAGCTGTGTGGCTGAAATGCTTATGTTCCTGGGCAATTTCACACGACCTGCTTATTGAGTATTCCTTCTGACATGTCTGTGGGGAGGTTAGATGAAGCTGCATCAAAGCAAGCTTTCAAGTTCATTTTCCCATTACTGTACTTTCCTTATCACTAAAAGCGATAGTTGGGGGAAGCAGGTTTGTTACGCAGGTTCTGATCAACTATAATTGTGTGATGTACATTTGCTAGTCTGTGATTGAATTCCACTCAAAATTAGCAACCGTCTGGAAGCACCTGCTACCCTTCTCCCCCCCCCCCCCCGGTTCTTCCTTCACATCTGCATGACTGGAGCAGCGTTGAGAGAAACTACAGAGGACAAAACGCTCCTCTGCTACTGCCAGTAAATGCGACTCAGCCCTTAGGCCTGCACTGAAAGGAACGCACATGAATGCAGCCAGAATTAATTAAATGTGTGCCTAATTGCCATTCTACTTTTTCAGGTTCTCCAGGTTTTCCCTCTGTCTTTGATCATTAAAGCAGATCTCACAGTTTCTGTGCCTCCTGCACTGTTCCCCCCAAAAGTGGGTAGATGTGAACTGACACTAGTAATTTTTTTGTGTGTGTGATAAGTATCTGGGAAATGTTACCATTCTTCTAAAAAGGACCTAGACCGCCTCTAAGAAATCTTTGCGGGTCAAGCCTTGGACTGCTCTGGAATGCAGTCAGACCAAACCTGTCAGGGAATCGTAGGGGGATAACAAGATTGGTGGGCCTAACTAAGGGCCCATCTACATAGATTCACAAAATCCAGATTTTCAGTATTCTGTCATCTATAAGTCTATACTTGAACGCCTTGTATTCTGATTGTACACTGAAAACCTGTTTGAATAATCCAGCATTTCTGGATCTACTCTCCAGCTTTCCAGAATCTTCAGTGACCACATGCTGGTTGGTTGGGTGGAGATGTGTACAGGGTACCACTCTGTTTTGCTGTTGATCCACCTGTAGCTTGGATGGGTCCCTCTAAATGCTGCTTGTTGGAAATGGTGGCTATCAAATGAGAGCCCTCTGAAGATGGGTAATTAACATAGATGGCTAGACCATGCTTGTTTAATGTAAGGTTACCAGATTTTTTTCAATGGATCTGGGGACACTTTTCAACTTCAGCCAGAATGAATGGATTTTGTCAGGGGCTGATTTGTAAATCTGGGGACTGTGCCCGGGAAACAAAGACGTCTGGTAACTTTAGCTTAATGAGTATTGATGGCTGGTGGCTGCCATTTATTTCTCATATTCCATCTGCTTGGGTCTGGTTAGGTTAAGGACAGCTTGGTTGTCCTGAAAGAGCTTGAAGACTTCACAGCTGGCAAAAAGCAGCTACCCTGGGAGGGTTTGGTTAATGCATGCTCATCCTGTTTAATGATTAGCAATGTGCCTGGTTGCTAGCCTATTCCTCTGTGCTCAACTTGTAAACAGACCTGTATTACATAAGCACCAGGTGTCCATTGAATGACCATGCAAAAAGCTGACCCTGCAACTTCCGTTGAAACATTACCAAGTAAGATAGCATGGAGGATGCTGTTCTGACTATGGACACTTATCAAAGGCCACCTCCAGATTGTCAGAATTCTGCGGGAGGGATTCAGGTAGCTACGCGAAATTTAGATTTGCATTAAAGCGCTCTGTTGCAGCAAATACGCTGTAATCAACCTCCCCATCAACAAATTGGAACAAATGTGCAATAAAAAAACAAAGTCTAACCTCCTGTGTCAGCTTTTTGCAAGCAAATCAGGATGAATGCTTGCTAAGCACTGGAGGAACCCCAAGCCCATGAAGGACCTCCAGAGATACCATGTATCCAACTATGCTCTTTTGGATGTATAAGAGAGCAGCTTATGATGCCATCATACAGAGCTGCATATCCATATGGGCCATTAACAGCAGCAGAATTGCAGTAACACACCTGAGAAGCATCTTAGTGTGACTTTCTCCTGATATACGGTACACATCTTTGTATGCAATTCTTCCTAACAGTGCATGACTACAACCCTCTGCCCACCACCCAAATATATTTATTTTGTAACTACTTCCAAGGAGCCAACTTGTTTCAACTTTCTTTTGAAGCAGTTCCACCACCTGGTAACAAAGACAGAAATTTAAAACATTAGAAGAAGGAGAAAGCCATTTGTCAAACCGATCAAAACAGTTTACGGGAGCTGAGGGACTTTAGACATTTACTTTGCTCAAATGACCTGTGCAACTTGTTCTGGACAAGATGAACTTTAGAGGGGCTGGTGTGCAAATGAAGTAAAAACAAGGAAGGATCCTACATCTGGCAGATGTTCACTGTTGCTTTTATATTGATAATATTGCTATTATTGACCATGTCGCTTGCTGACAGGGAGTCCTTGGAATTGAATGTAGGGGCATTGAACTCAACAGTGACTGTGCAAACATTAAAGCAAAACACTGCTCTCTGATCCCAGCACATGCCTGGAAGCCAGAGGTGTTTCGCCCCCAGAGCCAAAGGACACACACCTTCCTGACCCTCCAAGTGTCCCTATTTTCCAAGGACAGTCCCAGATGTACAGAAGCTGTCCCGGTTTCTGACTTGATCCCGGAATTTCCAGTTTTTCCTTAGGACGTCCCTGTTTTCATCAGAGCAATGTTGGAGGGTATGGCGTTATGTAACCCTTAAGCCTTTAGAAGAAATCTGAAGGCAGCTCTGTATAGGGAGGTTTTTAAATGTTTAATTATGTTTAAATATATATTAGAAGTGGGTGGGGCATTATTATTATTACTGAATAGGGCATCCCTATTTTCATCGGAGAAACGTTGGCGGGTATGCCCTTCCCAGTCTGCATTCCCTGTCCTCAGGCCACAACCCTCAAAGGCCCTGATCTGTGCTCTCAGGTGGGTTTGCCTGGCTCTTGCCTGCCTGGATGGATGGAGGATACAGAAATGTGAGGTGGGGTTGTGTGTGGAAACCTATGTGCTCAGTCATGTTGCTCCACTCACTTTTGCTCCAGGCCCCACCTGCCACAGGTATACAGCACACCCACCCACCCAAGGTTGTCTGTGAGGGAATTTGGTAATTTGCTGCTTACCATGTTTCACTCTGTTCCTACTAACACCTGAACAGCCTTGCCCTCCTCTGAAATACTTTTAAGTGTGCACACACTCCTGTTTTTCTCCTGCCACCTGGGCCAGAGAGTATTTCCCCTTATTCTTTCTGATAATGGGATTGTTGGTTCACTGCTCTGACATTTTGATACTGATGTTTTATTATGAAACTGATTTGAATTGTTTCTTCTATAGATAAGGTTGCATTGGTTTCCCCGAAACATGCTTTCTTGCAAGCCTTTTGGAAAGCCATAGCCCGAGTGCCTCTCCCTCGCTGTATCTTTTATTTTGATCCTCGTTCAGTTACCTTGAAAACCAGGTGACATATAACGTAAATCAACATAGGTGGAATGGGTGTGCCAGCTCTGCTGCTCACTGAACTGCACGAAAGTGCTGAGGATATGGGTAGATACTGAAAAGAGAGGGATCATAAACAGAGAACAAAATGAGCAACTTTTGTCCATTTGTATGATGCAACTTAAAAAGAAAAAGTTCAGGTCACGAAGATCAGCAGCAGTGAAAGAGGTAAAATGGAAGACTTTGAAGAGGTGACATAATGGTATTACTTTGCCCTGCTGTATTGGGAACCACCATAGCTCATTGGTGGGTTCTCTGCTTTGAGTACAGAAGGTCCTTGGTTCAGTTCTCGGCTGTCACAGAGCATGCTGGTCAGCAGTCATACTGTTCAAAGTTGGAGTTAATGTTTTATTAGCAAAAACACAATCTCCACAGACTTGGCTGAGTGTCTGGCCTAATGAGCAGAGCAGCTCATTCCTGGTGGTCTTACTCCATGAAAATCAGTTGCTGAAACTGATAGTCCCTGCCTCCTTATGGCCATCTAAGTCCCCTTCTCATCAGGACTTTCCCCAAGCAACCCGAGACTGCATCTGTGCATTGTCAATATCTCCTTCAATGCTTCCGTGCCTCTTCTGGTTCTGGGAGACCAGGGAAGGTTGGAGCTTGTCGCAGCAAGAGACAGAGACACCCATGATCTTCACCAACCTGACTCATCTCTGCCTCTTGGCCTCTCTCCTCCCACCTACCTGCTTCAGCTTCTGCCTCTGATTCTGGACTTTCCTCTGTCACAACTCTCCCCACTCACTAAACCCTGTTACATCTTCAGCTTCTGACACCTCCTCCTCCTCCAAGTCTTTTCTCTCTTCTCCCTCTGATCATCGTCCCACCAGCACTTCCCAAGCTCTGAGCATTCTTCCCTTGGTGGTTCCCCAGCTGGTTCTTCCCACCATTCCTCTGTGTCCAACCAGTCCATGACATCAGCATCTCCAGGGAGAACTTTATTTTTAAAAAGTCTAGTACATTTGGGCAAATGTTGTATTTGTATCTGTCAGCACAACCCAGCTGTGTGTGGATGAGTGAAGCCGCAAACTGTGGAGTCAGCAAAGTGGAGGTCCAGCTCACAGTCATTCCCAAAGTGATCATAGGGGGCTGTGGCTGAGCTGGGCTCAGGGGAAGAGTGTATCCTACCAGGGCTTTCACCCACTAAACCTCATGCAAGCCCCTGTGATTGACTTTGTTGGGGCTGGAGATCTGATAAAGCTCCGGCTGTGCCAACCTCCAGTTCTACACAGATGGCAGAAGATGTTCCTTCCCCAAACCATACGGCCTGTATCTCTTAAAAGACAGGGGAGAGGGAGGAAGAGCAAGAGTTAGGATACATCCTATTGCTTTGCCCCTTTGCAAGAAATGTGGGAGATATGGGGGTGCAGGAAGAAGAAGCCTTCTTCCTTCTCTTGGGTATCCCTTTCCCACCATGATGAGTTGTGGACCCTATTAAATATTTGGCCTGGGCAGGGGAGGTGTCCAATATTCCAAATGTTTCAATATTCCAATATTCCAAAATAAGGAGCGTTAACAAAGCAAGTTTCACCAACTGCATCAGTACTCACTTCCAAGTGCTGTTAAATTTAATTGAATTCCTTCCATTTTACTTCCATGTTTGCTGTTACAAATGAACGCTCTGCAAAGCGCGCTATGCTCATAACCGGTCACCAGTGCTGGTTTCTTCACAAGTTTACACTTATCGGCTAAATAAATAAATCCGTCCACTTCCTACCCCCTTTTTTGCCTCTGTCTCTCTTTCTGATCCATGTACAAATAGCAAAAACAACATTGTTTGAGATAATAATGAACCAAGAGGTGTGCTGCAATGCAGCCAATACCCAGTGTTCAAGAGCCTGTTTGGGAGGTGGGGTGAAAACACAGAGGAACGATTGGTCGGTTTCTTCCCACACACCCAGAAACTCATCTGAGACACAGCTGCAGGGAACTGGAGTTGTTTGGTGTCACAGAATGTGATTTATTTCTGTGATCTGGGTCTGGGTTTGCTACTTGACTCCTCTCACTTTCATCCTGCGGTTTCTTCCCCTGCAGATCCTTTATCAATCAAATCTCTTGCATTTAACCACAAACACACTGCCTAGTGAAGGACTGAAGAAGTGCATTTTATCTGAGAAAGCAAAATCTTTTCCCACAATCAGATAAGATTATCATGGGAGTGTACAAACAGCTTCCCAGGTCATGCACAAATCCAGTGTCTAATATATACCTATATATGGTTAGTGAGGCATGGGAGTCAATGAACTTTAAAGGTAAAGGGACCCCTGACCATTAGGTCCGGTCTTGGCCAACTGTGGGGTTGCGGCGCTCATCTCGCTTTATTGGCCGAGGGAGCCGGCGTATAGCTTCCGGGTCATGTGGCCAGCATGACTAAGCCGCTTCTGGTGAACCAGAGCAGCGCACGGAAACGCCGTTTACCTTCCCGCCGGAGCGGTACCTATTTATCTACTTGCACTTTGACGTGCTTTTGAACTGCTAGGTGGGCAGGAGCAGGGACCGAGCAACGGGAGCTCACCCCGTCGCGGGGATTCGAACCTGCTACAAAATATTGAATGTGAATTCAAGTTTATGAGCTTAAATGCCTGTGAGATGCACATATCCACCCTAGCTATTTGTCCATCATCAAAACAAGGTGGATGGATCATTTGACCAGTGTGGCTTGCAGTAAACTTTTTAGCAGCAGTGGGCAAGCGCATACAAACCTCTAGCAATATTTCTATACATGGGTGCATGGACACCCTACAGACACAGTGTATGAACCAGCCTGTTCCCTGAAGTTGTATGATGAACTCACAATGGCTCTTAGATCATTATGAGCCAGTTATCAAGTGTTGGTTGCCCAGCACAGGAAACCCACATTCAAGTTCCTGCCATATTCACGTCACCGATACATCATACGGCCTTGGGCAAATCTATGGAAGCGCAATGATACTGGTGCATTTCTTCATTTTTCTGACAGCAGGTAACAGGCTTCCTTTAACAAGTACTCCAAAATAGTTGTTAAGTGACACCTTGTAATCTACTAATGCTCGCATGGAAATTTTCGTCACGCCTTACAAGAAGCGACGGGTCACTGCATTTGTACAGGATGTTGCCCACAGCTTCTGTGAAGTGTTTCAAAAGGCAAGGTCCATAGGGAAAGATGTGGAGGAAACAAACCTTGGAGCCTCAGTGAATTATTAGTCCCGGGGTATGCGTGTGTAGGGTTGCCAGCAAGTCCACACTTTTCTGGGCCAGCCATTAAGGGTTCTGGGCCAGCTAACTGGAACAGGAGAAGTCTGGAAAATGAGTAAACTGGGATTCTGCGACAAGCGTGCCTAACTCTGGTCCATGGCTTGCCTAATTATGCTGGGTTCCGCTCAATCAGTAGAGCATGAGACTCTTCATTGCAGGGTCAAGGGTTCGATCCCCACATTGGGTAACAATATGCCTGCATTGTAGGGGGTTGGATGAGACGGCGCTTGTGGTCTCTTCCAATGCTACAATTCTATGATTGTCCAATGCACCAGAACCCATCCTGCCTCCACCCCGACTTGCCAGACTCAGCCGTGCATTGGCTCTGCCCCATCAGGTTCTGTCCTGGCTTTGACTGTTCTGCCCCAGGCCCAAATCTTTTTAAGTCAAAAGTTGGTAACTCTGGACTCTCCATCAAACATTATGAAAAATACACAAATGGAGCCATTGTGTAGATGTAGCAACGAGATCTTTTTTTCGTCTACATTATCCAGATTTCTCTATACAGTGGTACCTCAGGTTACAGACGCTTCAGGTTACATGCGCTTCAGGTTACAGACTCCGCTAACCCAGAAATAGTACTCCGGGTTAAGAACTTTGCTTCAGGATGAGAACAGAAATCGTGCTCCGGCAGCGCAGCAGCAGCAGGAGGAGGCCCCATTAGCTAAAGTGGTGCTTCAGGTTAAGAACAGTTTCAGGTTAAGAACTGACCTCTGGAACGAACCCGAGGTACCACTGTATTGACATATTAGGAAGTTTAATTAAAAATGGCACCGATCCCGAAAAACACATTTGGTTCATCGTTTCCTTGCACAGATAAACTAGGAAGTACTTGTTCTACATCTACAGCTGTTTGATTAGGTTAGTTTGTATTGCACCGCGCAATGTTTTATGAATAGATTTTTGTTGCACTCACTGGTATGATGATTATGAATATGTGAGCTATTTGGGCATAATATAATGGACGCGGGTGGTGCTGTGGGTTAAACCACAGAGCCTAGGACTTCCCGATCCGAAGGTCGGCGGTTCAAATCCCCGCGATGGGGTGAGCTCCAATTGCTTGGTCCCTGCTCCTGCCAACCTAGCAGTTCAAAAGCATCGAAAGTGCAAGTAGATTAATAGGTACCGCTCCAGCGGGAAGGTAAACGGCGTTTCCGTGTGCTGCTCTGGTTCGCCAGAAGTAGCTTAGTCATGCTGGCCACATGACCTGGAAACTGTACGCCAAGATCTCCTTTGGCCAATAAAGCGAGATGAGCGCCGCAACCCCAGATCCGGCCACGACTGGACCTAATGGTCAGGGGTCCCCTTTACCCTTTTACCTATAATGGAAATATGACATACAAATAAACATAATAGGATTCTGATCTCTAAAATCTGTGTTGATGCAATATTTGGTTAGCCAACTGCATTTGGATATTCTCAGGCCATTTGCTTCATTGTGGTTGTACTGTAGCTCTTTGCACATCTCTGCAAAGTGGGTATAAGTGTGGCACTAAGGGGCAGCTGAATCCTGTCTGCCTGTTTCGCTTTGGGGCATGCCTGCCTCACTCCCTAGGTTTACCTCACCTCCATGGGTCAGACAGAACATCTAACTTAAATGTAGGTTTATAAAGCCCAATATGCACTTGCCCATAACATGAAACATGGTAAATTTCCCATGCCTGGTATTACATGTAGCATCCAATATATGGATGTGAGCTGGGCACAGGGCTAACCTCACTACCCCACTCTGCGTTGATAGCAGCCACTTGCCCAAGGTAGGAAAAGTGGCCTATTATTTAACTGTGGTGCAAATAATATCCTAAGTGTTCAACACATGGGAAAGAAAGTTACAACTGTGTTGGCTAAGGTTTGCTCAATACACATAAGCTTCTGCAATGCAGGCTCTTAATAAAGAACAAGTTTATGTGTAACTTCCATTTAGCGTGTGGATATGCACACAGAGAATTCCAGCTTTGAGAGGAGCCCATCTAGTTACACTGCTTAATTCAGTTTGACCTTATTTTGGGCCTCATATCTGTTTTCATCCTTACTGGTAGGATGGCAACAGCTGTGAGGAGCGTATTACTATCAACGCATTCTTTTCAGTGTCTGCGTAAGGGGTCTCAGGTTTAGCTAAATAAACCTGCAAGAACCATTTGAGGGGGAGGGAGAGGGAGAAATCCACATATCTGGAGATATTTTTCAAACAGCAACACCACTTCATCCAAATATAATCATATAATCCTAAAATAAAAATAAAAACCATACTCCACCTATTTTGTTACTAATATAAAAGGGGCGACTCTTCTGTTTTTGGTGTCTTCTGTGTACATGTGTCTTGTTTTATTTCAGAATTTCACAGCAAAGGAAGCCAACTGGAGTCCCATTAGGGAATGCAAATTCCCCATGTGCACACCTGAAATGTCGGGGTCCAAATGGCACAAAATATGATAAAAACATGGCTTTATGCTGATGCCTGTGTTAAGAGATGAATTTCAGAGTATCTCTAGTAAACTTTGTTGTTACTGATTCCACCCACAAACCTGTCTTGTTCCACCCATGAGTGACCATGTGGAATTCAGGCATCCCCAAACTCAGCCCTCCAGATGTTTTTGCGACTACAACTCCCATCATCCCTAGCTAACAGGACCAGTGGTCAGGGATGATGGGAAATGTAGTCCCAACACATTTGGAGGGCTGAGTTTGGGGGTGCCTGATGTAGATTCTGTCAATGCCAGTCATGACTCCTGACCCGTTAGAATCCGCTCTGCTTCTGCCCTCTCTGGTCTTCCCCAGAGAGGCAGTGATTTGAAGTCTATGACATGGCAATCTTGGGCACAACCTCAGTGCCAATACAACAGAGAGGACCATCCTAACTTGAACCAGGTCTTGCTGTTGGGCTCTTAGTTCTGTTTATTCCCAACTAGTGATTGGGTTATATTGTACATGAAGGCACTGCCTCATCCAGTAAGTAAATAGGGACTACCTTATACAACTTGCTTTTATTTTATATCTTGGTGGTAGGAGTTTGCTCTTTAGCTGCATTAATTCATTGTATCAGTAGCCCTAAAACAGATACCAACCATCCACATCTCTGTAGCAGCCCTTGAAGTTTCTGGAATAAACAACTGCAGGTGGGAAAGATATCTCTCAAACAGGCGACTCTTCTCCTTCCTCTGTCTCAGCTACTGTAGTCAGTGCATGCTAGAAGTCAAGAAAAAAGAGAGGAGGAGAAAGAGAGAAAGTTATCGTTTATTGGAACTCTTAAGATGATCTGTGAAAAAGCAAAAAAAAAAAAAAGTGTTTAAATGGCTGTCAGACTACTCAGTGAACAAAAACTCAACCCAAACATTTCAGGGGGTGTTTCTTAGAATTTATCAGATGACACCCGGGGTCCCTCCCAGTTCCACGATTCTGCAATTCCATTATTTTAATATCAGAAATGAGTTCAACTGGGAAAAAGTTGCCTAGAGAGATAGTTGCAGGGAATGTTATGTAGTAAGTTTGGATCCTAGAACAATAGGCAGGTAGGATCCTAGAATGCAACAACTGATTGGCTTGCAAGAGAAGACCAATCAGGCTCTAGGAGGAAGTTAATCAGCATATTAGGCTGGCAGGATCGGAGAATGCAACAACTGATTGGCCTGCAGGAAAAGACCAATCAGGCTCCAGGAAGGAAGCAGAATCAGCCAATCAGATGGGACTCATTGCGAAAATAATGTATATAAAAGCCTGAGGTTTGGGGGGCAATTCAATCACTGTTTTACAAGCTGCGATAAAGAGCATGAAACTACTGCAGGACTCTGTGTATATTTCAGGGAGGTAAGCATCCAATAGGGGGAGATCTCTCTCTCTATATTTTATTCAGCCACTCCCTTTATTATCAAAACTAGATAAAACCCCTTGCTTTTTTCTTGTGTTTGTGGCAGATTTTCTGCCATCATATCTAGTTTGGCCCTATAATAACCCGGGCACCAGAGAGTATTCTTTCATTACTGGATCCTTGCATTTTGCCACTTCAGGAGGGATGGGACTGAGGTTATCTCCTCCCTCCACTCACCCAGACCATGTGCAAGTATCGGTCCTCCGGAGGCAAAATGCTTGAAAATCACTGCCCCAGAAGAAGAGCAGAGGTGAGCACCACCGCTCTCCTTGCTTTCTGCCCACACTCTAATATTCCAGAAACCCTGGCATGAGTGTCACACCAGTAGCTCACGCTCTCAATGGAATCACGCACTGGAAATGAGAACTAACTTCCAGAGGACATGGCGATGGTGGTCACTACTTAAGTAGCTGTAAAAGGGGATTAGGAAAATTCATGGAGGATAATAAGACTGTTGGTCATATGAAACCAACAACGCCAAGGGATTTCTATATTCAGAGGCAAAATGTCAATGAAAACCAGTTGATGGAGAGGAGCAACAGGAAACGGCTCCTGCCTTCGTGTCCCGCTAGTGGCCTTCTTAGAGGAATCTGGCCGTACTTACGTCAGATTGTTCAATTTCATCTATCTCATCAACTCTGCTCAGATGAGGAGCCCCATATTTGTCGGTCAGCTCAGCTAAGGTTTTCGACGGTGTCTCTTTCTCAGCAGCTGCCTTTGCCTACAATTCAAATTCCATTTTTAATACATGGCGAATCCATGCAATTTTACGATGTATTCAGCTGAACAAAGCGGTAAATATGCAAGCACACGAAAATCAAGGTGCGAGCCATTCCCCAGCTCCTTTCTCAGACCATTGAGCTGAATGGGCAGTATCTCCTGTGCACAAAAATTTCATTGAAACAAATGGGACCTGTTTGAGACACACAGCAGCACTTGAGACCCACTGAATTTCTCCCTCTATTCTCTGAGCAATGTGACTAAGACAAGGAGCCACCACAGTCAGCAGAGGCCAATTCTGACTGATTAGATGGTTGCTTGTTTTTCAACGAAAGCCTAAAAATGTCTTCTTCGGGAATAATTTAAATAAATTGGCGACATGTAACTTCCCCCTGCTCCACTGCCCAGCAGCTATTGGCCCTTATTGTTATTGCACATGTCCTGTTTTAAAGGATGGGAAAATAACTATGGCTTGGCTTTATGTGCAAACTCATCCTTGACCATGGTTTGCTTGGCTCTCCTAACCTAGATGCTCACCAAACTTCAAATGCAGGAGGCAAGAACACTTGGGGGGGGGGGACCCAGATCACAGGAGAAACAAGCCATTCAAGGCTGCTGGAACATAATTTGGGAGACGGCTATTTGATGAGTGTTGGCATGCAAAATAGAAATGATCATCAATGACATTTTATCCTACCTCCAACTCTGCTTGTAGTTTCTGCTCCAATAGAAGCTCTTCTTCTCTTTCTCTCTCTAATCTCTCTTGTTCTTCCCGTTCTCGTTCCATTTGTGCCTGCAGCCATATCATGCAAAAGTGCAAGTTGGTGAAAAGGAATTTCTCCCTTGATGTGCTAGTCTTTTTCTTTCTTCTTGATTTGCAGGGAGTTTTTGCATGGCAGGTGGGGGGGGTGGCATTAAAAAAAATGAGACCCACCAGCCGACTTAGCATTGTGTGCAAACTGAGCCAACTTCTCTGGTGTTCAGTTTAGATTGGTCAGTGAAAGTAGAAATCATATAATTTTGCACTTCCTTGCTTTAAGGTCACAGAAAAATTTAAAATCTTATGCCTTCGTTCCATGTTTAATCAAGGGTGTCCCCCCCACCTATGTATGAATAAATAGTTTATATCATTTAAAAAGGACCAGTTGGCTTTGATTTATGAATTGTGGGTTGGGATTAGAGATCAGCCAAAGGAAAAATATCCGCCCATCCACACATGGGGCACACAAAGGCTGTAATCCTATACACAGGTACAGTGGTGCCTCGCAAGACGAAATTAATTCGTTCCGCGAGTTTTGTTGTCTTGCGATTTTTTTCGTCTTGCGAAGCACGGTGTCGGGAAAGTTTTGGAAAAGCTTCAAAAATCACCAAAGTCTTTAAAAACCTCAAAAAGGCTACCACACCGCGTTCTATGAGTTGCTCCTCGAAGTCAAGTCGCAACTGTATTAACGGTGTTAAGAAAAAGGAAACAAACTTGCAAGACGTTTCTGGCTTGCGAAGCAAGCCCATAGGGAAAATCGTCTTGCGAAGCAGTTCAAAAAACGAAAAACCCTTTCGTCTAGCGAGTTTTTCGTCTTGCGGGGCATTCGTCTTGCAGGGCACCACTGTACCTCGAAGTAAAGCCTACCGAACTCAGCCAGATTTACTTCTCAGCAGACTTGTACAGGTGTATTAAATGAAATTGCATTAGCTAGCGCAAAAGTACATTTCTGCCCAAACATTACAAACCCTGCCAGTGTCTTTTAATTCATCTCTGAGATATGAGTTCTCAAAAATTATCAATGTATAACCTCAGAACATTCAAAAGAATCCCTTGTTGCAGGCACAATGCTCTTCTGTTCATAAAATGGAAGGCTCCGGTTAACCCCTGGTCCTCAGGAATGTGTGGATGCTAGCCACAAAGGGGGGAAAATCAGATCTTTATAATAATGCCCCCTTCTGGAAGCACTCACACGCAGCTTGGGCTTTTTGACTGTTTCTCTGTTTGGTTGCTCTGCCCTACCTGCCTCTCTTCTTCAAGCTTCTGCTGAAACAAAAGTTCTTCTTCCTTCATTCTTTCGATCATTTCCAGTTCTCTTTTGGCCTCCTCACGCTCTTGCTCCAGATCTTCCCTTTCCAGTTTCCTCTGGAAATGATTGTTTTTTTAAAAAGTCAGCATAAGAGAAAACAGAAAAGGAGATACAGAGTTTCACATCTCTGAGTAGCAAAAAGTTCAGGCGACAGAAAATGAGAGGCTCAGATCTATTGCTAAGCAAAAGTATCTGGACTTTACAGTAATATCTTGTCTGCTTACAAATATGCAAGCAGAGCAAGCAGGAGTGCAGTTCCCAGCCTAATAATAATATTAATAAATTAAAATTTAAAAAATTTTGCTTGTTTAGGACTCTCTCTAGCTGCAGAAAGGGGCGTAGCTTAGCCTTGACATCTCTATGGTGTAAAGCTCTGCTCAAGCGTTATTAACAATGGCAGTAGTGAACACCTTTAATTTAATAACAGGAATGCCAGGACAGGGAATGGGAACGAAGCAATTTTAGCTCCTGCCCTGAAAGTATGTGCTTTCTCATTCATGGCTCTAGGATTATCAACTGGCCATTCAGCAAGCATCAAATGATGCAAAGCCGATACTTGTGTTTTCACTTAACACACACAAGACTGTTCCCCTAATATAATAACCAGCATTAGCATTTAATATTTGAAGAGCCTGACAATATTAAATGTAGAAGCAGAGGACTCACGTGAAGTGCATCATCCATATTTTTTCGATATTTATAAATCCACCATGCCAAGTACAGGATTGGGTCTGCTGGCCGACGTTCTGCCACCTCGGCAAGGCCCTCTGCCAAGCATCTGCCTAGGCATTTTTTGAGATATGCAGTCTCCATTTTCAGTTCTCCAAGTGTCTGTGGCAGCGATTAGTCCTTTTGGATCTAAAAATGGTGGCAAGCAGTGGGAGGAGGAAGAAAACATTTTGAATAATAGATGTACATTACAATAATTTAACAAACGGAAATATAAGCTGCTTTGACAACCTTTACCAGTTTAAAAAGTTGCCAAGATATTTAAAGAAACCAATAAATTAATAGCTAGCTTTGACCTGGGTGGAAATCTGTGATTAAAGGCTTGCTCTGTGGAACTTAAAGGCTGCAATTCCTAAGAGTTTGTTTCAGGTTAGTGCTATGCACCCCTGAAATCCTTCTGCATAAGCCCCGTGAAAATGGACAGGAGCCACAGAACAGAAGCCAGACTTTGGGATGGATCAGGCCCATGGTGGGTAATCCAACCACATTGATGTGTAAACTGACCTTCGGTTGAATTAGCTCAATGCAGATTCCAGACCCTATTCAAACTAAGTAGGTACTAAACTGCCATTTGATATCTACTACTTAAGAACATGGAAAGAGTACTTACTAAAAGACGACTCACACTCATATGAAGAGGAGAACTTTGTTCCTGATGCAAGGGTGACCAAACCCTTACTGGTATTTTCTTCACTCTTGTCTAGAAGAATAAGCTCTGTGTGTATCCAAAGATGGAAACAGTTAAGTCTGGATGCTGCTGTTTGGTATCCTAGCAACGGACCAGTGTTCTAGCCCTATGCTGCTATCTCCCTGAAGATTCTGTATCTCCTTCCTTCTTGGATAGATAGTATTTCTTTGTGTTTTTTATTGTTATCAATTGGAAGAAGGAATATATGAAGTTGAAATGTTTACACTGCATTACTTTATATTTGGATATCTGTATTAATGTGGGTAATTTATAAGCTTGAACATTACTGTATTCAGAAAAGGAATGCTTTTAAAAACAAACCTCCACCTTTGAAAGATAGGTTAAAAACCCCTTTTATTCCTTTCCTTTCCACTAAGGTAAACACATCAGTATTCCACTTGCAACAAGAAATGACAGGTACTTGTTTTGACCCACATTATACAAGCATCTATCAAGAAATTAATGCTAATTTCAGCCTCCAGTATACACAGCTAAGCGGTTCCCTTAGCCAATTAGCAGCTGCAACCAAAAGGTAGGAATCATACACACTGTTTAGGCTGTTAAACTGGGTGCCAGACCCTGGATCCAGCAAGTGTTAGAATTTAATCAAGGCTTCCAATTCATGGAATAGCCAAGCTAGCCTCCTAGTGAGGGTGATAGCTTGTGTGACAAGCCATTAAGGGGGATTAAGGGGTTTGGTGCGAGACAGCAGGTGGATGGGGGTCCTTCCTTCAACAGATAAAGCCAGGATTTAGAGTAGAAAGATTCAGAGCAGTGATAGGACCTAGAAGTAACTAGCAAGGTGGAGAAAGTGTCAGAGAGCACTGTTTGATGTCTGTTCGAGTCCAAGGCTGCAATTATGGGAGAAAAAAGGGTGATGAGGCTGGGATTGTAGGCTCAGTGTGAAAAACCCATATATCATAAAGACACCATAGTCTCCGCTGTGCTTCATTCCAAAAGGAAACATGAACCCCGGGGGAACACCTGTTATCTTGCACTGCTCGAAGATTGGAGTGACATGCAACAACACCAAAGAAGGAAGGGGACACATACAGAAGTGATACAACTTCTGTTGGGCACACCAAGTGTTCACAAATACAGATGTTCAGAAATAGCTGGTGGACTTCCACAGCAATCTGTGAGGAGTGTTCTACCACCACATTTCTTTCTCATGCAAGTTTGTGCAGGCTTTTGTACTGCACTCTTCTTTACAAATCCTAGAATAGTGATTACTCTCAAGTGGAGCTGGGCCAAATGCTTTTAATCACTATTTTGCGTTAAATGTCCCTGGCCTCAAATGTTACAGTCCAATCCTATGCATGGTTACTGAACAATAAACACAACTTTATCCAATGCTGCTTACAGTTGCAGGTTTAACATACCATGTAGTAAGCCCAAATTGGATACATTGGGACTCAGTTCAGGGTAACTGCATATTGTATTTAGTCAGTGATTTTTTTCCCTTAAAAAAATGTTTAGGGGTACTCTCATTTTCCTACTTATATTGAAATACTCCCCCTCAATGAAGCCAAACTTAGATTCACAAAATGTTTAGGGGTATGCGTCCCCCTGTGTCCCCCAAGAAAAAAAGCACTGGATTTAGCTGTTAGTTACTTTTCAATCCAGGTTCTCAATGTGTAACTCAGCTGGTTAGAGCATGGTGCTGATAACGCCGAGGTTGCAGGTTCGATCCTTCTATGGCACAGCTGCATATTCCTGCATAGCAGGGGGTTGGACTAGATGATCCTCAGGGTCCCTTCCGACTCTACAATTCTGATTCTAATACGTAAAAGCTATAGACTGAAATAGTACACGGACAATGCCTTCTGGCTTACAACCCAGGCATCTGGGAATGGGTGAGGTGTATTGCGCATTTGAATTTCTGCTGCGGGTGCTGGTTTTATTTGTAACTGAAGTCTATATTTTGTTTTAAGTTTTTGGCTGTGTTTTTTTATATATATATAAAATGTCAAATTTACACTGTGTACATTTCCACCCTGGCACTTTTGAATGAAGAGCGGGTCGTAAATACTTTCAATAAGCAAAAATGTTGTTAAAAAATTAACCATTTCAAAAATCGTGCTGCGCAGTTGGGTTCAAGTTCGAACTCTTCTTGCACAGCAGCGCCTTCCAGTCCTGGAGAATTGGGCTCTGCTATCTCCTCCTATGTCCATCTCATGTACAACCAGCTAGTGTGCTTCTCTGTTTCCACGGTAATAATACACAAAACAGGATATCCCGACGAGAGCAGCAAGGGATTCTCTCTCTCTCTCCTTTCCTATCTCTCTGCCGCAGACAGGGAGACGGAACGGTACCCTGAAGACGACAGCAGCAGGGCTTCTCTTCTTTTTAACCTCCCTTTCCTATCTCTTGTGATGCCGGGAGACGGAAACAGTAGGCGTGCGGCGATTAAGCCAATGAGACGGCAGCAGCAGCACGTGCGCGCGCAGCCGAGACGCTTGTGGATGTACTGCGCCGCCTCGTGGGCGGGGCTGTGCTGAGTAAGGCGTCCCGGTTGCTAGGCGACGGAGAACCCGAACCCCCGCGATCAGGCCCCATAAGGTAGAGTGCAGTCCGGCGAAACTTAAGCGGATTCTCAGGGGGCGCTTGGCTGACTAGTGGTACGGTGCAGATTTATTTATTTACTTTGGAGGGGTAGTAGCATTAATGTCATTTCTAAAGCTACCTAAAGAAAAAATTCTGTGCCTGGGACACATTTCTTTTCTTTTTTCTGAATTAATTTTTAAGTAGACTTTTAATAAAATAATAATAATAATAATTTTTATTTATACCCCGCCCTCCCCAGCCAAGGCCAGGCTCAGGGCAGCTAACAAGCAATAATAAAAACAAGTTGAATGAATACAACTTAAAAACAAGATTAAAATACAACAGTTAAAATATTGAAACATTAAAATATTAAAATGCAGCCTCATCACAGGAGAAGAAAGGAAAAAGAAAGAGGGGGAGGGAATCAAATTAGCTCCAAGCCAAAGGCCAGGCGGAACAACTCTGTCTTACAGGCCCTGCGGAAAGAAATCAGATCCTGCAGGGCCCTGGTCTCATGAGGCAGAGCGTTCCACCAGGCTGGAGCCAGAGTTGAAAAGGCCCTGGCTCTGGTTGAAGCTAATCTAACTTCCTTAGGGCCCAGGACCACTAGGGTGTTGCTATTTATGGACCTTGAGGCTCTCCGTGGGGCATACCGGGAAAGGCTGTCCCGTAGGTACGAGGGTCCTAAAGGGTTTATTTAATTGGCTGGGTTGCAAAAGGCTTCTTTGCAAAGTTTTAAAACTTTTGCTCACTTTGGTCCCGTAAAAGGTAAGGCTTTGTTCGGCGTTCCCCAATCTTTGGGGCACCCACCGGCTAGCGATCGCTGTTTCTTACCGAGTCTTTGGAAAAGGAATGATAGAATCACAGACGCAATCATGGAGTTGGAAGGGGCCCCGAGGGTCATCTAATCCAACCCCTTCAATGCAGGAATCTTTTGCCCAAGGTGGGGTTTGAACCCACAGCCCTGAGATTAAGAGTCGCATGTTCCACCAAATGAGTGTAGCCACAGTTCCTGTGAAGGGCTGTCAGGATCGCCAAGATGACGTGATCATTGTGCTATGCAAATATTAAGTAACTGGTCTTTTCTCTTTTTCCTGCTTCCTTTGCATATACAGTGGTACCTCGGGTTACATACACTTCAGGTTACAGACTCCGCTAACCCAGAAATAGTACCTCAGGTTGGATGAGAACAGAAATCATGCTCCGGCGGCGCGGCGGCAGCAGGAGGCCCCATTAGCTAAAGTGGTGCTTCAGGTTAAGAACAGTTTCAGGTTAAGAACAGACGTCCAGATCGAATTAAGTACTTAACCCAAGGTACCACTGTATTTATCTCCCATTGGATTTGTGGGAGGCCCCTTCCGGCATCCCTCCTGTGCATGCAGAGGTGCATCGGCAGGGCAGCTGCTTGTGCCTAATGGTGTATGTAAATGATCCATCTGCTTTAGCTCCGGTAACTATCTATAAAGGTAAAGGGACCCCTGACCATTAGGTCCAGTCGTGGCCGACTCTGGGGTTGCGACGCTCAGCTTGCTTTATTGGCCAAGGGAGCCGGTGTACAGTTCTGGGTCATGTGGCCAGCATTACTAAGCCGCTTCTGGCGAACCAGAGCAGCGCACGGAAACGCCGTTTACCTTCCCGCCGGAGCAGTACCTATTTATCTACTTGCACTTTGACGTGCTTTCGAACTGCTAGGTTGGCAGGAGCAGGGACCGAGCAACAGGAGCTCACCCCGTCGCGGGGAATCGAACCGCCGACTTTCTGATTGGCGAGTCCTACACTCTGTGGTTTAACCCACAGCGCCACCCGCGTCCCTACTAACTATCTATACCCATATATATTACAAATTTAATAAATAATAAAAATGTTTTCATTCGCTGCAAAAAGCAAAGTATGCTTTGAAAATACAGCTGAGATGTATGAAAGTGCAGGGAGGACGGAAGGTAAAGAAACCTGATTAGAGTGCAGGATCTTGGGAATTATTTCCGGAACATTGATTTTATTAACTTGGAAGGAAGGGATGTGATCTGGCAAGAGTTCACCCAATGTACCATATCCATGCAAAGCTTGGCACAAGATGGGGATGGATGTCAAATACCTCAAGGAACGCATAGGAAGATGTTTGGCTGAGGGACTTGCAGAAGCGGCGGACCGTCGGCCTGTGGACCCAATCAATTTCCTGGCACACTTTATTTACAACTACAAGAACAGATTAAATGAAGAAGAAAAGGTAATGCATCTCTTCTTAATTTAAAAGCAAACACTGAAGAAAGCTAGCATCAAGGAGACAGGGTTTTCCATTAATCCTTTGTGAATTTCCCCAATCCTTTGTGCTTTTTTTAGAGGAGGGTAGAGAGGGCCGAGCTGGAACGTGAGCATGAAGAAGCCCTTGCAGAAGCGAAGAGGATAGAAAAGCTGAAAGCAGAAGAGCTCCTGGTTGCCAAGAAATTTGAAAAACAGCAGCAGGTCTGAAACCCTTTCCTAAGCAATATTAAGTTTACCATATGAATAGGTGAGATGATCTGTAATGACAGCAGAGGGCCCAAAATAAGCCAGTAATACTATTGTAGTGAATGGCTATTGGGTTTTAAATGATGAGTGGCTGAGACACCATCAATCATTTGTTTTAGTTAGCTAAATCACATTTTTATTTTATAAAGATCATTAAAGAGCAGCAATCCAAGAAGACAATTGCAGAGTTATCTGGGAAGGATGGAGTACCAATTCTGCAGAGTACTGAAGAAACTGACAAAAATCATATAAATGAAGTGAGTAACAACATGTATGTGGGTTTATTGTCTCAGAATTCCCTTTTAATAATGAAATTGGGTGGTTGAGTTTTTCAGTCTGAGAGTAAAATGAGGCCACCAAAAAATAAGGGAGTAGTTTCTATATACCCAGGTATGCAGAAGTATAAAAGTGTGTAAATGAAAAAGCTTTCTTTTTAAATAAAACAACTGCTCTATGACCTTCCAAGAATGTGGGCACCGAGATAAGAAAACACCAAACTAATTGATTGGTGAATGAATTTCTGGATTCTCAATGAACACTTTAGACGGGAGCTCCTTTGTCTTTCCTATCTCTATTGCTTGGAGTCAGGTGTGTGTAGCTGGCCAGTTATAGCTCTAATGAAATCCTCAGTTTCTCCATTATTTTTTATGGACATTTCTCACTTCCATCTGGGAACCTTAGGACAAAGGGAAGAAGCTGAGCAGATTCTATGAGTCTAAAATCTAAGTCTCTAGTCAATGCATGGAATCAGATGAATAAAATAAATTGAAAGAGAGAGGGAATTAATTGGTGTGTCAAGATCCTAAAAGCTTATAATATTATAATGAATAACATTAGTTTTGGATGAGGAGAGATGTAGGTCATGAGATTAAAGTCTCCTCCCCAGACTATACACCACTCGCCTCTCTTCTTCACCCTGAAGAAGAGAAAAAAGCCACTGTGACCTCATTATGATGCTGTCTCCCTAAAGAGAGAGGCTGTCCACTGTGATCTCATGATGATGTTGCCTCCTTGAAGGAAAGAGTCTGGCCACTGTAACCTCATGATCATGTTGCCTTCCTAAAGGAGAGAAAAAAGCCACTATGACCTCATGATGTTGCTTCCCTAAAGGAGAGTTTACCATTGTATATACCACTGTATATACGAAGCACCCTGCACACACACACAAAATGAATATTCTCCCCAATTTTGTAGTCTTGGACATGCAAGGAGCGTAATTTTATTAGAAACATTCAAACATGCAGTGTTACTAACTCTAGTCTGAAGAGGTACAGTTCAGGAGGGAAAAATAACCAAAGCTCTCATCTAGTGTACTTTTGTTTTTGCAGATAGGCTGTTCCATTCTGGGTTAGGTCCGACACTGGGGGTTGGAAAGGCAAGGTTGAAAGGCCACTTCCTGTAAAGTGGGAGTAGCTACCTATCGCTCTCCAACTTAACTTAAAAATGGAAACATCTGCAACATACACAGAAATGCAACAACACTGTTGGATCACCCTGAAACAGGAAAAACAAAAACAAATGGAAACTATAAGTGTGAAATAAATCATCAGTAGGAGAACAACCAATATAAGGAGAGAAGAAGTGAACATTTGAGACAGTGGGTGGGTGAAATGCCTGTATTCATAAGAACAGAAGGCTCACTAGATAAGAACGTTGTTTTCTTACTTTATTTATAAGGGAGTATTCTTTATTGGGTTGTAAAAAAGTACTGCCTCTCTGGGTGGGCATTCTTCCTTGCCCAAACAGTCCAGCATATGCCACGCTGGCTTGAGGACTCAGTGAAGATCCTTATGGCCAAAGACTACCTTGGCTGAGGTTGAGTTATTATGAACATTTAATTATTTATTAAATATTTTTGTTACAAAATAATTGTATTTTTAATATTTTCTTGGAAGTCGCCCAGAGTGGCTAGGGAAACCCAGCCAGATGGGCGGAGTATAAATGATAAATTATTATAACTGATTTCAAAAGGAGAATTTTCATGGTGGTGTATGTCCCTGTGCTCATGTATATGATGTTGATTTGTATTAACAGAAGAGAACAGAAGAGAAGGATGTGAGGATTCCAGAAAAACATGAAACTACTTCTGAGTCAAAGAAAGAAACCTTAGAAGACAAATTGGATCAAGGTTACATCAGTGTTATAAAGGCTGAATTGGGTGAGACACCTGGTGAGGAGAATATCAGCACAACTCTCCAGGAAGGCTTGACAGAGATAACCATGGATGAAGATTTTAATCGGATTCCACAGGAGACGATGGATGACGGAGGTGAAAGCCGGTTGGAACATGATGAAGTAAATCAGAATGAACAGGATACAGAAACAGAAGATGACACGGAAGATGAAGAAGCTACTCCAGATGAGGAATCCAAATCCAGTCAAGAGCTGAATTTGGAGTAACAGTGCAATCCTAACCATGTTTACTCAGAATTAAGTCCCATTGAGTTCAGCAGGACTTTCTCACAAGATGTTGTGCATAGGACTGTGACCCCAAAATGAAAGCAGCAGCTTCTGAGTTGGTTTAGATTCTTCCCTTTCTCTAACTTGCAGTGTTCTGGGGTGGATGATCAAGGTGTTTCTGCTACAGTTGTTGATTTCAGTAGAACTAAACCGCAAGAGTCCTTTTAACTTTGACATTTTCATATTAGGGAAAAGGTCATGCAAATAAACTTCAGGTCTAGATTTGTCAGTGTTCATTACACTTTTTCAAGACTTTATTACTCTTGAGATGTGCATGATAGTGTGCTTCTTAAAAACTCAATGGCGGTTGTCACATATCTTTGTGTCTCCACTAACTACCAGATGGTGTCGCCATAGCTTTGGAAACCAGGAGATGAATCATTGTGGTCTTTTATCTCATTCCCTGTTAAATTTGAAAGTTGAAGCTAGAAAGGAATATTTACAGAGGTAATTAAAATATCTGAGACAAGATCAGTGATCAACTAAAACTAGATTAAAACACACACCAATATTCTACATACAGGGGATGCTTGTCTAAACAAAACATTTTTAGTAGGTGTTCAAAAGGGTAGTGAAGGTGCCTGCCTGGTGTCAATAGGCAGTGAGTTCCATAGCATAGGTGCTGCCATATTAGAAGATGGATTTCTTACCAGTTCAGAGTGGGTATTATGTGGCACCACCTGTAGCAGTGCCAGTTCTGCAGACTGAAGCGGTTGAGTGAGTGTACGACTATCTCGCAGCTAAACCGATCCCAAACAAACCAAACCCTTCCAGTAGCACCTTAGAGACCAACGACGTTTGTTATTGGTATGAGTTTTCGTGGACATGCACACTTCTTCAGATTGGTATCTGAAGACGGAATACTGGAAGGAATTTTTATTTTTATTTTGTTTTGACTAAGGCAGACCAACACGGCTCTACCTGTAACTGATCCCAAGTTGTTAAGGGCTTTGCATGCTAACAGCAACACCTTGAACGGGGCTTGATAGCAAATCAGCAACTGTGCCTAACAGACATCCCACACACAAATACCACCCCCCAGTTTTGCTCCTTTTGCATGCATGCATGCAGTCACATGGCGCTCTCACTCCTCCTACACTGCAAAACGACCATCTGCCCTTGATGCTTCCGTTGAAATCCCTGCATTGCAGCGGGGTTGGACTAGATGACCCTGGGAGGGTCCCTTCCCAATCAACAAAGGAGATACAGTAGCTCAATTCTGTAGATGACCTTCGGGGTCCCTTCCAACTCTACAGTTCTGTGACAACCGGGTGGCCACCTGCCATGAATGCTTTAGTTGAGATTCCTGCATTGCAGGGGGTTCGACTGGATGACCAGTGGGGGGTCCCTTCCAACTCTAAAATTCTACGATACCGTGGGAAAGGATGCCAGGAAGCGAGTGCCTCTCTAGCCTATTCTATCTCTATAGTGGCAGGAGTCCATCGGCGATCCTGGCAAAGGACGAAGGGCAGAGAGAGACGGCGGAGGGAATCGCCTGCGCATGCGCGAGAAGGCCCTTGTTCCCGCATGCGCAGTAAAAACAGGAGCAAGCGTGCTGTTTTGTGGCGTCATGGCGCGCTCGGCTGAGGAGCTTGTAGGGCAGGTGGTGCTGCCGGGGGACGCCCTGTTTCTGCCGGGCCACGCCGAGGCGGACAGCGAGAGGCTGTGCTTGGCCACTGGAGGCCCTCAGAAAGGGCGGCTGGTTTGCGGGCCCGGGCTGAGGCGCGGCGGGGACGGGCTGCTGGTCGCCAAGTGCGGGCTGCTGCGCTACCGCGGCGGCGGAAGTGGCTCCGGGGGAACCTATTGGGTGGACTCTCAGCAGAGGCGGGTAAGGCGAGGCGGGGCGACGGAAGTGGCGGGCTGGGAAACAGCGCATGCGTGGCAGGGTGGCGGTTGGCGGGCGCCTCGTCGGGGATTCCGCACCGTTATTTCACAGGGAGGAGGCAGGGAGGCGAGCTTTTTCTGGCCACGTTTTCATTTATTTATTCTGTAGAATGATTCTCTTTTTTTAAGCAACAACGAGTGGGTTACCAAAAAAAAAAAGGTGTTTTGTATACTACTGGAATTTTTAGGTTTTAAAAATTTAAATTAAAAACAGTGCCTCATCTAGTCGCACTGCAAACAGGATTCTAGACAGTCATTAATGTCTTGAACCGCCCTGAGATCTACGGGTGAAGGACGGTATGCCAAATAAATACATTCCCAATTATTATTAAGGAAGGTGGGGAGGAGGACTGGTTTTATAACAGCCGCGTTATTAGTTTCATAAGAATTGTAAAATTGCAATAACAGTCAAAGCAGTTTACAAAAAAAGGTGCTGTTGTTTTGTACAGCGCTGCTTGTTTTATTTTTTTGATTTTTATATTAAAAATGTTAACCTCATCCAGTAACACCTCAGGTAGGAGATCTGTATAATCTTGATACCCCGCAACTTGGAAAATAACTTCTTTGAACCCCCTTTCAGCTAGAACAGATATTAAGCACTTTCTGGAAGCGGTTTTCTGTAAGAACCCACTTTGGCTACAGTGTTCTTTGATTCATGTCAGAGTAGCCCAAGAGAGTGTGAAACCAAGCATTTTGCTGTGTTTTTATTTAATCATGATGTTAGTCACTATGTATAATAAACACAATTTTAGCGATTAACTGTACTCTACCAGGATGCAGAGTGAAATTGGATGAAGTGTAGTATGAACCTTTTAAGAATACCCTATACACCTTATGACAACACTGTAAGGTCTTATGCCCAAATTTTGTATGTGTGTATATATGGGCAGAATGGTTTGGATCACGTGCTGCACCAAGGTAAACCATAGTTTAACACAAACATACGGGCTCCTGCAGAGAACAGTGTGTCCACTTTGCCCATTCTTGGTCATTCTGCTGCTACGCTAAGTGGATTGTGATGATGGATTGTGTTTGAGGAGCATACTGTGTAATATTGACATTCTTGCTTGTTTTGAAGGCTAAAGCAATCTGCATATTTAAAATTACTTTCCTCCCTTGCTCCCAAATTCTTTTCATGACTAGTATGTTCCAGTCAAGGGAGACCATGTGATTGGCATAGTGACCACCAAAGCTGGGGACATATTCAAAGTGGATGTTGGGGGAAGTGAGCAAGCATCTCTATCCTACTTGGCATTTGAAGGCGCAACCAAAAGAAACAGGCCAAACGTGCAGGTGAGGAGTCTGAACATGACTGACAGCATTGATTCTCTAAAGCTACATTCTATACACAATTTCGTGAGAGCCTCGTTGAGTTCAGTGTGATTTACTGCAACAGACAGGATTATGTTGTTAAGCTTGTGCTAATTATTCACAATGGTAATATTGAGTCAATACCTCTCCTTTAGTCACAATGTTTTATCAGTACATCTCTTGTGTGAACATGTTGAAGGAGATCACGTACACCATGAGCAAAGAGTTTAAATTCCTTTGCATGTTGCTCCTCCATCTGTCAATTTATGACAAGAGCTCCTGATCTTTGGAATATGCATGTGGTAACAAATTACTCATTGTCATGCTTACATAGCCAAGAATAATAGGAAGAGGCTTTGCCTGTTTGGGTTCCTTTTAAAATCAGTGTTGGACAGTTAAGAGTCTGATATTGGATTTTCCTTTTACTGCTGGACTATTGACACTTAAGCTCGGATGTCTTTTGTTGTTCAACAATATTTTATGTCAGTTGACTGACGTGCCAACACTACATCTCACAGATTTTTGTTGCCCTGTTTAATGAGAACAGCAAGCAACCACATCCCTGGCAAAATTATTTCTCAATAAAACTCTTCATTTGCAATGTAACATACCCTCCCACATTTCAGATGAATATAGAAACATTCTTGTGTGATGAAGCTACATGTATTAAAGTTGAACATGATACCTTTCATAAGAGTTACACCTTCAGAACCGTTTCATCTATTTATGTATATTTTTTTCCTTAGGTGGGAGACCTTATTTATGGACAGTTCATTGTTGCCAATAAAGATATGGAACCTGAGATGGTCTGTATTGACAGCAGTGGCCGAGCAAATGGAATGGGAATCATTGGACAAGATGGTTTCTTATTCAAGGTGTCATTAGGCCTAATAAGAAAGTAAGTGTGACAGATTTCTAACCAAGTATTTTGAGCTTGGAAGTTCTAGCTTAGATTGCAAAAGTAAATTACATGCTTGGCAGTGCAACTGTTATATGCGAACTAGGATTAATATCACTTTGGCATTTTAATTGCATGCCAAAATTGACGTAACTAAAAAAAAGGATGTAGTAACTGAAGACTACTAATCAGTACAGACTTCTGTCAGGGTAACTGACACAAACTCTTCCAGGACTTTAGTACTTGAGATGTGAGAGGTTATGTTTTTCTTGAAGATTCTTTGCATATACAAAACTAAAATGTTTGGGAAGAAAGCCAAGGAAGAACTATTCTCCCTGGCATGTTTTTGTTGCACAAATAATATGTTAATTTATCAGTCAGTCATGCAGTTTCTCACTCTGCCCCTAGCCCTCTTGACCAGCAATCTAAAGAGTGGCAGTCCCATGAAAATGTTTTATACCACCTCATCTTAGTGGGATGTAACCTGATAATGGGCATCTCCCAAATCCCAAAATGAGTGGGGCTGTGAAATTGCAGGTTACTTTATCAGCAAAATCCTTTTCTTAAAAAGGCATCCCAACACCTGCTCTGATTTGGGTAGGTCCTAAAGAAAAAAATGTAGCTTTGTAAGAATTGAGGTCTTAATCGTTAGAAGTATGAACAGTTTACCAGAGCCATATATTGACTTTTCTTCCCTTCACATTTTATTTTGACTGCAGACTCTTAGCTCCGGAGTGTGAAATAATCCAAGATTTGGGACAACTTTATCCATTTGAACTGGTTTTAGGAATGAATGGGAGAATTTGGGTGAAAGCCAAAACAATTCAACAGACTTTAATTGTGGCAAATGTCTTAGAAGCCTGTGAACACATGACTGCAGAACAGAGGAAACAAGCCGTTTCCAAGTTGTTAGACAACTGATGGGAAGGAATTTTATATAGATACTCTTATGTGGAAATGATGACCCAGAAATACATTTTTAAATATTTTTATATTTGAGGCAATAAATGTTACAGTTCAAATACTTTTATTTTTTCATTCTGCCTCTTTTGCTCTTGAGTTTGTTTTGTGACAAATTATGTCTGCTTGTTGTTCCCAGTGGCAGACTGTGACTTGTAGTGCACTTTTTGTAAAAGTATGCACACTTCAGACTTTTATAACTAAGTCAGTGGTATTTGCAAAACAAAGGGAGCCTCCCTTTGGTCTGTTATTTTTATTCTCATTGTATTTTTAGTGACTTGCAGCTTGATTACGTGTGTGTTTATTCAGAATTAAGTTGTGAATTCAGTGGGGTTTTACACCCATGCGAGTGGGCATAGACTTGCAATTACTTTTGCCAGCTGTACTTGATGAAGCTGTGAAAAATAAAGAAAAAGGTTTGTATCAATGAAAGAAGTGGCATATGCCTTGAATCCTTGTTTACAGAAAGAACTGATTTTGTTGCACTTTCCATGAGAAATGTATGTGTTTTTTAAATTTTATACACCAGGGGTGGCCAACTCCCAAGAGACTGCGATCTACTCACAGAGTTAAAACTGGCAGTGAGTTGTTGAGCTTTTTTTTAGGAAGGAGGAAGGCCCATGGGGGGGGTTGGGTCAGGGTTGCTGGATTTTTCAGGGAGGAGATAAAATGTTGATTGCAGAAAAAGCCTTCAAAGCATTTGCAAAAAAGATAAAACAATATGATTATCACTAAAAAAAATACAACCATGATTTAAAACATAAAGAAAGTTAAAACCACAATAGACTAGACTAAAACAAATTGAAACGTATTAAAATTTTCTAAATGTTTGGATAGGCTTATCTAAATAAGAATGTATTTAGCATGCACGGAAAAGAATACCCCCTTGCCCCAGTAAAATTAGGTAGTCAGCTACTAGATAGGGGTGTGTGTGTGTCAAACTTGGATTTGCTGCTGTGCAATGAGTGTAACAGCCCTGAGTTAGAACTTGGGTATCCATGCATGTTGCTGCTGCTTGTACCTTCTCTCTCTCTAAAATCCATACTTGGATTTTACTTGAAATTCATAGATAACAAAAACAATCAAATAAAAAAGACAATCTTGTGTAAGTAATCTTATATAAATTTACAAATATAAATTAATTCAGACTTATACAGTCTCTTTCACTCTACATTCTTACAAAAGTATGATTGCCTTCCCATCATCTCCCAATGTATTTAACATTTCTAAGGCTGAATGTACTTAAAATTGTTACCTTAATCTTTCAATATTTTCTAATACTTCCTTACAACATATTGTACCAGTTTTCCTTATTTCTTTGTAGTTAATTTACACAGGGGTCATTCAAACGCTGTCAAAGATGTCATACTGCTACTTTGTTTTTGTAAATATCTCTTAAACATATCCCATTTTTGAATAAATAATTGTTTTGTATTACCTCTCAGCCAGTTGTGCCATTTTGTATTACCTCTCAGTCAGTTGTGCCATTTCTGCATATTCTAGTAATTTATTCTGCCATTCCAAGAGGGTTGGAACCTTTTCCCCTTTCCAGTTCATTGCAATTAACATTCGGGCGGTGGCCATTGCATGTAAGAAAATTTCTTTTACATTTTTCGGTACAGTATATCTCTACCTAGAATTCCAAGCAGGAAAGCTGGATATTTTTTAAGAATGTTAATTTAAAGATCTTTTTCATCTCACTGTAAATGAGATTCCAAAACTCTTTACTTTTCCTGCATGTCCACCACATATGATACATACTTCCTTCACTTTCCCCACACCACCAGCATATGTTCGAGACATTTTTGTACATCTTCAAAAGCTATGATGGAGTAAGATATCATCTAAACTGCCTCTTTATTAGGTTTTCTTTGATGGTATAGCATGCTGTAAAATCCATATTTGTTTTCCAAAGGGTTTTCCACTCACTCATCGGAATGGTATGTCCGATGTCCTGCGCCCATTTAATCATCACTCCCTTCACCTCCTCCTTCTTGACTTCCCAGTTAAGGAGGAGTCGGTACATTTTTGAAATTATCTTAGTTTTATTATTTAATAATTTTCTTTCCAATTTAGAGGGCTCAGTGGTGAAACTGTTTTTTTTATCTTATTTAAATGTCTCAAAGAGATGATGATACTCTAGCTATTTGTACCTTTTCTGATTTGATAGGCTCTGCCTAAGATATGTATGCCTATTGGAAATGCCTTTGGGGCTCTTAGAAATCCCTTTTGTGCTGTTCATGTTACACCTTTGAGCTTCATTTGAATTACTTGAAGTGGAAGTATGTCAGCGGATAAGACTTGCCTTGCTAGATCCAATCGAAAGACCTATCTAGTGCATCCTTCTGTCTTGCCAGCCAGATGTCCTCTGGGAAACAAACAGGCATGAAGGAAATGCTCCTCTCTTGTTTTGCCCCAATGTATGGTTTGCTGGTTACGAACATCCAAACCTGATCTGAAGGGGAGGCTGTTTTCCTTGCCTTACTCCTTGCTTAACAGTTTTGAAACTAATCTTTAATATAACCAATAATACATGTAAGGTATCTAAATACTATAGTCTATAATTTAACAATCACATATTTTCCCAGAAAGTTGCCTGATTGCATCTCCACCGAAACGTAAGTCTATATTATCAACTGATATCACCAGAATTTAAAGAATCTGTGACAGAGAAGTGGGGAAGAGTGACCAATAAATACCTGGGCCCGCAATAAACACACTTTTAAAATGCTGAGTATGATTCTGGCATCCAGTTTAGGCTCTACCCAGGTACTGCCTGAAATGCTTTAGAGACCTGTAAAACTAGTTTGACAGGCCCCTAGTTTGACAGGGGCTTCAAGTAAATCTAAAGATGGGTAAATCTTACAGTACAGTGTGAACATGGATAGGAATGTCCTCTCCAACTGCTTGTCCTATTTTGATGTCTGGCTTTCAGGTTACTCAGCCTGTTGTAGACCAGTTGCTTGGAGTTTCATGGCCATCCATGTGTTGAGTTGACGCTTGACCATCCTGGCTCCTAAAAGCAGCCAGAGGAAGCTTGGCTAGAGGAGGTGGTGGTTGTGAACATCTCCCTTGATGCTGTTCTACGGTTTTGTTCAGCGAAGAAGCAGGGATTAGACTAAGGTTACCAGACATCCCCGTTTCTCGGGGACAGTCCCCGGATTTACAAATCAGTCCCCATACAAAATCCATTGAAGTTGAAAAGTGTCCCCGGATTCATTGGGGAAAAAATCTGGTAACCTTAGATTAGACTTGCTGACAGAACTTATTTTTAGATTGTACCCTTGTGCCTGTTTTAATTTGCCATTGTTAAGGGGCATGAGAAAGCCATAGCAGCTCAACCCCAGACATTCTTACATATTAGCCGCCTTCAGGCATTGCTCACATAAAGAGGGCAAGTGCGGCGAAAAGGGTCGTGTGGGGTCATGCACTTAGCTTAGTTCTTAAGTGCAGTGTTTATATTGTCATGCACTCTTCATGAGGCTGCCCTTGGAGACTGTTTGGAAGCTGCAATTGATACAGGATGTGAAAGCCAGGGTGCGGATGGGCACTATTGACTGGCTCCTTAAACCTGCACTGTTTGCCAGCATGCTTCTTAGCCCAATTCAATTCTTAGACTAGTCCTTAAACCTGCACTGGTTGCCAGCATGCTTCTTAGCCCAATTCAAGGTTCTTCTGTTTTGAAATCACTGACTTGACTCCCAGATGTCTAAAACACCTCCTTCCAAAAACGCCTGGTGTTGATATCTGTCACTATACGTTCTAGAGGTAGATCAATGTACCTTCTAATACAGGCCTCCTTGAGGGGTAGAGCATATTACAAAGTTGGATTGTATTGAGCTGTATGCAACAGGTCCTGGGACTGCATGGTGAAAGGTGTGCTGTAAATGTCTCTAAATAAAACAACAAATGAGTTTTGAAGTGAGGAGCCTGCTCTATTCATGGAGGCTCCTGGCACGATTTAGAACCTTGGGCAGTTACAAAAAGGCATAGCAAGAACTAAGAATTACAATGTTATGCTCTTAAAAGCCAGTGCGGTGTAGTGATTGGAGCACTGGACTAGGAGCTGGAAAACCAAGATTCGAATCCCTGCTTAGCCATGAAACTCTAGGTGGTGACCTTGGGCCAGTCACTGCCTGTCAGCCCAACCTACCTCACAGGGTTATGGAGATTAAATGAGGAGGGGGAGAACTGTATGCTGCTGTGAGCTCCTTGGAGGAAAATGTGGCATGTAAACACAAATAAATCAATACTCCTTGCTTTTTCCTGTTCCGAAAGAATAAAAGTTGACACCTGCATCAACCAAGACTTATGGCAATGTTATTAGTCACACAAAGCAAGTTTGCTGTATGGCACATCGTGATTACTGCTGTAAGGAAAAATAATTCATTTCTCTCCGTTTCTAATTGGTACCTCCGGAGGGCGCGAGGGGTCAGTGCGCAGCCTTTGTGTTGTGGAGACATTCCTGCTGTGGGTGGAGAAGTAATTAGAGAACTTATCTCGTTAAAAATAAGAACCGTGGACACTTAATCTTGGAAACTGTCTAGAGATGAAAAACACCTTCCTAGGAAGTCTTAAAAGGTTACCCTCTTGGCTGTTGACCAGAAATGGAGAATGCACAAGTTTTGGGGTGGGGAATCAAATGGAGCCGTTCTGAATCTGTTTGGAGATGGTGCACCTCTTGAATCAGGGAGAGATGTAGCTGTGCATCCCTGTTTGTTTCTTTTTTCAAAAAAATAAAAATTGGTTTTTCAAATTAAATTTTCAAATTAAAATTTTACAGAGCTTTATCAAATCATAAAAACAAGATTAAAAATCATAAAAACAAGATTCCAAGGAATCTCTTGGACTTCCACCCCCCGTTATAAATAATTTCCTCTCACATCTTTTATGATGATTAAAATCTTTTACATCTCCATTGTGAACAGAATTCACCCTTAAACTATAAGTGATATTCCAATCCTAATGATTTTAAGTGTTTACAGTGGTCTAAGATATGTTATAAATTTTCCCCATTCCTTATTAAAATTTTGGTCTTCCTGATTTCTGATGCTTCCTGTCATTTCAGCCATTTCAGCATAGTCCATCTGCCACTTCATCTGCCATTCTTCTCTGGTAGGAACTTTTTCTTCTTACAATCTCTGGGCCAATAACATCCGTGCAGCCGTGGTTGCATACATAAATGGACTTTTCTGCTCCCAAGGTACCTAGAAGCATCTTTTGGTTGGTCACGTTCTGGAATCTGATGCTGAGCCAGCTGGATCCTTGATCTGACCCAGCAGGGCTCTCCTGGTCATTGTGCTCTTGCTGCATGTGCATGGCTCTACGTACAGTGCGGAGGTGGTTGCATGCGCAGTGGAAGCTAATGGTGCATGGGAGGTGAATGTAAAGCCCACAGACATTGTGCTGCTTGTCATGTGGCACTTTGCTCCTTTATTGAGAGGATCCCAGAGATCATAGCTGTCAACTTACAGATTTGAAAATAAGGGACCAGCAGCCTTGAAAATAAGGGATCTGCAGCCTCACCTGTTCCAGGCACTCCAGTCTCCCTGTCCTCCTACAGACTGGTCAAACACATGCTGGTAGCTTCGAGAACACTGTCCAACCAACTTTGTAACCAGAGGTTCAACTGAATAGAATCTGAATCACATGCACCACAAGGCCTATGCAGCCTCAACTTAAGATGGCTCCCCGGCCTGGCTTTGCACTGCAAAGTTTGCAGCAGCATGTGCAGCAAAATGGCGTCCAGCATTCAAAAACCTCCTCAGCTTGCATTAACTAGCCACACACAAGGCATGCAAGCTCCACCCCCCAGTCGTTTAAGAACTTCTTATTGGGTGAGCAACACAGCCAAGCAACACAGTTGGAGCCTCCCTCCTCCCTGGCCGGCAGGGAGGGAGGGAGAGGAGATGCTTCCTTTGAAATTTAAGGGACATCATTTAAGGGACATTTATCAATAAGGGACAGCAGCGGGACATGGCGCTGGAATAAGGGACTGTCCCTTCAAATAAGGGACACTTGACAGCTATGCCAGAGATCCTTGGAGCTCTTCTTTTGCAGGGTACATTTGGCAGAAGCACACCAGAGTTGCCAACTGCCTAGAAAGAGGGAGTGCAGCTGGATGTGAAGCAGCTAGGAGTCAAGCTGCTTCTCACAGCACTTAGTGTATCAGCATGGGTGAGCACAAGTTTCAAGTGGTAGATGGTTTTATTTATGAAATCATAGGATCGTGCAGTTGGCAGGGACACCAAGGGTCATCTTGCAATGCACGAATAATAATAATAATGAAATTATAATAATTTATTATTTATACCCCACCCATCTGGCTGGGTTTCCCCAGCCACTCTGGGCCACTTTCAACAGAGCATTAAAAACAGAATAAAACTTCAAACATGAAAAACTTCCTTAACAGGGCTGCCTTCAGATGTCTTCTAAAA